CACAAGTAGCTGTCATCAGGTGAAGGTGCTTCCTGAAGTTCTCAGGGACAACATTATTAGACAACACTCAAATGGAAAAAGCTTCACCTTAAACATTCCCGTGAGTAAAACTGATTTGATAACATGCCAGTGGAAAGTTCATGGAACCACAACTAATCATCCCAGGACAGGCCATGTAAGACTTCACAACACACTGTCAGGCTACTGATGTGGAAGGTAAGAGACAAACTAGCCCAAAAGGAGTGTGCTGCAATCATCTTACATTCCTACACCCCACACAAAGCTCTTCTGCCCTTAAGGGATAATGTACTCTGGTGATGAAAACACAATAGACCTCTGGCAATTATTCAGCCTGTCATATTTGGAGAAAGAAGGGTTGCATGTATGATCCCAAGAATACTATACCCACAGTGAAGGAGGGAGCATCATGATATGGGTTTGCTTCTCTGCAGATGGTACTGGCTCATTGCCAGTCATTGGAGGAAACAGTGTAACAGGGAATATTAGAAAAGAATAATCTCATCGACCAAGAAATTGAATCTGGAGGGAAGGAGAAAATTCCAGCGAGGAAACAAACCCAGAAATACAGCCAATAACAGATGACTAGTTTCTAAAAAAGAGTCTCCTGACTTTGAAAAGCCTTTGAAAGTGTACAGAGGATTTTGAGACAGATAGTCCATCAGAGGGACCCTCCTAACTTTGGGGAATTGAAGACAGTTTGCTCAAAGTTATGACAACAAATTAAAGCATCCATCAACTTACATTCATTGCCATTAACCAAGTTTTTTACTATCAGTATCACTAAAACATAAAAATCAGATTTGTTGTGGGACACCAGCACTGACATACCAATATGGACAATATATCTTCCAGCACCGCTGGACCAACACTGGATCAAGTCTCCACATGTTCTTCCACATCTGTCTTGTCTGGGGAAGGAGGTGGCATCCGCAGTGTGAAAAGATGGGGCAGGGTTAAACTGTCATTTTAAACATGGTAGAACTTGGTTGACAGTGAGCAGTGGAGGGGGTCATGCGTTAATAGGCAGTTTACTAAGCCAGCTTGCTAGCTCCATTTACATGTTATTTACATATTAACTGATAGGGCTGAGTTAAAGATCCCTGCATATATAATTAAGAGTTCACTCTGTTTGACTTGGATGTAAGCCTAGCTTACTAGCATGGTTACTGTCAGCTTGACTTCAAGTAATTTTGCATGCATTCTTGCACTTAGTGTTTCGCAGAACTATAAACCTTTCTCCACACAGTCAGACTCCACAGTATGGGCATTATGGTTGGGCATTATTTGTTAAAGCTGGAATGTGGTTTGTCATTAATTTTTCCTGTAAAACAAGATGATCCTCATTTTTTTCTGTGCTACAACAACTGGGCCCATGGTTAATGGTTCAGTTCAGTCACGGTTCAGTTCAGCTTCAGATCTAAAAAAGTCCACACTTGTTTTTGTAAATCCTTCTACTGTGAGAAAACAACTCAACAGTATGAATCAGAAAGGAGGTGTAGCTGTCAAGAAGCCCTTACTGAGAAAAGAAAAGAAAATTTGCAAATAAAAAAGAAGCTGCTGCTGTTCTCAGAACAATGGACTGATGAAGAACTAAAAGCATGTCTCCTGAAAAGAATGGGAGCTGTAATAAAGGCAAAGGGGGACACACTAAATACTGAAAAAATTCATTAGATATTTAGTTGTTAGTGGCTCCTATGTTTTTTCCTAGTAAATATGGGTTTTCTTTTTTTCCTAATGCTAAAAAGTGAATAACTTGTCTATTGGCAGTTTTGACTGGAAATAAAATAAGGATGGCCTTTGACATTAGCACAGTGCTATATGTACAGTCACCCATTTGTTCAGTAGTGGCTAAATAAATGGACAGTATTTATACCTTCATTTACCTATTACAAGTTATAGATAAATATTTTGAATTGTCTGCCATGTTGGTTGTGCTGCTTGGTGCTAGTATAGTGGCTTTATAAAGAAAGGTCTTGGTCATAGCGTACAGTGTAAAAACAGCAGTAAGTCCTGTAATGCCTTTAGTTTGCCGATGTGTCCTTGACTGTCTGTGAGAGAGAGGCCAGGGTGGTGAGGTGTTTGATGAAGGCTGCCCTCAGGGTGAAAGTATCACAGGTTTTGTACACTACAATAGGCTTTACTGGGCTGAACACTGCGTAACCCTGACCCTCTACCAATATCAAACCTCAGATCTCTTTTTTAAATCTCTCTGTTCTACCCTCTCCACAGAGTTACTGCATACTTCACACTCTCTTTGGTTATTTTAACATGAAGGTCTTAGTATATTAAAGTACGTTTAATATGAATGATTAAGTAGCTCAATTTTTTGCATTTAATTCTTTGTTCCATGATAATTTTCTATATAGAGCTTATGACTTTATTACCTACTCTCTCTCTCTCTCTCTCTCTCTCTCTCTCTCTCTCTCTCTCTCTCTTTTTTTTTCTCGCTCTCTCTCTCTGGGTGTACTTTATGATCCACCTTACATATTTGATCTGAAAATTGGCTCATAAAAAAGACCTTCATGTCCAATTATGTCTATGACATCTGTTATTAGAGCTAATTCCTGACAGCTGCCCCTACATTTTCTGTATGCTGCTGAATCTGTGTTGTGCCTCATAATTGAACAGGACTCCCATTAATCTTCATCAGTCCTTGTCCTCGAGGAGCGCTGCCGTCCCTCTCGTTCCACATCAGCTCTTAATCAGGCCTGCTTAGCCCAGGGGCACGAAGGTCTTGGCAGGGAGCAGAGCAGCAGGGAGGCCTTGTGAGCTCCACTGGGGCTCCACATCCACCCTGAGCCTTCTCCAACAGCACACATATGCAGACAGAGAAAGGACAGGCCAAACTATTCTAGCAGTGCAAGGATGAGAACGGTTATGGTCATCATATGAAGTTGTGTGAGTCAGTTGGAGTCCTGAATTTTACTTGCCATGTTTTTGGTAATGGAAAGGGATCTGTTTAAAATGAGTAGGTGTGTTCAGAAGCTTGTTACATACTGAACAAGCTACATTTGATGTGAGTGATGGTGACGTTTTGTTTCTTTGCTGGTAAAAGCTTGTTTGGTTGGTTTAATTTGACAGTAACCCCTTGACCTGGTGTAGACTTTGGAGGATATGTCATCAGTTTGTAGTTTGCATCATTAGCATCCGGATGTGCCCTTGGTATGCATATCTGGGAGAAGAATGAATGGCATTTTTCAAAAATAGTGCTCTGTGGTTACCAGTTCTAAAGCCTGTACTTCTTGTTCTGTGTACCTTTTTCCCCCAATTATATCACTGTGTGATTTAAATTACGAGGTCATTTAATAGTTAAAATAGGAATATTGCTACATACATGCTGATGCTGAATTATACTTCTGTGTCTATATAGCAAATATGTGGGGCATCATGCTCAGGCGTTCACATAGGTGCCACCATACCTTCATGTAATGTAAATGTATGCCTTAGTGGGTCCAAACCAGAATGAACAGAAAATGCAAAGAATGTCTTTTTTTTCTTCTACACCTCTCCAAGAATTAATACTTCAGTGTTTCTGTAATATTTTAAAGATGGGTTGTATAAATGTTTGTGATGTGGTACCTCTTCTGCCAGCCAGTCGTTTGCAATAGTTCTGGTTCAGGTTTAGTAATATTTGCGTCTATTAGCACCCCCTAATATTCACAAATAAACAAATAGCTTTTGCTTGGTTCACAGCTGCTGATTCACCATGCTCATGCGTAGTTCAGATCTTGGAGGTGTTTCCGTTGTGGCCTCTAGAAGCCTTTATGAACTACATTTACACTTGAATCCCTTCTCTGTCTCTCGACACAGATGCATTTACATAGACGTTCGCGTAAGTATAACTCAACACTCTTGCACAGTTAATTGACATCTTAAGTCTGGCAACCCCCAAAACACCAGACACAAAAAAGAAAGTATTATTATATGTGGTAGGCAAGTTGATTCGACAGTATTTGAATAGCTGATGTTATATAATAGTGTTACTGTAGTGTATAGTTACAGCAGTAGCCTTACATGTAATGTTGTCAATTAAATGAACAGGAGTTTATTACTTGTAGCATGTATTTAGCATTATTTGTATTTTGATTATTTAATGACCTTGTACTTCAAATATTCTGAAGAAACATGTACGGGGCACAAAAATGTCTGAAAATTTTTCTCAGGTGTAATGGGGCAGTTTTTCTGCTAGTATTTCCTGTAGACAAAAATGACTTTGAGTCAAAATTATATAGTCAAAATGACACAACCTCTCAGATGTGTGTTGTCTCCTGATGTTCTTGTGGCAGATTGTTTAAGAACTTGAGAACTGCACCAAGATTTAGCAAATAACAGAGCCAGATTTCAGTTGTCAGACTGGATTTAAGGATTTTGTGCTAGTGCTGTCTTGGTCTCAAAGTCCAGACTCTCAGGAAGGTTCTGTGTGGCTCTACTTGTGTTCAGTGAGGATCTTTCTAAGCAATAATTACACTCTGTCATGCAAGCTCTGAGCAAGACCATGATTAAGAGGCAGAACTGCCAAAAGTGTCCAAGCATTTTGCGGTTGCCAGCTATGCCAATGCCCTACTTTAATCAGAGGCGAAAATCTGTGCCACACGTGGTGCCATCCTCCAGGCCGGGGAACTTTGAACTACTTCCAAGCAGAGCTGATCTGTTACAGTAGTCCATTGTGAAATCTAATGAATGTACATCTGATATTCTCAGTAGCTCAAATTAGATTTAAGGGAATGTCTTAAACAATTTGTTCAAATCAATTAAGATAGTTTTACTGTTGCTTTGCTTTTACTGCCCACTCCAACCACTGGATCTGACTTGTAGACTAGAGTCTTAGTCTTTTATGTGGTAATAATAGTAATAGAAAGGAATGTAAATGCTGAATCTAAGCAAGAACCTGCATACCGAGTTATAGTAAGGAATGTCAATGCTGAATCAAACTAATTAATATAATGGTAGTGAACTTTAACTCCATGTGTCCTCCATAGGCTGCTGATCTACGGCCAGTACTGCAGCCACATGGAGCATGCTCAGAAGACCCTGGACGAGCTCATTGCCACACGGGAAGATGTGAAAAGTAAAGTGGAGGTAAACTCACTCACCTTGAGCATCTCCTGCCCTGTCGTCATTCTGCTCTGATCAAACTCATTAGCCTTATCAGCTCAATGGAGATACACGCAGGCTCTTATCCATAAATCATTGATGCTGGTCAAGTGCACTAGAGGCAGCTCAGTGCAGTTTTGTCTTAATCAAGTTCCTGCTGTGCAGATTATTGACTCTACGGTGATGTTCACACAGTCTGATAGCTGGCACTGATCCAGCTGGAGACATTGTCAAAATTCCCCTTTGTCCTAATGTTCAGTGCATGTGTCAGAATTATCTGATGAAAGACAAACTGGCACTCTGAGACACAGTCGCTCTAAGCCAGAATTTTCCCTAAAAATCTTCTAAACCTTGTGGAGCTGTACTAAAGCTATGTAAAGAGTTAGCAGTGACCTATTTACCAAAGCGGGCTCTGCAGAAGTCCCAGTTGCCCAGAGCAGGCCCAAAGGCACGAATGCAGCTCCAGTGGAGCTTTCCCTCCCTCTCTCAAACCGGAGCTGGAGCCAGAGCTGCTGCTGTTAACCTCTCTTTCTCTACCTCCTCCGCCTCTTTTCTGTGGGACCGTGTGCTCGTTCAGCCCCTGTGTTCAAAAGGGACCATCCCACACTGCACTGCAACTGACGTTTTTGGGACATTAACTAATTAAGATAAAAAATATATTAGAGGATCCTTTTCATTAATTAAATTCAAAGTTTTTAGTTCTACTACCAGGTTGGAGGCACAGCCAACCCTGTTTTGGATCCAAGAACTCTGTCAGTTCATCACGTAATTGCAATTTGGCTTTGCAATCCTGTCAGAGGCCATCCTTATTTTATTTCCAGTCAAAACTAGCAGTAAACACAACTTATAAATGAAGGGCGGTCTCTGACTTTTGCACGGTACTGTATGTTATATGTTATTCATCATGCATTTTTTGTACTATCATGCAAACAAATTGGTCTATATGGGAACAATAATGGCTCATAGTACTACTACTGCTAGTAAAATCCATTGTAACATTCAGTAAATCCAGACTAGAACACTGTGTCCCATAGCCAGAGTCCGCGAAGGCCACATCAAATACACCCAGAAATAAAGACTGGAGTCAGATGATGTGAGACAGCCATTATGTCTGTGCAGGATTAGAGTGGATTAGTGTGGAGGAAATCATGGAGGCTGAGATTGTTGTCTATACACAGTTTGACACATGCAGATGATTATCACACGGCTATCTGCCACATGAGGAGGGCTCGGTAATTGGGCAGGCTTTTGGGCTGCACTACCAGCGTACTCAGTTGAGTGAAGTGCCTCTTTCAGTGGATTAAAACCAGAATCTTTTCCTTTAGGAAAAGGACACAAACACTGATTATGAAGCTGTTGTGATGAACTTCCTCTTCACAGTTAAATGTCAAGCACAGTAGTTTAGATGCTCCTCTTAATCTTCATGACCTCACGCATCCTCACAGACGTGTGAGGTCGTGAAGATTAATAATGGAATGATTATATTTAATATGTGGAAATGTTTAATTAGTGATAGGCTTATAGTAATCTTCACTGAAGCCGTGTATAGTACATGATTTTAGCCCAATTTTACCCGATTTGCCTCTTCTTGGGGCTCGATCAAAAACAATTAATGGCACATATTATCTGGGAGGGGAAGAGGGGAAACGAGTTTATCTTTAGGATTCAGATTGAGTGCTGGAGCGATCAGAAGCATTCCGATATTTTCAAACATGTTTGATTTTTATGACTCAGTACATTCACGAGTCACACTGGTCAGCAGTGTAACTGAATGAGTTATTCAGGCGGTAGCCAATGGGAGAGCTAGTTGAATGGAGAAAAAGGTGAAGAGACACGTATACGTGATGATGGAGGAGCTGCTTGTTGGCAAATTTGAGAGTCAATGCACTCACTTTACAATTTCATGTCCACTTGCCAGTTTCATAGTAAAATGCTTCTCCAGTTCTCATTGCAGAATAGAATGTTTCCACACCCCTTATTCATCCACATCTTGTGTGTGTTTTCTATGGTTCTTATATGTACATGCAAGCACAAATGAGCCCAGTCCGGTTTCAACTTTATTTGTGTCAGGTGGTAACAGCAAGACTATTAGGTGAGATGGTCATGTCATGTATGCCTGAAAGCCTAAAAGAAATACTCATGCATTTTTCAACCTTATCTCTATCTATCAGTTATTACAGCCAATAATTTTGAGTTCCCTGTACTTAGAGGAGAAAAATTATGGTTTAACAATACAGGTCTTTGGGAAGGACAGACATGGGAGAATGTCTTATGTAAGCTGTTCAAAATTATTGTCTGTGGTAATTGAATGTACACTACAGATGCAACAGACAGAGACTGAATTGAAATATGCTTGAGTATTCTTTTGTTTCTTTATACCTGTATTATTTAATGTTGTAGAACAAATGGTCTGTTCCACAAACTATCATCTTGTAATGTCGGCAAGAGATATAAAAGTACTATCTACGCATGTATTTTTGTACACGTGTGCATACATTGTGGATATTGTTGTGAAAGTGTTTCTGCTTCATGACCTGTTGCTCATGTCCTGTAGGAATGCACCATGAAAGTTCAGGAGGGCAAGTTCAAACTGCAGGATCTACTGGTGGTTCCGATGCAGAGGGTCCTAAAATACCACCTGCTGCTCAAGGTCAGTTCAAGATTTATCACACAGTTGTGTGCAATTTTTGAACACCTCCAGTCAGATTACATGTTCTGTTGATATTCTAAGTGAAAATAAGTTCACACAGTAACACACAACACATCCTCTACAGGAAACACACTTAAATATGGCATTTCCAACACCTTTTATTACACAATTCTATTTGTTTTATTATTGTTTTTTTCTAGTATGTTAAATTCATCATGTAAACAGTAATCATGCAGTAAAATGTGCAGAAGTGTGTTGTTTATAGAGGATGTGTGCTTGTTTTATTTAGACAGTAAACAAAACATGTAACTTGCCAAACATGCCAAATTGTCATACGACAGTAGCTTTACTAGCAAATATATTGTCACTATCATAAGAAAACAGTACTTTTATAGGTGAATAAGCATCTGTTCATCATCACACAATAGTGTTAAAAAAGAGGTGTGAAAAAATGTGATCACTGGTTACTAGTGCTTGCTTTGTTAATGTTTGTTACTGAAGTTTCCTTTGCTCTACAGAAAGTGAAAGCAGTGTTACTTCTTTCTGTTCACTTTTACCCAGTTTTCTACCTCAGTTCATCTCAACTGAACCTACAACAGGATGAAACATTTAGAGCACATATTCCCCAAATAGACTGTGTTTTATAATTTGAAAACTTTGCCTTAAAGTTAAGATCTTCTAAAGTGACCCCAGAATGACTTGCCTCACAGAAACTAAGCTAACCTGAGTCCAGTCAGCCACTGTTGGTTGTGTTCATGTATAAAGAGGCTGTTCTGCATGATCTGAACCATGATTAATTCAGCTCTGACATACATAATGAAGTAAGAGAGGTTGAATGTGGCATGACGGGGAGAGCTGGAGCTGGAGGTGGAGGTGAAGGGAGTGGGTGGTTAAGGAAGCGCACTTGTTTTGGTTATTTCAGACTGGACTCTTCCATGCACTGAGTGCCACTGTTTAAAGCATCCATGCTGAAATCATATTATACACACTCCATTTCACTCCCTCCCACAGCGGCACACTGAAGTATTAATATACCGCTGGTCCTGGGGGCATCACAGTGGTGGGCTGTTTGATTGTATGTATGTGGATATATGCACACTTGTATATGTTGAAAAAGCATCATTTTGTAAGGATTTTCAGACACACTTGCCTACTCGCATCTAAAGTCCAAATGCTTCAGGGCTTCTGGCTGAAGGAGCACTCTGAGCCATAGTTTTGAGTGGGCGTTAAAGAGATACTGCAGCTTTATGAAATTTGGATTTTCAGAACATGCTGTTTAACAGTACAGTTGGACTAACTTCTCTCTCACTTCCGATTAAAGCGTGATGTTTCATGTTTACTGTGCTGCAGTCCTACTGGGCCGAAAGATACCAGCACATGTTCCACAACCTTTCAAACTGATTTTAAAGGAATTTTCCAGCGGTTTTCAGGTTATCTAGTTATCTGGTGCGTCTGGCGTATGGTGAACTAATACAAACAATTTTGATGCATTGTCCCTTACTATAGATTTAGAAAAATGATTGACTCAGAAAAAAACTGTCTTGTGTTATAACTGTGATGTGTATTACTGTCTAAAGTCAATAGACACATTATTAGGTACAACCACATTGTATATTCCCTTGTTTATTTTGTCAGGTACTATTACCATATAGGTTCATATTGTAGTCCTACAATTACAGACTGTTGTCCATCTGCTTCTCTGCATAATTTATACCTAGCATGTAAATTTTGTTAAAATGGGTAACACAGGCAAGTGTGTTATTTAGCACATCACTTAAAGTGTAGACTGTGCTTCTCGTGTCTTCTCGTAGCAACATCATCTGCATGTTTTGCCAGCAATTAGACAGATGGTTCTCAAGATTCACCCTGAGGTTCACTGTTTTTATACCAAAAAAGTAACTTCTTTCCATTCTAAGTGTTTTTCAATTACTGAGTTTTTTTAATCACTTTCTTGTCGGCTATAATATAGCACCACTTTGAAGAATGTAAACAACCCACAGCCAGAGCTAGCCAGGTTAAAGTATAACCTCCACCTGGCAGGGTTAGTTTTAACATGCTGTTACATCTAAGCCTCCTGCAGTAAGTCAATATCCTATTATATAAATTCACATTCAGTGAAGTATTTATGCACAGATTAATCAGAAACATGCTATAGACATGCAAATAAAATATAGTTAAAATTTATTGTGCTGACAAATTTGCTATGTTGGATAAGGCCTCTTTGAAAATATGAAAATGAAAATATTTTTATGTACTGTATTTATGGGATGCTTCTCTGTTCAAACAACATAGAACTGTATTGAATTAGTTGTTGTGTTTTGCATCGATTTTGGCAGTAGTGTCGGAAACAAAGTGTTTTCATTTGTAGCAGAGATGTGTACGTTGCTTTTTAAAAATATTAATCAGTCTGTTATTGTAGAACTACAAAGTGCACCAATATGTAAGTGGTAAGTGGTAAGCGGTAAGCAGACCTGATTAAAATGGACAAGTGTAGATAGAAGGTATCTAATAAATAGGCCAGTGATTGTATAAGTCTTGATTATGTAAGTTATTTTCTGTTATTTTATTTAAGTGGAAGGAAATTATTGCTCATGGCAATCAACCGTATGTTACAAATGCAGAGATTAGGTTGAAAAATGCTGGAAGTATTCCTTTTCTATCTTCTTCTCAGCAGAAGCAAAGAAACTTATAGCATTAAGGATTTATTAAAAGTACAAAGGAACAGGTTTTTTTGTTGTTGTTTAGTTTTGTTTCAGTGTGAATATTGCATACATAAATTACCATTTACCTCATCATCAGTGAATTAGGTTGTCTCTGACATAGGACCATGACTAGACAGTTAAGATGTACACATCATGATATATAATACATATAGTGTATTTGTACTTTCTCTATTATTACTGAATGAGTGCAAAAACTTAAAGCTCAGGTTTTGACAGAAGTGTCAGGTTTCAGTCATGAGTTTTTTTTCTGGGACTACAAAACAATGTTTCAGGGACCTGTACTGCATCATAAATATACTCCATACTGCACTGTGGTTTATACAGTATGTACCCAGCAGTGCAGCAAGTGGAGAATCAGCAGTTATATTCTTTGCCCTACAGGAGTTAGTGAGTCATTCAACAGACCGACCAGAGAGACAGCAACTGAAGGAAGCCCTGGAAGCCATGCAGGTAGGAGCTGCCCTGAGACTGACCTCTACACTTCATGCCAATCCAACCACACACAGGTGTAATTGAGTGTAGTCAGAACCCTTTGAATGACTGTAAAATGACTTAAGATATAGACCATCTGAAGGGCATGTCAATTTGATTTGAAGTCTGATTATTTTCCTCTGCTTTCCTCTTTGATGCCTTTGAAGGACCTTGCCATGTACATCAATGAAGTCAAAAGGGACAATGAGACCTTGAAGAAAATCAGTGAATTTCAGAGCTCAATTGAAAATCTGGTAAGAAAACCTGCTTTTCCCTGTCATCAACAATAGCACACCAGACAAAAATCTGCAAGATTTATTGCATATGTATTTTTCCATTACCCCTACATACCTCTCAAATTCTCTGGAAGGTTCTCCTTGGTCCCACAACACTTGCTTTATCCAGTGTACTCACCTGCAGCCGCCTCATCTGCCGTGATTGCTCACTGTAATAAATCATTAACTCCTCCAGAGTGTGAGCACGGAGAGGACAGACTTTAATTCTGTGTTAAATTGAAACTTAATCAGTGTATCTTCTGTCACCAATGTGTGTGGGTGGTAGCGTTTAGTGAGGAGGCGAGTGCTTTTTTTTATGTACGTGCGTGTGGCGCTGAGGAAGCTACTGGGAGAGAAAACCAGAGAGAATGTTTTCTTTATCTCTCCCTCTACACAGAAGTACAGCATTCCTTATTACAGAGGAGACTGGTATGAGGGTATGCTGCAAAGTTAATGAAGTTGGTGACTGTGTTTTCAAGACATTGTACTGAGATATAAATGATTTCACACTGAAAAGCTGCAATCTGGTCTGTTCTGAATGTAGTGCTTTCTGGCTGCAATTTCTTCAATGCTTTTGCAAAACTGTTTTCTCCCAAACATGCACTTCCAGTTTATTTATATACTGAATCCACACCAACTTAGCCAACGAAATGTAAAACTGTTGGCTTTTCCAGCTAGTAAGTTGTGGCTTTTCCAAGAAGCAAGAGAAGACTTAGCAACATTGTCATCTGTGTGTCTCCACTACAGCATGTGAAACTGGAGGAGTATGGGAGGCCAAAGATAGATGGAGAACTGAAAGTCTGCTCTATAGTTAACCGGACCAAACAGGATAGGTAAGTTAGAGGACGTTCAGTGCAAGGCTTTTTGATATAATTCTGTACACCTGAAGCCTCAATTAGGTAGTATCATAGGTGTATCTTGGCCACCTCAAGACCATGGTAGTCATGTATCTTGTACACATTTTGAAAATTTCTGTTTTTTCCATGCCAAGAATTGTGCCCTGCTGAATGCATTTCTACCTGACTTAGGTTTTAAATAGCACCCAGTTGTGGCTGATACTGGTTAAGTGTCTGAAAATACATCATTTTGGCTGTTATAATTTTAGATTTTAATTTTGTTAAATTTAGTTAAATGTTGGTCAGGCTCTATTTTAAATGGAACATTATTCCATAAAAACATTGAATGTTATCTAGCATTTCTGCCTTCTTTTTCTTCTAGGTACATTTTCCTATTTGATAAAGTAGTGATTGTGTGCAAGAGAAAAGGCTACAATTACGAGCTGAAGGAGATCATTGAGCTACAGTTTTACAAGATGTCAGACGACCCCATGAACAACAGAGACATGAAAAAGGTAGAGGACCACCAAGCTGTTCTGTATTTGCTCGTGGAAGCGCCTGGGAAGTGTTTGAATAACATCTACATTTGCATTTCTTTGTTTAAATGCCTTTCCGAATGTTGGGTTCTCTAATATGAGGCACAGGGGGTTCTTTGATTATATGCTGTATGTTGAGTGCTGATGGATTGTGCTCATGTAATCTCGTCCTTGAACATACAGCATGGTGCTTGTAATTTCAAATAGGCCAATCATGAATGATGCACTGCACTCCTTTACGCTCTGGAGAGTATGCGGACATGGATTTGTTGAAAATGCCTTTTTTCTCTAATCTAACATACTGAAACTCTGCATGTGTGGAAGATTGCATGTGTAACTGGGTCTTTCTCTCTCTCTCCCTCCCTCCCCTTCTCCCTCTATCTATCTCTACCTATCTATCTCTTTCTATCTTTTACATTCTCTCTCTCTCTCTCTCCCTGGTGTTTCTCCTTGCATGCCTACCAGGCCAGTGGAAAAATGGTAAGCTGAAGCAAACCTCTGCTCATGTTCTTTTAGCCGTGTTCTCTAAGCTGTGATTTATATATGGATCAGTGGCTGTGATTGCCTGTCTTCTCTCTGATAGTTTGATTTGTGTTCTGTTGTCTTGAGAGCTACACAGCATCCTTATGTTGTCAGACAGGAATTACTTTTGTTTACAACAAACTGAGGATTTGTTCCTGACTCTACAAGTTTCTGGTCTTTTTTCCTCTCTGTGATTCATATAAAATCAATGTCGAACACCCCTTTCCTGTCTTTAATTCTGCTTTTGTCCATCCCCCTGTGGCCTGGCAGTGGTCCTATGGCTTCTACCTGATCCATCTGCAGGGCAAACAAGGCTTTCAATTCTTCTGTAAGACAGAAGACACTAAAAGAAAATGGATGGAACAGTTTGAAATGGCCATGTAAGTATGCTGCTGCATTATATTTTCTTAAAAAAAGTCACTCAAACCCATTTTACTTAAATGCTCATCCTATAAAAACAGGTCGAACATCAAGCCAGAAAGAGCTACGGCCAACCAGCACAATTTCCAGATGCACACTTTTGAGAAGAACACCAACTGCAGGGCTTGTAAGATGCTGTTGAGGTAAGAACACACACACACCCACATATTCAAACACTAGAAGAAAGCAGATGGAGTCGTTTCAGATGGCCTGAAACTTGTCTGAGCTGACTCATGCAAACAGCTGAAATCTTGTGGTTGTTCACCCAGTAAAAAATGTCTCAAACATCAGGCTGTGTTCTTATTTGCATATATATATATATATATATATATATGCTGCATATGCTGCGGTGATGGCCAGCCTTTCTTCTCTTGTACCTTTTTGGCAACTTGTGTAGAACCCTGAGGATGTGTTGTCAATTTGTAGTTTGCCATTACCATCTGGACAAGTTCTGAGTCTACTCCATTTTTGTCTATGGGGGAAAATTAATGGCATTTTTTGAAAATTGTCTCCATCGCACTATCATGTTTAATCAGCAAATTCCAAAGATTGTATGTTTAATCCTATGTGCATTTTCCCTTTGAATACCAGTGGGTCAACTGAATTATGAGGTGGTAACAAAAATCAGAATATTACTACATTCTTGCTACTCTCCTTGCACATGTATTGCCATAAATGATATCTTGCACACCAAACATGATTTTGAACTGCAAAAATTAGTTTTTTTCTGTTTTTTGTGAACTATCACCAGACACATGTAATTCCTTGACCAGTCACAGTTGTTTTTGGTGTTGTCATGGCAACAACCAACACGACTGATCAGTTGTATCACAACAACTAGACCTTTCTGACAAACGTCTTCTGTCTCGCCACATACAGCTCAGTCTGGGCTATTCAGAAACGGACATTCAAGCTAAAGCAGTGAACGTTTCAGGTCCCGGAGAAAGCCATGAAACGCTCTGTTCTCCTTTCACTTTTCCAAAATAGAAAGTATCACTGTCACCATTTGCCCATTTTGTAGAGAGCAAAGGGTGTCTTTTTGTCAGTGAAGACATTCTGCTTGTTTGTTTTTTTTTTCCCCCCCACAGCATTAACAACCAGACATTTTGAAAAAATCGCATTGTCACCAATGTGTATGGGTTTGGTGTGAAAAATCTGTGTCTGACATACATACATACCTACCTACTCTACTTATCTGAATGAATGCAAGACTTTATGCTGTATGTTCAGACTTTGACTCATGTTACTGCCAGTGGCCTGATATTTATTCTTTGGGCTGCCTTTAGTTGATAGGTTTTATTGCCCCATATAAACCAGCAGTTCCGCAGTGACCTAAATCTCATGTTCTGCAGCCAGTAAGACCAATGGGCGTACAGGCTGTGAACAGCTAATTATAACAGTGATGTGTCCAGCACTGCTAGTGCCCTGCTGTTTTAACTGTGTACTGATGACTCAGTCTGAGTGCCAACACATGCAAGTTGCATAGTGTGTAGTAGGGAGAGTTGTATGCAATATGGTAGCCTTTGAAAGTGGATCAGTCAATGGACCAATGGCCAATGGGAAATAACCATAATGTGGTGTTCTTGCTTGGAAACTGATCAGAGTTTTGGACATAGGCCAGCAGCAATCACAGATGCTTCATTACTCATAAAACTCCTCCTCATTTTCTCTCTCTCTCTTACTACCTCTCTCCTGCAGGGGGATATTCTACCAGGGTTACTACTGTTCACGCTGTGGGGCTGGAGCCCATAAGGAGTGCTTGGAGGTCATCACCATCTGTAAAATAAGTGAGTTCAATATGGTGATCACTGCCCTAATGATCTGTCTGAATATCTAGTGGAATTAAAAACATCAGCGGCTGACCACCTCTTTTCTTCTCTTTCCTTCTCTTTCTCTGTAGGTCCCCATGATTTGGTAAGTTCAAATGGCTGCTTTCACGCAGACAGAATGTGCACTGATCAGATCTGTTTCAGCTTTGGCCTCTTCTTGTTCATTCTATCCCATTTTGTGCACATGTCTATGAAACAAGTTACATTCGCAGACAGAAATATTAATGCAAACCGTCTTTCTGCATCTGACAGGAGCCTGGACTTCCACAGTCAGGTAAGAACTGAGTGTGCACCACTCTCAGCCTCACTGCTTTCTGCTCATGTAGAAATGTGGTTATGTCTTATTATAAAAAATTTAGACACTGCAGTGCTCACTGCTTCAGGTAAATTCTCTGAAACATAGTTTAATGCGAATGGACAAAGGCCTGCTCCCAGATTACTGCTAGGTATTCTGTAGCTCACTGCTGCCATCTAGTGAGTGTGACACACTCTGTAAAATGCTAAACAGCAAAGAGGATTTATAGCCTTTTGAGTGCTCTAGGATTATCACTATCTCTCTGCGGTGTGAGAGACATGCTATACAGCTGCAGTCCAGAAGTACCACAGCTTGGCAGGCTAGATTTTGGTTTTACAGAAGATGATTCAGTGCTACAACAAAATAACCAGTAAAAAGTGCAAAATGTTTACCATGTGTTTCTTTCAATAAAATCCATATGGTATTATCCTTTTTAGCGCTTTTTCCGATTTGGTTCTTGAATTAAAATATAGAAAAATCAATTTGTATTTGTGTAAATATGAAGTTATATTCATAGAACCATGTCTTTGCCTGCTTTACTGAAGGTCCGAAGATGGTGGCTATCAGAAACTACCATGGCACACCAGCCCCTCCAGGCAAAACCCCTCTCACCTTCCAGACCGGGGACGTCATCGAGCTCCTGAAGGGAGACCCAGACACTTCGTGGTGGGAGGTGAACAATCACTTTTGAATGTCTTTACCCTACATACAAACTTACACTGTATGACCAAAAGTATGTGGACACCTGACCATCACACCTATATGAGTTTTTTGGAAATCCCATTCCAAAATCATTGGCATTAATATGGAGTTGACCCCCTTTTTGGCTATAACTGTCTCCACTCTTCTAAGAAGACTTTCCACAAGGTTTGGGAGTGTGTCTGTGGGACTTTTTGCCCATCCAGTCAAAAGAGCATTTGTAAGGTCAGGCACTGATGTTGAATGAGAGGGCCTGGCTCACAATCAACATTCCAATTCATCCCAAAGGTGTTGGAGTTGATGTAGGGTCTCTGTGCAGGCCACTGGAGTTTTCTCCACACCAAAGCTGTCAAATCATGTCTTTATGGAGCTCACTTGGAGCCCAAGGGCACAGTCATGCTAAAACAGGAAAGGGCACTCTTCAAACTATTGCCAGAAAGTTTGATGCATATAATTGTCTAAAGTGTATTTATGTGCTGTAGATCTCTCTTCCACCAAACTTTACTGTTAGCAGCACTATGCATTCTGGTAGGTAGCGTCCTCCTTGCATCCACCAAACCCAGATTTGTCCGTCAGACTGCCAGATAGTAAAGCGTGATTTATCACTCCAGAAAACACAATTACACTGCTGCAAAGTCCAGTGGCGGTGTGCTTTACACCACTCTAGCACCACCGTAGCATTCTTGTCTGCACAACTAACATTGCTTACAGGATTACAGTACTTTGTGGAGTCATTGCTTTGGCTGTTAAAGGCTCCATGTCATGGAAAATCTAATTTTAATAGTAGTTTGATGTAGTATGTTAACAACATACCTTTCACTTTCCAGACCACATATGGAAATGGAGCTGCAAATACAGCCCGTTCTGAGTTCACTATTTTGTGATGTCATGAAAACAAGTCCACATATATCTGCCGATTCAGCCTACGTGAATACAGCCCTGCCCACTTCCACTGAAGTTACATAGCGTGTTTTAGCCCAAACTTTTTGCTTTTTGAACGAAGCACAACACAGGCCAGCCAGTCGGAACAGCAAAATCATTTAGATACATCTTAAAAGCAGAACAAAAGAAACAGCCTGTTTAATTCTAAGAGATAAAGAGAGCTTGGAAAATGGTTAGGTGAAATGAATTATTACTGTTTCAACCCACACAAATCGACTTAAGAGAAAAAAAAACATAAAATACAAAAACATGTAGTAAATAGTCCCTTCAACTCTTAAATGTGTCTCACAGGGAAGGCTCATTCAGACCCTGAAGACTGGCTATTTCCCGAGCTCCTGTGTGAAGCCGTGTATAGACCCCAAGGTGGGTCATCCAAGCCTGATGACAAGAGAAACCTCTTCATTTCAAACTCTCAGCTTGAATAATTCATTTTACTGCAGTTAGAAAAAAAGTGAACTTGTTACTGAAATTCTTTCCTCTCTCATTTCCCAGCCATTTCTGTCTTGTCCCAGCCGTCAGTCCTCAAGAGATATGGATTACTGTGTTTATCCATGGTATGTTCCCTGTTTACCTTTTTTCTTTTTGTTCTCCAGTTTAGGCGATATTGATTTTGCTGTTTGTTTACCTGATGCATGATAGGTGACTTAGGTTCTGGACAAAAAGTATAATTAAAACTACTCCTGGAACTTTTGACCTCACTAAAATTCATCAAAAGTTAATGCATTTATGGCTGGAATCAATACAAATTATAGATTGGTTTGAACCATATGCAAGTCACGTCATGACATTTCTGTCTTAATAATGCACGCTTTGTAAGATCCGCAGTGACGCCTGAGGTGTTAGCAGGCCTATGTGCATTCACGCATGTCCTTGTGTCTGTGTGTGTGTGTGTACACTCAACAGGTTTGCAGGGAACATGGAGAGGCAGCAAGCTGATAACCTCCTGAAGTCTCACAGCAGCGGCACATATCTGATCAGAGAACGGACTGCAGAGGCCGAGCGGTTTGCCATCAGCATCAAGTTAGTGATAGACACTTGACTGTACAAGAAATGAAGTGCGGCAGTTTTCAGTAGAGGTGGTAAATAGGAATATTTTATCGTTGGTGTGATAAATTACATCATGATATGCTTTTTTATGAGTATATCATGTGTATCATGAGTAGTTCTAGAATACTGAACAAGTGCATTATTTAGAACAATTATAGAAAGCTGGTAAACAGCAACAATCAATGTATAGTAATTGCATAGTAATAAGCAGCTCATTTAGTTCCTGACCAGTGGGCTCATGGTCATTGTTAGCACTGGTACTAAAGATCAAGAGTTTGAGATATTCTGAGAATATTATTAATGAATTTTATTTATTGTTTTATTATTAATGAGCTTTGCAAATGGGGATATTTATACATTGTTGATATATTTTCTTTACCAGGTTTAATGATGAAGTAAAACACATTAAAGTCATAGAGAAAGACAACTGGATTCACATCACAGAGGCAAAAAAGTTTGAAAGTCTCCTGGTAAGAGATCCAGTATGTCCAGCAATAATACTACAGGTGTGGTATAATTAATACATGGTAACTAAGCATTGTTTTTTGTCCTGCCAGGAGTTGGTTGAGTATTATCAGTCTCACTCTCTGAAAGAGAGTTTTAAGCTGTTGGACACAACGTTACGATACCCTTACAAATCCAGAGAGCGCTCAAACTCTCGTGCCAGCACCCGTTCTCCAGGTAAACACTTCTTACACCAGTTTCTTTCTGTTTTCTCTCTTCCTTCCCTCTCTCTTTCCCTCTTTTTTTCCTGGCTATTTAACCTTGGCACCCCTCTGCCCTGCACTATTGCTCACACTTATTGACATACACTGAAGAAACAGACCCCAGCTGCTGGTCACACCCCTCACATGTTGCATGCCACGCCCTCTACCATTTCACCTGTCAATCACCCATAGCTTGTATGCCTGGGTGCCACCCCTTCTGACTGAGGGAAAGGACTGGCTCTGGCTTTTGGCTGCAGTGGGAGCCTGTTGCCCTGCTGACTGAATGGGCACTGTTAAACACATGCAGTATTAGGTCTATTCTAAATTATTTTCGCCACCCTCTGGCCAAAAGCCCGACACGCCGCCTTTGTTCACCTTCCAGCCAAGCCTAACTGGCCCTCACTGAGGCCTTTATTGAAACACATGGCTGCAGAAATGAACAAAGACAATGCACGTCTGTTGGTGAGGGAGGAACTGGGGAGAGGGCTTCTGTAAGGAAAAGGTCAGCAGCTTGTGTCCAGTCAAAGAGCTGATTCACTGCAGATAAGACAATAAGACATTATAATGGCAGGAAACATCCCTCCCCTTACTCTTTGCTGCTGTAGAACTGTTCTCACTGTGACTCTTGAGGCAAGTAAAAGCACATGCATGTTAAAAAATATGTAATGTTATCTTGCAGAGAACATTTTATTGCTTTTAGGCTGAGCTTTCTCTTCTCTTCTCTTCTTCTTCTCTTCTCTTTTCTTCTCGTCTCTTCTATTCTCTTCTCTTTTCCTTTCCTTCATGTCCTAGCAGCCTCCTGTGCTTCCTACAACTTCTCCTTCCTCAGTCCTCAGGGCCTCAACTTCTCTTCTCAAAGCTCTGCCCCCTTCTGGTCAGGTACTGCTAAGCATCATTCTCTCTCTCTCTTTCTCTCTCTTTCCCTCTCTCTCTGATTGTATTCCATCACTCATATTCCATTGTCCTCACTGTCTCATTGTAGAAGCCAGATTATCTATTTATTTCCTTTTCCTCCATACTCATTCTTTCAGTGCCACCTGCTCCCAACTCTTTCTTCTAACTGACTGATCTCGTCTCCAGCTCCTGTAATGCATGACTATATTGCAAACTCCAAATCAATAATGTGAATGGCTGCTTGTTTTGTCACCGCTCATCATGCAGTTCATCCACGCCTCACACCTGGGCCCTGAACCACCCCACCTGCTCCTACGTTTTTTGCAGTCTCAGTTCTATATGTAGTTTCATTTATTGATTAATCTGCTATGGGTCTGTGCAGTATTCACCCCCAGGGTGGTCAGCACGGCAGTGGCCAGATATAACTTTGCTGCTCGAGACATGAGAGAGCTGTCTTTGAGAGAAGGCGACATCGTCAAGATCTACAGCAAGATCGGAGGAGACCAGGGCTGGTGGAAAGGCGAGGCTAATGGAAGGGTAAGAAAGAAGGAGAGCAAAAAGAGACTGTTTATAAAGAAACAAGCATGTAGGGGTATAAGAGTCACTGGCAAGTTAATACTGTGGTAATGGTAAAACATATAAGCCCAGCCCAAAACACATTAAACAGCTCAAATTCATATGGAATCAGCTTTATTACTGTAATTATTTTTATTGTAAATCTTATTATTATTGTCATTTTTGTTATTTTTTGTGTGTGCATACATTTGTGTGTATCATATATCGTTACTGTCTGGAAAAGTATTGTGATATAAACTTTAGCTTATTTTTTATCACCTGCCTCTTTAAGCATGTTTGAATTACACATTAATTATAGTTTAATTTCTAGTTGCGCTGCATTTGCATGGCTCTCTGTGCCTTTTGTGCTCTAGCATAAGTGGATGCTGCTTTGTTCCCGGTTTCAGATTGGCTGGTTCCCCTCGACGTACGTAGATGAGGAAGGCGTGCAGTGAAGCTCTGATGTCACTCTCCAATCAGATCACCCTCCCATCCACAGCCCTCCAACAGAGGACTCTCTTGGTTTCCGTGGGAACACCTTGTGGAATATGGTTTTTTGCTGGAAGCTGTATTTTTCCGTGAATATTTGTACTCCTGTTTCTTTGTTCATCATGTACGAATCTGCATTTTTACCTTTTTTTTTCTTTGGAAAATGTCCACGTGATCTCTGTGAAGAAAACTGGATGGATTCATTACTGTTCCTTTCCGAGGGGCTGGTGGAGAAAATGTGAAAAGTCCAGAACTTTTTCTTGGACAAGTCAAAACCTTCAGCATGGCATTGCCATTTTTTGTGTAAAGATAGCTATGAAGATTTCTGTGGCCAACAGGAGGAGCTGGGGTGGGCATGTATAGATAATTTATTCAAGAGAAGTATCTATAAAAGAGTGATGGAAATTTTATTGTTAAGAAAGTAACGAGGAAAAAAATGCACTATGCATTCCTTTACAGAGAGAACTTGCCTTAGTAGTTATACTAATGCCTTGTGGGCTGACAGGAGTGTTGGTGGGATTTATATGGAAATTATGTTTCTGCACACACACACACACACACACACACACACACACACACATACATACATAAACACACCTCTGCCCTGTACAGTAATATGGTGCCTTTGAAGTGCAATCTCAGCTTTCAGAACACGCTCATACAGGTGCTCCCTGACCCAGGAGTCAGATGAAAAGGCAGTCAGCCTCTTGCTGCCACGGAACTGGGCCACAGGAAAACAGCAGAGGCCCTGGAACGCCCCCCATGACTGTAATTGGACAACCCAAACAAATCATCTCTAACACAATAGAGGATAGCCATCTGGATGCACTGGACCTGTCTATGTCTCTGGCATACAGTGATCAGTTCCGTGTCTGGACCATGAAGATCATCTCCTCAGTGGACATGAGAAGAAATGACACCAACACCTGGACCTGTAGTGCCTGTGTATGGATACCCTTGTCTGACTTGCACAGACAAGGGAGTTAAATCCAAGTCAAACCATCTTTTCTTTTTGTTGACAAATTGGCTAAAGCAAGGGCAAATTAATAACATTTCATACTGACAAACACATTTTTTGTCAAATATCCACAGGTTCTAATTACATTAACACATTTTTCTCTCCTTTGCAGTTTATCATTGTACAGTATCTTGCCTTATTGATTGGTTGACACATGGTGCTGCAGTGGTGTATTTTTAATCTCTGGATTCATGGCAGGATTCTTGGTGCAGTTGCTATGGACTAGGAGCCTCATGCTTTACCTGCGAACCTCAGCCATCAAGTGCACTTTATCTGTGAAATGAGACATTTGAGAACAGACAGGTTTTAAAAAAAACATACTCTCTCAGAATAAGTTCTCAAGTCAGGAGACCAGTGGATTGCCTTTGATCAGAATCCAAGCGCCATTTCTTGGACTCCTAAACTTCAAGCAACCTGCTGTTGTGTCTTTATTTCCTCTGGAGGAGAAGGAGTACACCACCATTTCCCTTCACTCTGTCAATACTAAATATCTGTACAACTCCTACATAGGTGCACTGATGTTGGCCCTTCATTTAATCTACTGAAAAATGTTATATGTTGCTGTGGTCGATCAACCAAGACTGGCAATATTTCACAGAAGCTGAAAGATGGCTGGATGGTGTCTGTCTGTCCAGTGAGAAACATTCACTGGCTGGTTTCAGGCCTGAGTGGAGCTCTTAACAGTGAAGGAAGAGATGATCTCTGGCTTAAGCCTGGACTGGCCAAGGGGCTTCGTTGCTGTTTGTGTAGTGGACAGAAATCCATTGCATGTGGTCATAGATATTACAACTCCTGTCAGTGATCCAGAAAAAATTAAATTGTGTACTTTTTTGAATGGTCAATTATTTCCAAACTGAGGTCTATCATGAAATAAATATTTCTTCTTTTGTCTAACAGTGGTTTGCCCATTTTTGATGTAAAGTCATAAAATCCTAAATGTTTCTATAAAAGTAAATGTGGTTACACGAAGATTTGTAAACATGGCACATGAACATTTTGTCATTCAAATGTCATACTAATGAATAAGTCCATTCAATGCATTTCATGTTGCCTTGTATTGTAGCAACACAAATTTCCGTCGTTTGGATAAAGACGGCATGTAGATCTGTAACATTAAGCACCTTTGAACCTATGAAAAAATTTACTTCCACTGTAAACTGAAGTAATTGCAAATATTTATTTTTGTTTTGTTTTTTTTCTTCTTAATTGGACTGAAAATTTACAATGCAGTCCCTGTGAACACATTGTTCCAACTAACAGTTAAAGTGACCCCACATATATTTTCATCCAGCTATTAAAAGATCTTTAATCATAAGAGAAATTAAAATATTAATGCTGAGATTTATGAATTCATTAAAAATTAATTTTGCAGTACATTATCAGAGCAGTTATAATGGTGTAAGTGCTTGTCATGGCCACTCGGGGGAGCTACATCACTAAAAATTCTCTCCACTCAGTTCAGAACATTGTCAGTTTGTTTTATCTGTGGATAGTCAGTTCCAGTTTTCAACAGAGTAAATAAGACTCGATTCTCTGTAGCAGCATCTTATTTGTGAAAATAGCAATTTCCAATAAACTCGCTGTGGTGGGCAAGGCTGGTTTTCTGATTTTTAATGGGAGATTTCAGGGTACTGAGGATTTAGTCCTAGTCTAGGCCCAGCCTGTGAGTATGAGAAACCGTCTGTGTGTTTAGCTTCTTGTTGCAGTGGAGCTCTTTATGACATTAGTTCTGGGCACAGACACGCCATCCATCACAGCGTACAAACACAATATCAAGCAGTGAAGTTGAAGAATAACATGGTTAGGTAGCCAGGAGTCGTCTGATGGGTTGCTGCAACCAATTTTCAGGGTGCGGCCCCTAAGGGGATTCTGCCTGCCTTCTTAAATAACCATTTCAAATGCTCAAATAGACGTGTGCTTGCAGTCCCAAGATACTGAACACTTTGAATTCAGTATGAAGAGTACAGGTCTCTAATGCTCAAATGCTATGAGATTGAAGTCATGACCAACTACCTCTTCTTTATTAAACCCTTAAATAAAGGTTTATTAATATATACCATATAAGGACTACTGCTTTTAACTGCAATGGCCTACATACAGTGTTACACAGCAATGGATTGTCACCAGCATTTAGATGGAAAGAAAACTTTTTTTTAATGTACTTTTGGTACATTTCATAAGAACTGCTGTAGCAGAAGCATTGTTACGTTTTTGTTATTGAATAATATTCTAGTTATATGGGGCAGTGAGTTGATTTTCATTGCTGGAACAATGAGCAGCAGGTTGATCAAACTGGCTGTGTTTATGACTCATATAACTCATTTATGGCATAATGGAGAGCTGTTTGACTCACTTGCCTTTTCTGACCCTTGTTAGTCAGCAAACTGAGGATAATTAAAAATGATCTGTTCTCTACCAGGGATAATGTGTGATTGACACATCTGGCTGCGGTACCAGCTGAAAACTGTCTCACTCATTCAATCTCCACTGGGGAGATATTAAACAAATGGGCCAGTCTGAAGGCTGAGACTATAGGTGCACTCCCTTAGGAGAGTTAACGTTGCAGGCAAAGGTAGTGAAGGACCTCCAGTACTGGGCAAGGCTGTGAGTGCAGTTCATTTATTTCATTTCCATTTAAAAGTTATCCATTTTTTGGGATGTGTAGCTGCCGAAGCCGATGCTGAGAAAAGGAAATAGACAAAAAAGAAGAAAATTTACAAATCAAACAAAGCCGCTGGTCTTCACAGATCAATGAACTGGCCACATCAGAATCCAGACCTCAGCATCACTGAATGTGGGATTATCTGAATCACGAGAAGGTAAAAAGTCCAACCAACTTCTAAGATTAAACTTCACAGGTGTGGAACAACATCCCTGCAGATTTCTTTAAAAACTGAATGCAGATCTCCCAAAACAATTGGAAGCTGTAACAACATATTACATTTAGTTGTTGAGTCTTCTGTGTAACATACTATTAAACATAGAACCATAAACACCCAAATAATGAAAAGGGTTCTTCAGATAGAACCTATATAGAACCTTTTTGAAAAGGGTTCTGTATCACACCAAAAAGGATTCTTCTGTTGTTACAAGCTTGACATTGTAACTATAACAACACTTTTTGCTGCTATATAGAACCCTTTTCCAAAGGTGAACAGTACATTCTCCATCAATCTGAAGAACCCTTTCATGATGCAAAGAACCCTTCAATCATGCAAGGGATTATTTGAATGCTCATGGTTTTATATAGAACCATTTTTTACTAAAAACCCTGAATCTTTTTTAAGTGTATTCTGTTCACACGTCGGTACTGCTGCTTATACAGTTTAAATTACTGCTGCCTGCTTAGTGTAGATAAAGGAAATCGGGAAATTGTCTCCATAATTGTCTCAAAAATTCACTCAAAAAATGAAAAACCTAATCCAGCTCATATCCTAGTTATTTCTTCATTATTTAGTGACCAAGGATACTAAAATTACATTTCCCCATTAAAGGATTAAATATTTGTGATCTTGCATACAATGGCAAGCAGATAGTTGAGCCTCTGTTTATGATTAAGCTTTTATCAAAATCTGCATGTAATGAATAATATAATGATTCCATGCCAATCTAACCTCCATTCTCTAATTTCAGCGTAAAGCCTTCCATTCAGTGTCCAGGAACGAATCTAACAAGACCAAATTATACTTTAATTAGGACTGATTTTGCTTAAAGGACTTTCCATATTTCATGGCCTAGAATTTAGGCATTGTGTATAACACAAACGTTTTGCGTCTTTGTGAATAGATCTCTGTAAAATGAAATAAGTCTTTTGATCAAAGAGATGAAAGATGTCTTCCTGTCCTGACTTGCCTCGTTCCCCATGTCTTTGTTCTGTGTATCACAGGACATCTCAATGATGCCAGAGCTGCCCCTGGTAAACTGAGGCTGTCCAGAAAGCCAGTGTGTTAAACAGAGAAAGAACTTGCAGATTTTTAGACTACAAGCACAACAAAAGTGCTGAATCCAAAACAGCTCTCGACTTTTTGGGTGTTTAAGACCTTAATTCATAATGCTGAGACTCAGCCATATATATGAACCAATAAATGGGGCTCTGTCCCACATCGACTCCTTGTTCCCTGCTGAGTGAATTAATGTCTATGAAAAGGAAAATTCAGTGTCCTTGTCAGTCCGTAAAGTAGGGTGTGGAGCTGAGGGCTGACGTCCAGCACAGTAACAACACTTTAACCTACGGCTGCCCAATCCTGATCATTGCGATCTACCACCCTGGAAAGTTCAGACCCAACACACCTGGCTCTGATATTCAGATGCTCCTGAAGGCCTTCATTACCTGGATCAGGTAAGATTAGGGTTGGAGCTAAACTCAGCAGGGTGGTAGATCTCCAGGACCAGGATTGGGCACCCCTGTTTGAACTAAACTTGACAATTAGCTAATGGGTTAAATTAGGTCATTAAAGCAGGAAAAGAATCAAACTGTGCAGGAATCTGTCCTTCCAGGACTGGAGTTCCTCACCCTTGCCTTAAACTGAAGTAGATTTACTGAAATATTGGTATATTGAAGCCTGCTGGAAAACCTGCAAGATGAACTACATGCTTGACTTGTGTACCAGATATGTGCTGACTATATTACTGTAGGTTTTGACTCGTGTTACTTTGAGAACAGTCCGCCAACCAACAATATCAAGCCAACGGTGGTGAGAATCTGACCCCTGAAGGATCATTAGCACTAATTGTGGATGGAAAAATATGGTCCAACTTTACATCTACAAGGTAGGTGTGTCTAATAGACTGGACATTATGTGTACACAGTGTTTAAAAACTCCAGCAGCACCACTGGACCCGATACATTTGTACCAGCGCCACACATGTATGCAACACATGCAACTACCATGTCAATGAGAATGATAAGTTGTGTACCAATACGGTAGGTGCACCTGATAAAATGGCCAATGAATAAATCTGTATGTGATTCGGCTGCCCTCTTTAGATTAGTGAGGAAAATTACATTTTGGATTGTGAGGGGTCGTGAAGGTACAAGGCATCCCAGTAGTACTGAGCTCATTTTTCATTGGGGTTTCCCTTCAGATGACTGAAGTTCCAGTACATAAACTAGGGCAGGGATTTTGTTCACAAAGAGCCAGTGACTGCAGGTTTCCACTGCAATCAAGCAGAAGCACACCTGATTCCACTTGTTCTCAGTCTTTAAACAACTAACCAGTAATCTGAGTTGTGCTCTTGCTTGGCTGGAATGCAAAACCTGAAGATACAGCAGTCCTTTTCCAAGCAGATAAGACTGGTGACCACTGAACTAGGGGATGGTGTGAGAGACAGCTATGGAGGAGGATCCCAATTCTCAGTCCTGGTGACCACACTATGCACATTTCTGTGCTTTGTGTCATCCAGCACACCTGATTCAACCCATTAGCTAATTAACAAGCTCCTCATGGGCCAATCCGGATCCTGAAGATCTACCACCCTGCAGAGTTTAGCTCCAACCCTAATCTAACACAACTGATCCATGTAATGAAATCATTTAAGGGCATCTGAACATTATAGCCAGGTGTGTTGGATCTGGACTTTCCAGTGTGGTAGATCTCTAGGATAAGAATTGGACACCACTGGTCCAGCGCATGAAGTCACCAGCACTGGGATGGGAACCCCTGACCTGTGGTGTTCCCATTTTAAGTGGTTCCTAATTCTTTAGTAGCCCCCCCAGTATATTTTGTTGCTTTCCCTGCTCTACACACCTGATTCAACTATTCAGCTATTTAACAAACCCTTCCTAAGTTAAAGCAGATGTGTTAGAGCAGGTCTGCACTCACCGAGTTGGAAATCACTGCTTTAGCACAGTGGTTTTCAACTGGGGACCCACTGCCTTGCAAAATTTAGGGGTTCTCTGGTGGTAAATCTGAACAATTCGGACTCTGTAAGAATCTCTATGATGGAGCTTTTACCATCAAACCACTCTGAGCACATCTTGAGCAAAGATTGATTTCCCTGCTATAAGAGAACCATTACAAACTATTAGGATTAAAACATAAGGGTTCTGCTTGTAATAGCGATGGGCTTAATGGTTTCTAATAGAGAGCACTAGTTTCCTGTAGAATGCCTTTAGATCTCGTTAGAAAACCATCAAATGCATTTAGAATCAGCAATTGGTCACCTGTTAAACCATTCATTTACATTGTGATATCAACCCATTAAGAAAAGCCAAAAACATTACAAAACCACGAGGAACCAAAAGAAACACTTAATGGCTTCTATGTTTTTTTTTCAACAGGGCTTATGCATACATTTTGAAAATTCGGATGGAATTCCCCTTTTAACATGAACTAAAACCCCAAACCACACCCTAACCCTGATGACGATAATCAAGAGTTTCACTACACTGGTTAACAGTTCGACCATCTGTAGATCAGCCTAAGGGACCATCAGAAAGAAGAATAAGACTGAATGATCTACTGAGTGACACTGTGTTGCCAGATCACAGTGCTCTGGCACGGTAAGTAATGACCCAGTCTTCATGTGGTCTACGTACGCATGTGTGCGCGCGAACCCACGGTAACTATCTCCTCCGCGCCCCCACTCCAAATCCCCCCACCTCCAAATCACCCCCCCTCCTCCTCCTCCCTCTCCCTCCTCTCCCTGTGCCTGCTCGGGATTCCGTACCGAGTTCCTCCAAAGCCTCCTCTTCTGCTGGATCTCTGATGGCTCCCTCATGGATCTCTGCGTCTCTCAGCGAGCGTTGCAGCCAGGTTGCCAGGTATTTCACTTTTTATTTGCTCCCAGTGCTTTAGGGCGCCGGAGCCTGACGCAATTGAAAAAAAAAAAATACAAGAACCGTTAAAACAAAACAACAAACCCTTCAGTTTACTGCCCGACTCCGGCGCGTGCTCCTCCTCATTCACTTTGCTCTGTGAGCTTTCGCACGTTTTCGCCTCATCACTGGCGCGTGCTCATCGCTGAATGGCTTCGGCGTGCATGTGAATTAGACCAGGGGCAGAAGTGACGATGTACTCGCCTTTTCCTCGCGCAGCTCCGGACTCGCATTTAAAGGCTCTTCAGGCTGATTGCGTGCGATTAATTAGCCTAATGTGGTCGGAGTTTATAGTGCAGCGTAAATCAGTGGGATTCGCGGTCTTAACTGTTCGGCAGGCGAAACTGATTGGCATTTTCCAGCTGACCTCACTTTCCTGAGGAATTCACTCGCATCTAGAAGGAGTCTCGTCGTTTGCCTCAGAATAAAACTGGCAGAAATGACCTCCAACAGAAACACACGCCTTGGCGGGAACCTGTAACATGTGACAGCACTCTTAACTTCAGACGCGAGTCTGTAAGACCACCACACCGAGAGTGGGTGTGTGCATGCACTGGGATTCACCCTAGCGAGTATAGGACTCCCTCGAGTGCGTCTGTTCTCAAGTGTTATTGAGGAGTCAGTGTCCAGGCTGAGCACAGCATCATTTATAATCCATGTTATTTGGGCTGTTGCAGCTCAGTTGTTATGCACAGAGGTCGTATGTGATGTGAATTGCACGCTGGTGGTCTCTTAAATGATTTAAAGGCATGGTCAGTTCTCTGTGGTGAACAATTATTAGCTCAGGTGAAAGGCAAGTGAGGAGAGGGTGGGGAGGCGCCCCCTGCTGGCTGGCTCGCTCTCTTTCCTCTCACCCAGAGCACATGCTGCTCTGGTAAGAGGAGGATTCCACCTGTTTTTGAACATTTCTGTTTAATTCAGTCACTGAGATGTGAACTACTAAAAATAATGCGTGGCCTTGCCTTATTAACGTGTGGGAACAAGATCCTAATGCATGGCCACAACTTAGTAAGGCATGGCAATGAGATAATTAAGTCGGGCCATGAGATCATGACTTACTAAGTCGTTGCCACACATTAGGAGCTCATTCCCATGCTTTACTATGTTGTGGCCATGCGTTATTTTGATTTATACAGGATGTAACCAGCGGGGCTCTGTAGTAAAGGCAAAACCTTATCTTAAAACTGCTGTAATACAGTTTCTCAGACATCAGGCAGGGTATTCATAACATTTTCATGACATAACTTCCTAGAGGCATTAAACTCCTCCCTATCTCCACCACTTTGAACAATCCTGACTCTGTGAGTTTATCTAACATGGATTTCACACCAAACCATTCTGAATAACTGTTTACATCGCAATGTAAATTTTAAAAAACTGGTGGAATTGTCCTTCCAAGGAATACTCCAGTAGTTTTCACCTGCATCTCTAGCATATTAGTTACTATGGATAATAATTTTGACATGTTTTACTCCCTGAAAAACTGCCTTGAAACTCATTATAGAAGCCAGTGGGCAGTTGCTTCAGGTTATTGTGAGTAGTAGTTGACCATATGATACAGATGTAGTTGATCAAGATTTGGCTGGACTACTTCTGTTAACACCACCGTGCTGGTGGTCACAGGCTCACTTTAATTCCCCGCTTCTCACTGAGGTAGTAAGTGAAGCAGAAGCTGGTTGGAGAATATTGGGTCTGTTGAGAGAAATATTGACGCAATTTGGCATTTAGATCATAAGACAATCTCTCGCTCTCTCTTTCTCTTTTTCCTCGATTCCTTTCGCTGTAAATGCCAGGGCACAGGCTCTGATTGTAACAGTCTTTGCTGATGACTGTAATGCAGCTCTGCTCCTGCTATTACTGCCTCTCCAAGCTTCGGGAAGAAGGGATACTGATTTGATGCTAATTATTATGAACTTTACAAAAATGCGTCCCAGTCTTGCCATCGCATAAACGAGCATGCTGTCCAACATCCATCCGGAGGGATGTGTGTGGGTCTCATATGTAGAAATGTCAAGGAGAAGGCCGAGCTCAGTGTGACTCACACTCTTAGAATCATTTCAGATGGATGGCTGGCCAGCCAGCCAGTCGCGCGATGGCAATTGGATGTGTCCAGCTGTGAACTGGCGCGCTCTCTTGGCTAATGTGAATGGTTCAGACAGCTGGGGGGGGGCTTGCCCACTGGGCTTTCGAAAAGCTTTCGGACAGAACGGCCAGATGGCTATTCTAGAGCAATCTGAAGTCTTGGACAGGTGCTGCCAGTGGGTTGGTGTTTGGATTATTGTGGTCATTATTATGATCAGTGTAATAAAATAATAAACACAGTCATGATCATAAATAATACATGTAATTTATATACAGTACAGAGATTATCCTGCATTTATTATTATCCAGCCAAAAAAAGCAGAAAGCATATGTTTATTAGTCTCAACAATTAAATATAATATCAAACTTTTCAGTATTTAGTATTTCTGTCCACCATTTACTTTTATGACAGCATTTATTGTTTTCAGGAGACTTGCTCTCAGTTTTTCAAAGAAATCTGCAGGGATGTTTTTCCACTCCTCCAAAGTTCAGTCTAACAGGTTGCTGTTTTTGCTTCTCATTATACAAGTGATCCTAAACACATTCAGTGATGTAGAGGTCTGGACTCTGGGGTGGTCAGTCCTTCAATTTAAGATCACTAGCAGATTCTTTGATTTGCAAATGTTCTTCTGTCTAAGGAAATTGTCTGTTTTCTTTTCTCAACGAGGCTTCTTGACAGCTACACATCCTTTCAGACTCATAGTGTTGAGCTGTCTTCTCACAGTGGAAGGATGGAGAGAAACACCTGAGGATCTTTCAGATCTGAAACAAGAGTGGAGCTGGATTTTCTCCTCTCTCTCAAAGATAAAAGCTTTAAGTACTGTTAATCTGATGATGAGAGTGTTGGTGGTCTACCAGGTCAGTTGCTAGGACTTCAGTTTTCTCTGTATTTCATTATATTATATCTCCTCAGAAATATCCCCTGAAAAATGATTAAGTTGTATTTAATGGCTGTTTTGACCAGTGATTTAATAAATGAAGCGTGGCCTCTGACATTTAAATCACTTTACAGAAGCAACAACAAATAACAACAGGAGCGAGAAAATTTCAGAAAACGGGAAATTTTTTGTTTTTTTGTTTTTTTTTACCTCTCTATGGTAGTTACTGAACTGCTCATATTAGTTACTCAGTAATAAGCATAAAGATTAACCCCTTAACATTCAGACTTATTACATACTAAGGCTTATTATTCATTAACTACAGGGACTTCAATGCAAAGGGAGCTTTTCTTATTTAGGTATGTAATAAAACTTGGTAAGGGTTACTAGCTGAATTCTAAAGTTTAAGGGGTTAATCGTTACTCCAGTCAGCTGAGTGTAATCATACACATACTGCTGAATTCACTGCCTCCAGTGCAACAGTAGTGAGAAATATCATGATGAAGGTCAGAGTAATCAGCGGGACAGCGATCTCGGTTTGTTTGGAAACAGTCGGCTTTCCCTCTGACATCATGCAGCTGCTCACACTTCAGCAGTGACACTGCAAGCGATCGGCATCGCATGATGTTTATTTTTTCAACCACTCTAACCTGTAATCTAAAAGCTGAAGCAAATACTTCTGCCTGAAATAATTACACACACTTGTTAGCTTACAATGGTCTTGGCAGGTTGCCAGCAATCTATAACAGCAGTTAAGAGAAGCCTTAACTGCTAAAAGCAGAGCATTAATGAACGCTGCTCTCATTGGCCTTCTCCTGCAACACAAGTCATTAGGAAGACGATATGCATTCTGAAGCTAAACAGTATGAAACACTAATGCTTATTTATCTGTCTATCTATTTATCTATCTATCTATCTATCTATCTATCTTGCAAGAAAGCAAGCATTTTTCTCATGAGTTGAGAAAATGGCCTAGCCTGACCAAGACTGCTTGGTTAATTCCATTCTGGGCTCAGAAGAGCTGGCATCCTATCTGGCAGTCTGTGACGACTGGGACTTCCTGCGCCACATATGACACCATGAACTGGCAGTAGAATATCTCAGAGATTTGCGTGCGTCTGCACGCATGTATGCGACTTGAAATAAACTGACCTCATGCAAGTCTCATGCATGAGTCATCAGCGTGCCATCGCACGAACTTTATGTGTGAGCGACAGAGGAGTCTTTTTGCTCCATGCTCTTCATTTCCTGTGATCTCACTGACACTTCCTTTGGCAGCTCCTTTCACTGTGTGGATTTTCATTGTAGCGTAATTTTCCCTGGGTGGCCTTCTTTCGGCTGAGGACCGAAGGCACACGAGTGACGATGAAGGAGATGAACTGCAGCTTCCTCAGATCCAGGCCACTGGTCCTCATGACATTTATTGTGTCTGGAGGCAGTTTCAGGGAGTTTACTTAGCAGCTCAGATGGACACCCAGGCCGCTGTGACCTTGGCGATGTTTGAGCTGTTATTGTGAGTGACCCGGCAGAAGCAGAACGGAGCGAGTTCAGCATGCAAAGCCACGCTCAGAAATTGCCCAGAATAGCTCTGCTTTCTATTCTCACCTCAGCTGTCTGAGCTATAATATGCAGGCTGGCTGTATTGAGAGAGAGAGAGAGAGAGAGAGAGAGAGAGAGAGAGAGAGAGCATGGAAGAGTCTTTGTGCGTTGCTGACAGGCGCTTTTGTGAAACACAGCTCAGACTGCCATGCAGACCTCCTCATAGCATGTGTATAATTACACACTGTGTGTAACACTTGCTCTGACAACAGGACCCCCTCTCCTCCTTCCTTTTCTCTTCTTCCTCCAACAGCCTGCTCCTGCTTTTCCCACAAAGGCACAAAACAAAGGCGCTGCACCTTAACCTCCCTGTGCTCAATACAGCTGCAGCATCAGCGCAACCCTTCACTAAGCACTGGGAATATCGCAGCATGACTGTCCACAGTGTCCAGCCACTGGCCTTTTTTTAATGGCCTGTTCACCTACCCATGCTTTGCCCACAAATCTGTTCTTTTGTACTTTTATAGGCAAAAATCCCATTCAGCTTTATGAGAAATGTTTTCCCACAACAGGGACATTGGGAGTAGGGGTGCTGAGGAGGCTGCGGCACCCCCAAATTTCAGGATTGTTTAACTGCAACTGCTAAAAACAACAGAAAATAACAAAATAGGCCTGTGCCCGGTGACGGTTAATTATGTACCACAGTAACAGCCCCCAGTGGTGGTGAAAACACATTTACCGCCAGTTGTTCATTATTGATTTTAGCAGTGTTCCCGCATAAGAACATAACTGAAACCTAATTTTCACTATTACAATTTTAAACCCTGGGTGGCAATGTCCTACATTAATGCCACATTTATTGTGCCTATCATGTAATCTATAGATGAACTTGTTCTGTGCTGCAGGCAGATATCATGCTTGTACAAAAAAGACACCTCTACAGTAAGGTTTTATGACATTCTCAAACCACAGTGTCAGGTTTCAGACAAAAAAATGAGTAAAAACATGAGTAAAAACAGGTCTCAGCTCTCGTTCATCAGGCAAAACTGGCCTTTTCAAATGGCCTCAGGCAAAATGGCTTCAGAGAAAAAAGGCAAAGAGATAAGTTTATTGGCCAAAAACTGTCAGACGGTAAAGTTCATGTGTAAACGGTGTGTGTTTTTGTTATCCAGTGGTATACAATGAGCAGAAATGCACCTGCCCAGTACTGACTAGGAGGTGAGAGAATAAACACTGAAAATGAAAGATGGATATGCAAGGCTGAAGTTAACCCCAAATCAAGAGCCTCCTTGCGCTCTGGGCTAATAAATGTGTCCAAGCCAAGCTTGTCAACTCATAATGGAGAAAAAAGTAAACAAAAGTAAAACAGAAACAATGTATGTGTTGCTGGGCTGTTAATGCAGAAATATTGCCTTCGGATCTCATCTGGTCACAGTGGGAAAAGTCTAAGTGGAATGTGGCCAAAGTTTATCTAGATATGATCTGGACGCAAAACATGTTAATGCGGAGTGTAAACAGGCTCTGTTGTCTCCTTCATCTGCTTTAGTGTAAGAGGTGGTATGGTAAAGCATGGGTAAAAAATACCCAGTTTAAGCATTTACTGCAGTTATTGTGCACAAGCTTACCTAAATAAGAGGACTCTGTTACCGGCACAGGCCTATAACAAAAGAACAGAGACCCATGTCTGCTTGTTATAGGGTATTGTTCTGTGCCCTGAAGCAACCTAAAAGTGTAATAAAAACGTAAAATTTTCAGGGAATGTCTCCCGTTTCCATTTATTTTTTCAACCTTTGAAACAATCTCCCGCTAGAGGTGCACACATAGCTTAACTTGGCATGACACAAGTGGTTTATACGCCTCATACTAACAATCTGACTGGTGAATCCTCAGCACATTTGCATAAAGGTCATCCAGCAAGAGACAGCAGCGAGGGTGTGCAGCTGTATGTGTACAGCTGTATTGTCGTCTCTCACCACATTATTTGATGAAAGTTATTCAGAAAATCTAATAAAAAAGCAACAAAACAGTATTTAGCATGACATCATGGTGTTTGTCACATATAAGCTGCTAAAATTTTCATTACCATTCATCATTAGAGGGAGTTCAAATGATATTTATTTTGTATGCATATGAAAGGTTACAGCGCTAGGATAGGTCAAGTATAGTTTTTTCGAGTTTACTTTAGCATTTCAATTAGCTTTGAGAATGCAGTCAACTGGAAACTCAACGTCATGCAGCGAATAGGGATGTGAAAAAGAGGTAGCTGAAGTCTACCTTAGCACTGTGTCACAGGGCTAAATATCCTAGTCATTTTTGTGGAGAAATACCAACATATGCTCATGAGCAGGGGTCAGTTCTCAACTCCAACACGGCTTGGTGTCAAGGTCGACTCAGAGAGTCAAAAAGGATTGGATTTTCATCACATCACTATGATCTGTAGCTACTCAAAAAATGTGTAAACTATATTTAGGATGGTTTAATCTCTGCTGTATCCCTTCAGCTCTGACAGTATCAGTTAAAAGTAAGGCAAGTTTTCCCCAATTTAGTCACTTGCAATTCCACCCACTAGTTAGCACTCCCCAATCACACGATACCACCAGCGCTAGGAGGACGAAGGCTAGCACAGGCTTCCTCAAAGACCTGTGAAGCACCACCGCATCTTTTTGAACTACTGCTCACGCAACATCACTGGACAGCTGAATGGTCAAACGTCAACTGCTAGACCTGTTACGTCAGCTAACAGACGCCGGCGCTAGCTAGCATCGCATGGGGGGAGATGGGGGGCCAAATGTGCTCGCTTGGGCTCCCGGCCATGCATGGCTGTAGCATCACCAGGGATCGAACTTGCGATCTCCTGATGATGGGGCCAACTTAGATGGTTGCGCCACTCAGGAGACTGAACTAACTTTTTAACCAAAAGTGTTGGTTGAACATTTATCTATTTGTTGGTTGGTGTTAATCAATTAATTGTAAAGCTTGTACAGCCTTACAACAGTAACTGTAAAATAATGCACTTGAGGGCGGAGCATGGATAAATCAATGTACCACTCTTCTGTTTCTTAAGTGATGTTGTGATGTATGAAAGCTCATCTTGTATCTCCAGAGAAGTATTTGGTGCTAGATGATTTTACTCAGGAGGGATGCTTCAGCTTCTGTGATAACATCAGCACCAGTGCACACACACACACACACACACACACACACACACATTTCCTCACTGCAGGAGGGGCCCGTCACTATTATTTCCCTTTGCAGTCTCCCCAAACGGGGGCGGATTTAATCTAGGCGGAACAGGCCTCATGCTAGCCTGCTCTAATCTGCACTCTCTCCTCTTTTAGACTCTCTTGCATTTGTGATTCAGCCGCTGAGGCGTGCAGGAGTGGCTCCGCTTCACAAAGTGCACTGTGTCTTCGGAGCTGTGCTTGAAACGAGGTGGGTGAGTGCGAGAGAGAGATAGAGAGGGCTTGTTTTTTATGCAAATTGCCATTCATGGGTTCATTCTGTGCATTTGTATTAACTAAAAACAGATTGTAATCGAAGTGAATTAACTGCAAGACGGACGAGATAAAGAATGTGCGTCACAGGCTGAAGACCCACAAATGACAGCTCAGAGATCAGCAACCCATTAGCTCAGGGGAGCATGTGAGGACTGGGGTACTTAGTGTCCAGTGTGTGCTAAAGAGTGAAGTATTCTTGCAGCTCAGTGTGTGTGTGTGTGTGTGTGTGTGTGTGTGTGTGTGTGTGTGTGTGCGTGTGTGTGCACGTTTGTATGTGTGTATACTCCATATAAATCCAGAGTTGTGTGTGGAGGTGGAGCTCCTCTTCAGAGACACACTGGCTTCTCAGCATGCAGCTGCCCTTTGTGCTCTGAGCCTCTCCTATCCAACACCACTCCGCTCACTGCTGCATGAGTGGGCTGATCACTACTACAGATAAAAAGCTGCCAGCTAACCACAGCCAACTTCTCCATGACTGGGATTTTGGAGTGCTTCTTTCAGTCTTGTGGTTTCTGTGAATTTTGTTATCAATAAATCCCAAAGTTCTGAATCAGGTGTGTTAAAGCAGGTAAAAGAATATCCTGTGCACTGCAGTGGTACCACAGAAAGAATACGTAGTCTCCTGTCCTGTACATACAGTACTGTACAAAAGTCAGAGACCACTCTTCATTTATTTAATTTCAAGTCAAAACAGCCATCAGTTTTTCAGGAGATATTTCTGAGGAGATTTGATATAACATAATCTTGTATAAGGAAGGGGAAAGTTGAAGGAAAATAAGTGAAAAAACAAGTGCTACATAGAAAATGGAACCCATAACAACCATGCAAGACCTGGTAGACCACCAAAACCGTCCCCGTCAGATAAATAGGATGTTCGTCTTTGAGAGAGAGGAGAAAATAAAGCTGCTTCAGATCTGAAAAAATCCACAGGTGTTTGTGTCCATCCTTCCACTGTGAGAAGACAACACTATGGGGCTTGAAAGGATGTGTACACTATTTAAAAACATGGTGCTCTAAGGGTTCTTTAGTAAGGAAAATGGTTTTATATAGAACCATGAACATTCAAAGAACCCTTTGCATGATTAAAGGGTTCTTTGCATCATGAAAGGGGTGGCTTAGTGGAAAATGTGCATGAAAGTGCTATAGACAGTTCTATATAGAGCCCATTGAAAAGGGTTCTTCTGTTGTTAAAAGCTTACCCCTGGCATTGTAACAATAGAAGAACCATTTTGGGTGCTATATAGAACTATTTTCAAAAAGGTTCTATATAGAACCATCTACTGCACATTCTCCGTCAGACTGAAGAACGCTTTAACGATGCAAAGAACCCTTTAATCATGCAAAGGGTTCTTTGAGTGTTCATGATTCTATATAGAACCGTTTTCTTTACTAAAGAACCCTTGAAGCAGTGTGTAGATTTTGAGAAAAGAAGAGTCAGTCCAGACCTCAACATCATTGAATGTGTCTAGGATTACTTGGATGGTGAGAAGCAGAAAATCCAACCAACTTCTGAGACAGAACTTTTGGGAAAATATACCTGATGATTTATGTGAAAAACATCCAAAAAGAATGGAAACGAAGATTGTTATTAACCTGCTCTTCATACCAAGGAAGACACTTTGATTAACAGGAAACTAAGTGTTGAAGCTAAATATACCCAACAAGTTCAAAAGTTCAAGTTCAAAAATGTGTTCCCGAATTTTTGACATGCAGCAGCATCTCATTTCACGTGTATGATCATGTGTTTATGAGTGACTAAATTGTTTTGTGGAAAGTACTTGCAGCATGCAAAGCGTGAGCATATGGTGGAGGTTGTGTGTGTGTATGTGTGTGTGTGTGTGTGTGTGTGTGTGTGTGTGTGTATGTGTGATGTTAAGGCAGATGGGAAATTCAGGGAGAGACAGGCAGTAGGCTGAGCATCTGAAGGCTTGAGTGAGCACAGCAGGGAAAGAAAGAGAGAGAGAGATGTTTCAACAGCACTTTACCTATTTCTACTCACTAGATCAGGATCAGGGTGCTCTGAGGTGCCTACATTTGAAAGAAAACTACCTTTATTTGAGAAGTCATTCCATGAGTCATAGAAATGACTGACATCTTTTTTTTATTTCACTTGGGTAACTTTGTGATTTGGAAAGTTTTTTGTTTGCACTGTAGCCCTGCTGGTGACATCCCTTCTTAATAAAAATAAGGCACAGCCTCAACTTAATAAGGCGTGGGAACAGGATCCTAATACAGCTTAGGAGTGAGATAACCAAGTCATAGCCATGACTTAGTAAGGTGTGAATGAGATAATTAAACTGTGGCCATGTCTTAGTAAGTCATGGAAATTAGATAATAAAGTTGTGGTCATGTCTTAGTAAGCCATGGGAATTAGATAATTAAGTTGTGGTAATTAAGTTATGGCCAAGGCTTGGTAAGGCGTGGGCACAATCTAATTATCTTGTTTCCACACATTAGGATCCTGTTCTCACACCATAGCAGGTTGACTCCCTGCATTAATTTTATTAAGAAGGGATGTCGCTAGTGAGGCTCCAGAGTACTGTAAGCTTTTTTCATTCTTTTTCAGGGGAAAAGAAGGACACTGAAGACACGTGGAGGATTGTGAAGAGGAACATCAGCCTTTGCATGTTATTAAGGCGGAGGAGCATGGCTGTCCATCGTCTGTGCCTACACATACTGAATCCTACAGCAGCGCTGGGCTCAGAGAGAGGCCTGAAGCAGGAGGTTTAGCCAGAGGGGGGGGTTAATTGAAGTCAGCCATGTGGACCACTCCTAGTCCAGTGCATCAAGATTTTGAGTGTTCCTTTAAAAACATCTTGATTGTTGTGCATCAGACGAGGAAGGCACATGAACAGCTGTGAAGGGAGGAAACTAGGACGCACTTTTTTTTAGTCAAAGCAGATCAGGAGGACGTGCACTGAGAAGAGGAAGGGCTGAGATGACAGAGTTGGATGGAAGAGGAGGAATGAAACTCTGTTTGTTGTGTCGCTCTCATCCTCAGACGGGGCTTTGAAGCCTCTCTATCAGTGGTGTGCACACACACCTCAGATCAGAGCAGGAGAAGCTGATTTAACGGAGCCGTCTGTGCGTCAGCTGTCCTGCTACAGGACTGCGGGGACTGTGCCACCGTTTTCAACATGGAGTCCCCAGACGGTGCTGTAAGAATCTCCACTGCGGCTGTAGTGGCCATAGTCTGCAATGTGCTGGTGGCTGTTCTGATACTGGTCCTTTTCCTGATCCTCTACAAGGCCTGCAAGGTGCCCTCCAGCCAGGAGAGGGTGCCAGTGCTAGCGCCTGGCAACACGCAGCAGAAGAACGAACAGAAGTATCTCCTGACCACCTGAGCACCACTCAAGCTTCAGCAGGAGACCAAAAGCCAAACTGAATGTGTGAGGGTCAGGGTTGCTACTGAAACAGGACTTGAACCTTGGCAGAGACCAAAGCGGCCAACTTATATAGTCATATTAGAAATGTGCATGAGAGAAGCAATCGACCATTCGCTTCTGTTCTGCGTATCTCCATGCCATCCTTGGACCCTCGCTGAACCCAAGAGCTTTATCCAGCCTCAGAAAAGCTGGGCTGTATTTCCTTGTTGCTGGTGGAGGTCTGTGTAATTGGGGCTCCATGTGAGACACTTAAAACCCAAAAGAGCACACCAGCTCAGCAAGGGCTGCCTAGAATGGGTTTGTCTCTGATGTCGGAGCGCTTTGATACAGTAGCACTCCACTGTGAGTGGCTTATATAAAGGTAAAGAGACTCTCGTTGTCCTCTTCACGATGGTCCAGTCATGCCCGCAAGAGTCGCAATCAACCCACACACTTTGCTAGGGCAGCACACCTGCAGTGAACCAACTAGCAATCAATACTGTGCTAATAATGAAACTAACAGTTGGAGCTTGAATAGGTATAAGAGCTGCCCTGTAGTGCTCATGTGTGAGTGATGCATTTTAATATCAAACAACTATTTGTGGGGATTTAGCCCATCCCCCCCGTCCTTTTCTCTGTCATTGCTTGCTTATTTAAAGAGCCTGAGGAACCAGTAAACAAATATCTCCTCATCAAATTTGCATCTCATCTGGAGCATATCAGTCAGGAAATGAACCAGTCATTTAAATGTGATGAATGATTTTAATAAACACTTCAGAAGACAAAACTTGTCTGTGAAAACTCTTCATAAGATCACAAAATGTTCTCAAGGGAGTCTTCATTGCAGTTGCCTTGTTTTGGGGAAAGAAATAGTGCCTGTTGAGGGTACAATGATATTCAGATAACATCAAGTTGATAAGAATAATCTTAAGTTGGTACAGTACTGTGCAAAAGTCAGAGACCATGATAATTTTATATTTGTTAATTTCCAGTCAAATCAGCCTTTAAGTTATTCAATTTTCAGCACCAGGAAAAAAAAACAGAAAACATTTTTAACAGAAGATTATAAATGACTAGATATAATACCACATTTTCCAGTATTTAGTGTTTGGACTGGACTCAGGGACTAGAGTAGAGTATTTAGTGTTTCCAGCCTTTGCCTTTGTTACAGCTTCCATTATTTTTGGGAGACTTGCTTCCAGTTTTAAAAAGAAATGTGCAAGGATGTTTTTCCACACCTCCAAAGTTTAGTCTTAGAAGTTAGTTGCATTTTCTGCTTCTCATGATCCAAATAATCCCAAACACATTTAGTGAAGTTGAGGTCTGGATTCACCAGCAGGATCTTTTGTTTGATTGTGCTTTTTTCTGACATTTTTCTCAGCTGGCTACTTGACAGCTACACATACTTTCAGACTCATAGCAAAGTTGAAAAAATAACCTGTGGAATTTTTCAGATCTAAAGCAAGAGTGGAGCTTGATTTTCTCCTCTTTCTTTTAGATGAAAGCTTTAAGTGCTGTTTATCTGATGATGACATTACTGGTGGTCTACCAGGTCTTACATGGTTGTTAGTAGTCCCATTTCTTATACATCTTTGAATCATTTTTCAACTCTAGTTGTGTTTTTCCATATATTTTCCTTTGACTTTCCCCTTCCTTGTCTAAGTGGATAATCTTACATCGAATCTCCTCATAATTATCTATTGAAAAATGGATAACTTGTACTTAGTAGCTGTTTTGACTTGAAATTAAATACATGAAGTGTGGTCTCTGAAGTATAAAAAAAGTATACAGAAACAGTAGAGATGAAGTGTTCTGCAACCCTAATCAGGAATTGCTGTGCTATTACAGAGTTCTGGAGGACTCACTAGGCATTAATCATTTGAAGTACTCTCAGGTTCCCTCAGCAGACTCAACAGCTTCTCCATCTTAGCTACCTCCACCTCCGGGCCCTTTGGCAACTCCTGACCCTTCTTCTCCTGGAGAGGGACATAGAGAGAGAAGAGAGACAGAGAGAGATGAATCAGCCATTTGAAGTGAAGTGAAGCAGCTGACCTAATGCTGTTATTACTGAGAGCTAACAGCGACTATATTAATGTTTATTTCTAGCACAGAAATCAGACGAAATCATTTACTGTTACTTGACTTAGCACAGACCACACTGAGACACAGACATGGGTGTTACCACTACAAACAAGCTGCTCTGCTGTAGGCTGACATTTGTCGAAGACAATTATTTAGACACATCATTTCCTCAGGGGAGGGCACTGAATGGGCCCCACTCCCTATCAAAGATCATCGCTATGGTTACTGACCTTGCAGACGCAGTAATGAACTTAACAAGATATCCTGAGGAGCAGTTCAGTTAAAAATGGCAAATAAATCTCTCTGTTTTTATCCTTGGAGTCATTAAACTCCCAGTATCTGCTGACTGCTGGGCAAAAGACGGCCCATGTAAACGAAGCTGTTATGTAATCTTACCCTAGAACATTCGATCTCATTTGTTATATAGCGGATCATTTAAAATGAAGTACTAGGGACCTGCTCGGTCAGCAGCTGGGGTAAACTAACAACATGTGAAAAAGGTAAAAATAAGTCTGTAGTACACTAGAGAAGCTTACTTTTCCAAATCCACTGAGGCTTCAAGGCTGATGCAGAGATACCTCTTCAAAGTCTTTCTAAAAAGTAGCTCAAGGTTACAGCTATTCATAGAAGCCATCAAATTGTAACCATGGAGCGTGTTAAGGGAAAAGAATTAGAGAGAGGAAACTTTTTCGAGTAAAGAGACTATTAAGAGCTGGCACTTCTCAAGGTTTCCACAGGAGGCCTGTCTGTCTGTTACCTGTGGTAAGCCTGTGGTAAGCTTCATCATTTCTTTGCTTTGCTTCTCACCTAATCCAATGTCATACCTATGCAGGTGTGCAGCTGAAATACTATATTTAGACTTCATATCCAACGAGAGAGAAGTCCACCAAATCAGAACTCTTGTGTCCTTTTGGCTTCAAGGTCACCACAGACTCCTGGAGGACCTAATGCAACCAAAGGTGCTCAATACTACAATACAACCTCACCATTTGAAATCGGTGCTTTCAGTAATATGAATACTATGCAATACTTGGCAACTGTAAAATATATAATACAGTTTATTTCAGAAAGCATTCATGTGAGGTGTGATGAAATTATTATAACTAGGTTTTTATTATATAATATAATTACACAATACTTGAAATACTAAAAAAAACTGTGAACACTGTTTAGTGTCTAGCTTATATTTGGTTCTACATTGTGTTATCATTGAATAAAATAACGTTATACATAATTTTAATATGATCCATGTAAGTCAACTAATGATTAAGTCCAGACTTTTGCATGTTTCTACATTGTGTTGAACAGCCCTGGTTTCTCACAAAGATCTGTGCTTGCTTTACTTTCTGCTCTTGGTGATCTACCAGCCTGCAGTGTTTACATCCAGCCTCATTCTAACAAGAGTTGCTACACAAGTTAACAGATAACGTCTCAAGGTAGATGAGTATCAAGCCTTCAAGCTACAGGTTGCAGAAGTGTTCATCTCCAGGAGGAGGGCTTGCACATGTGATTTATGGAATTATATCACCAAGCAAGGTCTGTCAGGCTGTTCAGGTATGCACCCAGGTAAGTAAACTGTCTTTAAACAGCACAGGAGCCACAGGACCCCACACTTATAAAAACATCTACAATACAGTCTCTTTCTGTACACATCAAATTGGTCACAATTTCGCTACTGATTACTGCCTACATAGCAGCAGGGGCCCTGCCAGAACAGTGGAGGCTGCTGTAGTTGCAAAAGGTGAGGGGCACTCCATGTTAATAACCATGGTTTTGGAATGTGATGCCCAACAAGCTCATACAGGTAAGATGGTCAAGTGTCCACATAGTTTTGGCCATGTGGTGTTTCTGGGTGTGCTTACTTTGTAGAGGAGCCAGTGTGCACAGAGCCTGTTTGGCCAGGTGAAGGACAAGCTAAGAGACAGGACTCAAGAGTCTATACTTTCTTTGAAGTGACTAAAGCACAATCACATATAGAACAAAGGTTCTGCAGATGGGAGGGAAATGTCACATGGCACATCAAAGCCGTTCATTACCAGGCTGTAATGTCTGCAGTGATCTGAAATCGGTGGGGAGTTCTTACATAATTCCCATGAAGCTAGCTGACTTTTTTAAAGAGCTGTTCGGTGCATTCCTTGTCAAGGAGGCCCTGGATAGTTAAAATTTTCTTAATTGCTGTCGTGTTCAGCACGCATTTAAAATGTACTTGATGACTTTGATATTTAAAAGTAGAAGACCGATGAGATGCCAGCTCAGGACTGGTGGAATGCGTAAATAAACTGGAGTCCAGTAATCCCAATCTAATAGCTGTTAGTATGTACAGCCAGTAATATAACTAAATGTAACTGAATGGCCAGAGAGGCCACTGGGAATGCATGCTCTCTATTCACAACTGCCTACCACCAAATAATATACAAGTAATAAAGTCTGGCTATTTACTGCAGTTAATTAGTTTGAAGGCTGAAACTTGTAGCTGACCAGGCCTCTATCCAAAACTGCCCACTACAACCTTGCTCTTTTGGGTATAATAGTTCTGCATTTTGTTCTTGCATTACTAGACTTCACCTCCACATTTAGCCTCAGAGTAATCTCTCACATCTTGAAGGGCATTTGTGAAAAGGAGTGAACAAAATTTCTACCAGAAACCCTTCAAACCCTTGATTTGACTTAAGGGAGAAAGCCTTGAAAACGGTAGACTTCAGGCAGTTATATATCCCCAGATGCATTTTAATTGTTCATTACTATGTGCTAAAGTTTTATCTACAATCTAACCACTCAGGATATACACTATATGGCCAAAAGTATCTGGACAACTGACCATCACACCTATATGAGCTTGTTAGACATCTCATTCCAAAACCATAGGCATTAATATGGAGTTAATGCCACTGTTCTGGCAAGGCTTTCCACAAGATTTTGGAGTGTATCTGTGGAAATTTGTGCCCATTCAGTCAAAAGAGCATTTGTGAGGTCAGGCTTGATGTTGGATGAGAAGGCCTAGCTTGGAATCAATGTTCCAATTCATCCCACAGGTGTTTAGTGGGGTTGAGGTGAAGGCTTTGTGTAGTTCCTCCACACTAAACTTGTCAAACCATGTCCTTATGGACCTCGCATTGTGCACTGGGGCACAGTCATGCTGAAACTGGAAAGGGTCTTTCCCAAACTGTTACCACAAAGTTAGAAGCATCTAATTGCCTAAAATGTCTCTTTGTGCCGTTGCATTCAGATTACCCTTCACTGGAACTAAGAGGCCAAAACCCTAGAAAACAAGTCTTAGAAGTTGATTGCATTTTCTGCTTCCCATGGACTGGCCTCTGGGATGCTTAGTCAGTTGTTCTGAGAACAGCAGCAGCTTTAGATTACAAATGATCAAATATAATACCACATTTTACAGTATTTTGTGTTTCCAGACTTTGCTATTATTACAGCTTCCATTATTTTTGGGAGACCTGCTTCCAGTTTTAAAAAGAAAGCTGCAGGGTTATCTTTCCACATCTTCAAAGTTCAGACTTTATAAGGGTCTTGGTTGCATTTTCTGCTTCTCATGATCCAAGTAATCCCAAACACATTCAGTGATGCTGAGGTGTGAACTCACCAGCGGGATCTTTTGTTTGAATTGCAAACATTCTTCTTTTTTGTCTATTTCTTTTTCTCAGGAATGGCTTCTTCACAGCTACACGTCATTTCAGATGTCTTCTCACAGTGGAAGGACAGACAGAAAAACCTGTGGATTTTTTCTGATCTGAATCAAGAATTGAGCTTGATTTTCTCCTCTCTCTCTAAGATGGAAGTGTTAAATACTGTTTATCTGATGGTGACAGTGTTGGTGGTCTACGAGGTCTTGCATAGTTGTTAGGAGCCCCATTTTCTCTGTATCTTTTAATACATTTTGGAACTCCAGTTTTAGAAACTCCTGTTTTTCACATATTTTCCTTTCACTTTTATGCAACTAACTTACATATGATTTCACCAGAAATGTCTCCAGAAAAATGAATAGCTTGTACTTAATGGCTGTTTTGTCTGGAAATTAAATGAATAAAGGGTGGTCTCTGACTGTTACACAGTACTGTATGTTACATAGATACGAACTTTAAGAGGGTGGAGGTCAAGTAAAGGAGAAAATGAAATGAAAGTTGGGGCAGGTTGCCTTCATCTTGCATCTTAATGCAAACTTTTGAGCTTAATGTTGGTGCTTCCAAAACAGTATGCAGAAATAACAGGCTTGCTTCAGGCTTGAAGGGTGGAGTGGTAGATCACAGAGTTGTGCTGGGAGCAGATGGATGATTCTCCTGCTCTAAAGATGAGGCAGAGCCGTGTTACAGCAGTGGTGCAGTGGTCACGGCTGGCTGAACCTGAACCACACTCCTCGCACTGCCTGTTTCAGTGTAGAGCCCCCCAGTCCTTCTTCACTGTCACTGCTTCTGGCTTGTGGACCGCGCACAGATTGCTTTTCACAACACTGAACTAAAGCATGCACATATGCAGCCAAGTGTGGCCAGCATTCAGTAATGCTCCTTAAAACGGCTGGGGAAATGCAAAGGTCAAGCTTGATTGAATCTGTAAAAGACTGCCTCAAGACCTAGGCAGATTTTTTTTTCTATTTTCCTGGCACCTGTGAGTACTGGGCAGCAATTCAGTTAGCACTTAAATAAAAGACTTTCACTAGCCCGCTTGTTTTACGCATGAGCCAGAGCAGCAGAGTAGAGCACACGCTCAATGTGTGGAGAGAGAGGAGCTTCTGACCCATCATCCTTAATACAAACACATTACTCTCCATCCAGATAACTGCTGGCACAGTGGGCAGTCCATAACTGCAGCGCCTCACTAATCACAGGCCTAAATAGACCCGGCACAACCTTGGCCTGTGACATTTACCACTGCTGCTGCAGTAAAGCAGACAAAACTGTCAACCTTCTTCACCCAGAGTGCACAGGAAATGTGCCAACATCTCAATAGTGACAGGGCAATGGTGTCCACAGAGACTTTTTTGCAGCAACAAAGAATAACATTTAGCATCTTTCTCAGTTTGGCAGACACCCAGATGGCAGCCTGTCTCTAAGGCAGCGAAGAAAGTGAGTCTGGGGAATGAGATAGCGCGAGAGAGAGAGAGAGGAAGCTCGGAGATGATCATTATCTGCAGAGAGCAGCTCAGTCTATGTGGCACTGTTATTTATTCTTCTCGGCACAGGCTAAGGCCATTGCACATGATCAGACGCTGCATTCATTTGCTCAGACAAAGAAAAACAAAATCGCTTCAGTGAGTAATGCAAAGGCATTTGCGAATATTGAGTAGCTTCACGTAGAGGAGAGGAGGCTTGTTAATGAGGTTTAAAGTAAAGGGAACCAGCTCGATTATGACTCTAATGAACGGAAAGATAGAAAGGAGAGAGAACGCAGCTCAGGTGAGAGATGGCATTAAAAGTTTTACTCAGAAAGGCCGCCGCAAAGAAAAACGTACTTCTGTTAACTACACTGTATTAAACAGGTCACTGAATCTTAAAGAAATTCACAAATGTCTGTGTAAAATCAGAAACTTGGTAGTGTTGGTAGTACCAAGTCAGGTGACTGCAGTTGTGGCACATTCTTGAAAACGTTTCTCTGCTCATCTGCAAGGCTTAATCAGTTTAAATAAGTGCCAGGGATGTTCTACAGCATTAAAACCTTAGAAGTCTCAATTTGTGCCAGTGCAATTTGGTTTTAGGTGTTAACTCACTGAAACAGGTGGGAAAATTCCTGCTGAAAGTGTGGATTCTAAAGTTTGAATCAGTTTGATGTAGTATGTAAACTTTGTTAAATTTTCAAAACATCCCATTAATTCCCCAGTCAATACAGTCCACATATGGAAACTAAGCTGCCAAATGGCCCACTTTAAATTCATTGTTCTTGTGATGTTACACATCAAAACATTTACCTGTATCCACCTATTCACCCTACGGCAGTTTAATTCACACTGAAGTTACATTTACACTGAAGTTACAAGGAGTGTTTCAGTTCAAGCCATACAAAGATCATATGTGGACCTCAGGAGGATAAATGATAAGTGTAGGATATGTGCCCTTTAAACCATCCATAGTTCCAACCTGAAGTCTGGCTGCTTGTGCACTGTATGATGCTATGACTTACAGTGATTGTAGTTAAAATACAGCTTTTAAATGGCAAGTTCCACTGAAGGCTCTCTTGGTGAAACTAAAAGTTATTTCTAGTCACCACCATGGTGAATTTGTTTATCACCAAAGTACACTATAATATCACTTACAAGAAAAACAAACGACTAATGCTAGCAATATCAGTCATATCAGTTTGGTGCTCTCACTGGACGTTGGTAATGAAAACTGGAAATTGTGTTCTTTTTTTAATGTTCATCTTGCGTTCATGTGATTTTCATGTTCAGGTGAATCTTGCTAGCTATAACAAAGTGCACTGCTTTGTAAATGAGAAAAGGAAAACTTAAGGATCAAATTTGAGCAAATAAGACAAATCTAATTAATGATGATTAATTATTTGAATCATCTGGCAGCCCAAATAATTACGTTAGAACAATATAGAATTTGAATAGAGTAATACAACCTTTAAACTTACATAGTTTATTCATTCATGTAAAGTCATGAAACTCACCAGGTATGATTTGGCATGAGACTGCCCATCATCTGTTGAAGCCCCTCAGCTTCTTGAAAGACTTCACGATTCAAGTCATACTTCCACACTACTAGATACTAAAATGACCTTGTATGATGCAATGTCTCAGTATGCAAAACTGACCAAGCAAGTACTCCACACTTTATCAAAGAGATAAAAATTAATAAATGAAAGCTCATTTTTTTCTGCTTCTTGTTTTCTAAGAAGCATTTTCCTAATCAATAATAACAAATTGATTTGATAGCTTGAATTACTTGGCTTGGTTTCTTGGCAGGCAAACAAATGCTAATTAAAATGACTTCCTGAGCAGCGCTTATGGCAGGAGCGCCTCACTTAAACGCAGAATAAATCAGATAATAATTTGTACAACATTGTCATTGCCTCCATATAACTTGCTGATGATATTAATCTGGTTAGCTTTGCATTATGGCCTATATGAAATGCAACAAACTGACTTAGCTTGATGACACAGAAAATGAAGCAAATTAAAATGCAAGTGAAAAATGGGCAACAAGCCAGAAAATGATTCATAGATTGGGATGAAAGCCGCTTATGAGTTAGTGCTTGAGGCCAGCACACAGGAGCCCACGTGAGGATGGCAGGAGAGGATGGCTGGCACGGCTGCTTACCTTGGGCTTCTTGCGGAGGTTGGGAGAAAGCTTGAGGCTGGTGACGTAGCCCCGGTCGTCGCCCACGATGATGATGGGGTACGCAGGGTTAAACTCAATGTGAGTTAGCCTGGTCTTCTTCTTGGCCACCACTGCCTGCTGGCAGATAGCTTCATATTTGTTAACACTGAGGTCAAACACATGGACCTGTATGTGTAAGAGAGAGAGCGAAATAAAGAAAGCGATGGTCAGAGGGATATTAGGACAACTCCTCAGAGGCTGTTTTTTTCTGAAGTGCACCATTTTTTTAAATAAACATTTCTAAAGGAGATCTTAGAAATGGCTGAACTTCTGTAATCTGTTTAGTTTCAGTATCCAGGACCTGCATAATATATGGAATTATATGGATGTATTATCTGTGTGGGTGTCTGAGATGGAACACAGATCACCTGGCGCTGAACAGAAGGACTATCTGACCCTGTTGGATGATGTGTTTGTGTCTTTGACAGGGTGGGCAGGTTCATTGACAGAAACAGAGCAATTGGACATGCAGGAGTGAGTAGCTCTCCAATTAAACACATGGTGGAAAAACAAGTCCAGCGTAACTTCCCACTTCCCACACAGAGGCAAATAACCATCCAGCCAAACAGACACGGACATCAGGGTGCATTCATCAGTGTGAACCAGCTTTTTTCCATCAATCTGTGCCCACATTCTGAGGAAAATGATGCGTTTCCCAGAAGCATCTGGCTCTCAGAATCACAACCAGGGCATCTACACTGCCTATCAAAGGCCCCCGTAGATTTGAAATAAAATGGAAAACTTTTTCTTGCATTTGCGTTAATGTAGTATATTAACACTGTTAAAGTTTTAAAATGTACCTTTCACTACCCGGTCCATACAGTCCATATCATCACTAACACATTTTCATAAACACTTATTTTATTTTTATTTTTCAACATCATTTGAACACAGCAGCTTACCCTTTACAATTTTGTGATGAATGGACCAATAGAAAAGTTCCAAATCACATGGAATAAAATCTCTTTAACCCCTTAAATGGCCAACGTTTTATGACACACTTCTGTCACTAATTAGTATGTAATTAGTCTAGGATTTTAATGGGTTAACTTTTTTTGGCAAATTTCGGAGATACTTGTGTGTTTTTTTGTTTTTTGTTTTGGTAGTCGTATATAGAATCTAAGCTGCAAAAATCCACATTTGAATTATTTTTGTGTGATGTCACAAAAACCCACACATTTGCATATATCCACCTATTCAGTCTACATCAGTTTAGCCCCACCCATTTACATCAAAGTTGTAAGAAGTGTTTTTTCCCATACTGCTTTTTGAATGAGGCGCAATATAGAGCAGCCAATCAGAACAGAGCTCATTTACATATATTAGTCATACAGAAATAAAAACAACCTGTTTAATTCTAAGGGATAAAAAGAGGTTGAGAAATGGTCATGTAAAAATTAATTAATTAATTATATGTTGTAAGTGGTAGAAAAACTTCAGGGTGAAAAATAAAAGACAAGAAAAATGCAGGATATGAGCCCTTTAATATAAATGAGTAGCAATGCATTGATACTGCTTTTTCCCTTTCGATAAGTTATTTGCTTATAAATCCTGATATGTATACAATTTATACAATTTCACTTTTTAAAAATATTTTATCTTGGAAAAAGCAGTGCTTTGTGTCACAAATAAAACGTGCTAAGCTTGAATGAATGAATTTCAGTTACTAGTTGGATAACTTTGCATTTTAATGGTTTTAGAGTTGTAAACCACTGTGTTCTTTAAAAGCTTTATTAAATTCAGTGTATTGAAATCCTTGGTGAAGCAATTTCTGATGCACACACACACTCAGCTGTGTAATGCTTGCGTGCTTCATAGTATCAGTATTCTCTATTGTCTTTACAGATACTGCATATAATATACAGTATACAATAATTGTATCAGTGCAATACTACAAATCAGCATGTTTTCCGATCAGCTAACTAAGAAGTAATAGTGAAAATTAAACTGAAAAATGATGGGCAGTGTAGGTCAGGCAGCCCTGACAGAATATTCTGGGTTTCTGAGATTACTTCACTACTGAACACCCCTGGATAAAACAGCAGCAGCACCTTCTTACTGCCTTACCTGAAAAATCTCCTTTACACGCATGCACACCCACTACAGCTGGAAGCTCTACCTCAGGAACAAATAATGTTTTTTTTTTTTCTCCACTCAAAGTTATCTTCGTATCCCCACATGCTTTACACTTCATATCTCCAGTCAGAGACGCTGCCTGTGGCTCAGGTAGGACTGAGGGTCAGTACACACAGCTGAGGGATCAGTCTCTTAGAGAAATGGAGAGGGCTTTGGGCGACTGATGAAACCTGCGAGGGAAGGGACATCATTTCATCCTCCAATACATCAGGTTTGACAAATACAGCCCAAACCATTGCCGAATCTGAGGCAATGGGGGAAGCAGAGTGATAAGGGGAAATGGGGGGGAAGGGAGGGAAATATGGCTGACTTTAGAGACATCATCCTTCATTGTCATTGGTCTGCGAGGCTACCCGCCCCAGCACAGCAGGCTAGACAGCAGGGAAGAGTCGCAGTGGAGATGAAGGGTACAGAGGGCGAGAAGAGGGCTGAGAGGTTGCAGCCCTGCCACTGGTAAATATTTGTCAGGCAGCATGGCTCATAATTACTCACAGAGCACGTACCAAATGCATGGCCCTATTCTAAGCAGCTGACGCAGGGACACAGGAACACACACACATACAAAACCATCAGGGCTACAGAAGCCATCTGTAACTGTGGGAGGACCACCGCAACCACATACACTCACACACTGACCAACAGCATGGCTCTGTAAATAGGGTCTGAAACAGTGCTCTGATGGATGCCAATTGTGTTAATGAACTGGCAAATGTATGTGAAGGTACCCTGTACAAATGAGTTAGGAGCTGTGTGGCATCACATATTTTGCAGATGAGGAAATATGGACATATACAGCAAGGACCAAAAGTCTAGTGAGACTACTAGTGAAAAGGCTTTGCATTTGTTTGTAAGTTAATACAAAATGTTTCATTACAAGTTATAGTATCAGCATAACAATCTGCGTGAAAACTAGAATCTTTTAAATGTTTACATGAATTTGAGAATTTCTTAGTATTTGTCCCTTTTGCATTAATTAGAGTACAGAGTCTTGGATCACTAACAGTGACAAAAGCCTCTGTGGAGCAGATCAAATCCATCTGAAAGTAGTCTGAACTCAAGCTTCAATGGAAGGAATCAGACTGAAAAAACTCTGACCTTTTCGTACAAAGACCTTAACATGGTCACTGACACAAGTTTGCTTAAATTGGAATAGAGACCTACAAATAGTGCAAAATCTTCAATATTTCTTCTTCATTTTGTCTGTCATAACTTTTAACTCTTTTAATTTTTTTAATAACTTTTTTTTCCCAAATTCTGAAATGTTCTGTTGTTTGTTTCCAAGATTAAATGAAAACAATCTCAGATTTTCAATGTGGTCTCATATCAAAACCTCATGATGCCATTTTAACACCATTTAATAATGGCAAATTCTCTTTACAGTGTACAAGCATTTCATTATAAATGGAATGAATGCAATGGTCCAAAATTACTTGGAATCAACTCTTGTTAGATTAATGGACATTACATTTCTTCCTTCTCCAAAAGTTATCATTTTTAAGATACAACGACAGTTCTGTATTCACTGCACTCGATGCCAGGCTCTCTGAGCTACAAGAATTAAAGCAGTAGATCAAATGTGGGCTGCAATTCTAAATAATAAAGCTAAACACACATTAATGACAGCCACAAAGTTTAAACTAAAGAAAGCTCATACAAAGAAAAACGGTCAATAACTGATCTTTAGTTTTACCTGTCGTGAAGTGAAAGGCCCTGCTTATAGAAAAAATGCTTCTTAATATCTCTGTAGTTTCTCCTAGACATCGGTGAGATCGGATGGAAAGACAAAGGAGACGTTTAAAGGGCTTAAATGGCCAACATTTTACTTTTTTGTATATTCCACTAAAAACATTTTATGGTTTTACATAGCAAAAACAGTCATAATTCATTTATACATGCTCATTTCCTCTCTCTATTTCTTAGAATTAAACTGGCTGTTTTTGTTACTGTGCCTTTAAGACTGGTATATGTAATTGAATGATCGCTGTTGTGACTAGCTGCCTTGTATTGCAGGCTGGGCTGAAACACTCTTCATAACTTCAATGTGAATGGGCGGAGCTAAACTGCTGTATGAAAAAATTATGTGACATCACAAAAAACGCAAATTCAAAACACGTTTTTGCAGCTTATTTTCCATATACGTACTGTATGGACTGTGGAGTGAACAGTGTATTTTGAAACTTTCATATTTTTTCATACTACATCAAACTCTTCTTTCAAAAAGGTGAGGAAAATCTAAGGATACGAGCTGTGAAGGTGTCAGCTGAGCCGTGGTTTGGTTCAGGTGTCCTTGTGCCATGTTTTGCGGATGAACATGTCTGTGTTGAGTGGTCAAGATTGGAAGAGCTCTCTGTAGAGGCTCCAGGGTGACTGAGACACTGTCGTTCACCACTCATTTCGTCCCCATCTCTCTCTCCCTCTCACACACACACACACACACACATCCACGCTCAGTCACTCATTCAGACTGGCACAGTCCAGAGAGCCAGAAACAGCACCATGATGCACCATGCAACTCAAACCTAACAGAACGGATCTGAAAATAACTCAGGACAACCGGCATCCTTGCAATAATGGCTAAAGCTGTCCGAAAAATAAAATAATAATACAAAATAAACACTCACAGAGGCACTGTCACTATACAAAGATGCCTCTTCAGTTTGATAGCTCATGATTCATAATGTATAAGCAGACCACAGAGGGTATTGTTATTATGCAGACTCTGTAACATTGGTTGCCAGTGATGGCAGAGTTTAGATCAACACAACAGTGCAACAGAATGGTCAGGACAGGTGTTTGGAGTCTAACATCTGTTCTGACACTGACTGTTAATGTCAGGCATGTTGATGGCTTGTCTCTGTAGTTTATTACCACAAACATGGATGGGTGAATGACTGTATGTGTGTGTGTGCTGTGCAGGTGCTGTCGTGCAGTATTATGGGATAGCAGGAGTGGAATCCCATCAACTTTCAGCTATGGTGTTTCATTAACACCCATTACGGCTCATAAAGGGGTGTCTGGGTACGGTGTCATGCATGCATGTGTGAGCTCTTGCTGTGAGTCCTTCAGGAGATGTGCTTTTGAGTGCTTTGGAAAATGACAGTCTAAGTGCATCATCGCCTGCAATTAGCCACAACTCTCAGTATCATCATATAAGCTTCAGCATCATGTTGTGCTCGCTACCAGGCTAAGTGGCAATATTGCTGCGCTCATTAATATCTAAGCTATGAGAATTATAACTGTAGATCAAATGTGGGATGTTTACATGCTGCATTTCTAAATAATAATAAAGCTAAACACAAATTAAAATGGCAATAACAAAGTTTAACCTAAAGAAAAAAAGAAGGTACCGTAAATCAAGTGATGACTGACAAGTTCTATAATTTGAATCCAGCGCAAATCTGCTATTTCTGCTGTCTTGCAGGCCAGACATGATCTCATAATGAGAACATCTGGGGACAACCATGAGAAAAGTTGGGCTAAATGTGTTTGAGAATGTAGGTTTATTAAGGTGGGAACAAACTGAGCGTTAAATTTCTAAACCAATCCAATGGCTCATGAAAGCAGAGCTCAAGGAAGCTGGCTAAGGTGCGCTCCTCAACACTGTCCTATGGACAATAAGTCTGACGTTAGCCCATGGATGGAATGTGAGTTTAGCATGGCTGAAATGTCCTGCCAAATAATCCCAATTAACTGCAGTCCTCAATCCGCCACATGTTCTAATGGAATATCAAAAGCTGCTAATGGACACTGAAGTGCACCATGTTGTTACTGTTATTGATGCCATAGGCATCACACTGAGGTGTACATCCAGCCAGCGATGTTTAAGTCAGGGCTGTCTTTAGGAATTTAGGAAAATTACACACATAATTTATTCTGCATCAATCATCCACAAATCCCTTACAAATAATATTACAGATCTTTCTCAAGCAAACCTAATCCAGCTTGACTAGTGTCGACTAGGCTATGTCTTTGAGCTTCTGATTGGCAGAGCTTACCTTTCCATCTGTGGTCACAGCAGCAAACACAGTGGAGGAGTACGGGGACCAGGCCACATCCCCCACAGCTGCATTCAGGTCAAAGGTGAACATCGGGCTCCTGGTAAACATACACCATAATTAAACTAAATTAAACTGTTCATTAAAAAAACACTCTCTGCACTCGGTGAAATGTCCTCATGAAGAATGTAAATGCTTCATGATCATTTGGAGAGAGTTCACAGGATGCCAGCTAAATACATGCTATTGTTTCAGGGCAGCTCTGGGATTTAGGCAGGCTTATCTGGCTCGCAGCCCTGAGTGCCTGGTGTTTCTGCACAATGGATGCACTCGATGTGCTCTATCCTGCAGCCACCAGGAATACTGCACCAGCTAAACCACACATACACACACACACAGACACAAATTTGAAATCAATGGCACCTCATCATCCCAGTGGTCAGTACAGAGAGTTATTGTCATGCTGAGCAGGCAGGTGGACGAATGCATCCTGCTCCTGTGCTCTGCCTTCATTTCATACACAAATAAGATGGAAGGAAAGCATCTCATTTCTAACTCTTCTACATATATTTATTAGTCTGAGTATGTGTGTCCACTCTAACCTGCATGTCTGCTACACTCAAGCTGTGTGCAAATTTATTTGTGAACAACCATTGCTTTAAAAGGAAGCATGCTAGTCGACTACAGTCATCGTCTATGGATTGAAAGGAAAGATAACATGGTCTTCCCCAGGGACATTACTCACCATCCACGGAAGGAAGCGTAACTTAGGGCTGCTGTCCATTTACTAGTGAAATAAATTCAACCATTGTTATGGTAGCCAAAAGTGTGTTTGGTGTCTGATATTTGCTTCTTCAGTTTCCTGCTAGAGCTACAAGTCTAAGTAATAGAAATTTGTAATTACCAGTAAGCATTGTGCCAACTGCATGCCTAAATCCAGTCAGTGTTCTGGACACAGCCTCAGTCTTTCAGTCTAGGCTAAAAACCTACTTGTTTAGTCAAGCCTTTGGTAATTAGTTTTCCCTGTTAGATAAAAGGTACAGATCTGGGAGTTCATGGACATAGAGTATTAGGGTAAACTGGGAGTGTTTGTGCCGTCGTCCTGCTGCTCTCACACGGAGGGGTGCTGACATCTCAGTTAGCCCTCATGTCTCTGTTACCTCTCTGGTTTCTCCCTTTTAGTTAGGCTGTAATAACTAGCCCTGCCGGAGTCTCTGCTGCTCTGTTAACACTGTAATCTGCAATCAGTCACTCTTTACAGAACTGACTCTCTGTGTGTTTTCCTTTCTTTGCTGAGTTGAACAGCTGCCCATCGTGTGCGTCCGATGCTGTTGCTTCTTGTGCCTTGATCGGGTGCCCACTGCTCGCCAGCCTTCTGGACCGGCTTGACCACCATTGAGCTTCATGCTGTACAACTCTGTGCAAACCTCACCCTCATGAACTGACCCTCCCGATGCTGCTGCTGCAGCTATTGCTGCTGTATAAAACTAAAACTAATCTAATTAACCATTGCTCCACCTGTTTTCCCCGTTTTGTACTATAATATTTTATACTAATGCTGTTTGCTATCCGTTGTCGACCAGAGGAGGATGGGTTCCCCTTTTGAGTATTGGTTCCTCTCAAGGTTTCTTGCTCTTAGGGAGTTTTTCCTTGCCACTGTCGCCATTGGTGACGCTCATGGGGGCTTGGACCCGGATTTTTCTATAAAGCTGCTTTGTGACCTGTTCTAAAAAGCGCTATATAAATAAACTTTGACTTGACTTGACTTGACTAAATCATCAAACACTTGCCTCAAACTGTGTCGAATTCCTCAGTAATCTCAAACAGACTTGCTTATGTGGTTTCTGACACTGTATAACATACAATATTCTATACAAATGTACAAGAGTAAGGATGAAATTCAGGCTGGCAGTAATGGTTTTAGCAATGCAACATGCTTTTGTTCTATTTCTCTAACAACTTAATGTGGTTTCAAGCAAATATGTCTTGATTCAGGCATGTGATTTGCTCAAAAGTTTCCATTAATTGCTATCTGCATTAACCTCATAGCTCAAGTTCAAAATAAAAGAACTTCAGAAACAAAATGTCTACCTGTTTAACTACAGTTAGGGTATAAGAAAAACTTCTGACTTTTGGCTTAGCCATGCAATCTCAATAGACAAACACTGGCAGTAGAATGGGTCATATGAAAGAGCTCAGTGACTTTACACACATCGCTGTCATAAAATGCCATCTTTGCCACAAGTCAGTTTGTGAAGCTTCTGTCCTGCTAAATCTGCTTCTGTCATCTGTAAGTGCTATTATTGTGAAATTAAAGCCTCTAGCAGCAACAACATCTTAGACCACGTAAAGTCACAGACTGGGGCCACCAAATGCTGAAGTGCGTAATGCATAAAAATTGTTTATCCTCTGTTGCATCACTCACTACAGATCCCCAAATCGCCACTATCGATAGTGGCAGCATCAATAGTAAAGTTTGGTGGAGGAGACGTAATGATCTGCGGCTGTTTTTCAGGGTTTGGGTCCCTTACATACATACAAAGACATTTAAGACAATTATATGCTTCCAACTTTGTGGCAACAAGTTTGAAGAAGACTCTTTACTGTTCCAACATTACTGCACCCCAGTGCACAAAGTGAGGTCTATAAAGATGTGGTCTGATACGTTTGATGTAGAGGAACTCCAGTGGCCTGCACAGAGGCCTGAACTCAGCCCCGCTGAACACCTTTGGGATGAATTGGAACATTATCTGCAAGCCAGGACATCTTGTCCAGCATCAGTGCCAGACCTCACAAATGTTCTTTTGTAAGGTGAGAAATTCACAAATTCCCACAGACAGGCTCAAAAGCCTTGTGAATAGTAGTAACTATGAATATCTGGCTTGTCCGTAGGGTTGCATTACTCTGCAAGACAACAGCGGTTGAATGTATTTCTCTACAGAGGGGACAGCAGCCTTAAATTACTGCTGGTTTTGTGGACAATGAGTGATAGCCCTGGGGAAGACTGTTCTGATTTTCACAGCAATCCACACAAGACTTTAGACCACTAGCATGCTTTCAAACACTTAACTTTGTCAAAAAGAGACCCTAAAAACAATTCGGGAGGTAAATACCTAAGCCCATAAAACATGCTTAAGAAAGATTGTAGAAATATAGACACCGCAATCTCTTTTTTATTTTACTAGAGCCCTCTGCTGGTGAATTTAGGTAGCGCCAGTAAACACACCTTAAAAACTACAGCAGAGAATAATAAGAGACACCACACCAGGCATAGTGCGCTCTGTCAAAATGACAGAATAATTATGATCATTATGTACTCAGGGGTCTCTCTTTGATAGACTACAGACTGGCTAATTGATTTGTCAAATGGTGGCACTGACAAGCTAATTATGTTTATTTTAATAACAATACTAGTGGTATAATGTGTTTAATTTAACTTTGCTATTTTTGAAGTAAAGATAATACGGTTCAGATGGATTTCATCTATTCAGTGAGGCTAGAATGTTTCTGTGAAAGCTTCCTGCGTTTATCTCATTGACTTAACCTCACAGATTATAATTTCAGATATTGCTCTGTGGTTTAGGCTTTGTGTAATCTTGCTATGTAGCTTTGACACATGAATGCATGCATCAAGGTTGTGATTGATGAGTGCTGCACATACTTGATGGTGTGATCCCATATCTTGACAGTCCAATCAGAGCTGCAGGAGATAAAGACCTTAGGATGGAAGTGGTTCCACTTCACTGCATCCACCGCCATGTTGTGCGCAACATACGTCTCCAGTAACTGGCTGGAGTAGAATTTGGAACACTGCAAATGAAAAGACACACATTTGCACATATCTTTTCACTGACAGACAAGCACATACTGTTCACACACGAACACCCACATTATCACCTGTGCCTTTAGAAATTTGCTTCAAAACTGAACTCATTTTCTTCACTGTTTCTTTTATATTCATTTTCTTCCACGTTTCAGTTTTTTTTTCTCTTTTCTCTTTGCGGGCTGCTGAAGAAGTACAATCCGGACGTGGCATAACATGGCATATACACTGATTTACCAGTTTGTTAGGTGCACCTACCTTGTCAGGGACCATTCTTCATTTATTTAATATCCGGTCAAAACAGTACAAGTTATTCATTTTTCAGGAGAATTTTCTAAGAAGATTAGATATAACATAATACACTTGAATAAGGAAATGGAATGTCAAAGGAAAATAAGTGAAAAAAAAAGAAATTGCAAATCAAGCAAAGAAGCTGCTGGTGTTATCAGAATAATTGACTGACCACCCCAGAGTCCAGACCACAACATCATATTATGTGTTTGGGATTACTTGGATCATGAGAAGGAGAAAATTCAACCTTCATCTGACACTGAACATTGGAGGTGTGGAAACATATCCTTGCCGATTTCTTTGAAAAACTGAAAGTCCTGCATAAAGAATGGAAGCTGTTATAAAGGCAAAGGCCGACACACTAAATACTGAAAAGTTGATACCACATTTAGATGTTGAGGTTTTTGGGCAGTTTTCTGTGAATAACTTGTACTTGTTTCCATTAGCCATTTTATAAGAAAAACCATATACCATATAGGAGCACTTTGTAGGTTTATAATTATTGACTGTACTGTGTGTTGCTGCACAATGTATCAGCTCCCTCTACTCTATCCATGGCAAAGGAACACAACAGGACCACCCTCAACCAGATTCTATTCAAGTGGTGGATCATTCTAAGCATTGTCTAAAGGGTAGCTGATAAACAGTTTGTAAAGCGCACCTATGGTAAGTATAACTGATAAATTGGCCAATGAGTGTAGTTTCAGGGTAAGTGTAACTAATAAACTGGCAAATCAGTGTTCATACCACATTATATAATTTGTGAAGTGGCAGAAGGTGGCTCAAGGGGGAAGAAAAGCTGTGATGGGAGGCACAGGGTTAAATTGAGGGCTAAATCTAGAAAGGTAGCAGAGCCCAGCACCGCCTGTCAGTCTGCAGAGACAGAGTGAGAGAAAGTCTGAGCTTGCGGCATGTCTCTGGCACACAGAGGATTAGACTGTCCCCGAAAGCGCTTCTCCACAATGTCTTTGCCAATCAAACAGAGATGGCTCGGCTTGCTTTTTCAAACAGCAGATTTATCGTATCTACTGCATTCTGTGTGATTCTCTTTCTCTCAGGCGCTACTCTGATATCTTTCTTATTGCACTTTCAGTCACTTGCCTTAAACACTAAAATATTGCAGCAGTTTCACCTTTAGGTTTATGCAGGTGGAAATCAACCAGATCATCACACATGTATTAGCATATCATATTACAGTGGCACATGTGGCTAGTAAAGATGTAGCACTTGCAAACAAATCACAAGCAGCTCTACTGCTGCTATCTGAAGCCTGTGTAAGCCTGCTGACGTCTGAGTCCTGTCCGCCCTGATAAAGTGAGAGGACTGTGGAGGACTGCGACAGGGTGGCCAGTGTCACCAGTCACTGATGAAGTCCTGCATAAAGCTGAGCGTCTGCCAGGTGCTGGGGACACATAAACAGTAATAAACCCTGCTGCATCCTCTGCAGCTCAACACCCTGCTACTAACTTCAATATAGCCAGCCTACGGCTGAAAGATGGGTATTTAACTTATTTAGGTTTTTTATAAAATATTCTGTACGTGAGTGGTGGAATAATTCTTAGTCTGAGAATTAAAAAAAATATGTGTTTGCATATGTGTCCAGCCTGTTTAGACAATATTGTCCAGCACTCTTCCCAGAAAAAGGGCAAGATTCAAAGCTATAGATATTATTTCTTCCTGGTGTAAATGAATGAGAATCTGTGCCTATACTACTGCAGTGCATATATGCTATGAGAGAGAGAGGGGGCAAGAAGAGCTGAAGCTAACTCATGCTGCCCCCTGCTGCCACACTGGCTGGTGGGATGAGGCAGTCACTGAGCTGAGCTGAGCTGAGCTGGTGGACTAATGAGAACACTTCCTCTCTCCTCAGAGGATGTCACACATTGTTTAAACAGCGAACACTCAGCAGGAATACTCCCTCAACAACGCGGTAAGCAACCAGTCTTCAGCTCCAAACACAAAATGAGAGTCATATAGACTAAAGCAAGGACACGTAATAATAATAACACTGGAAACAAAACAATGCAAAGAAAATTTGCAAATCAAACAAAGCACAGTGGACTGACCACCCCAGACTCAAGAAATTGTTTGAAAGTGAATACAAAAACTCCCATGACAGGTGCAACTAACCTTGTGAATTTTGCCCTCTTCTGTGCCAACGAGAAAAAGGTAGTCAGTCTGTTTATGGAAATCAAAAGATGTTCCGCAGGCTGTAATGGGAGGGAAAATACACAGTCTTTAGCCTGACACCAATACATGACTGAAGCAGAGTGAAGATGCATACTGTTCAAAATGCGTCAGGACTGTGGGCAGGTCCACTTTTTTGTAAATAAAACAAAATAAAATATTTTTTTTCAAGAGATAACAGACAGTAATACGTTTATTACGTAAAACAAAAGGGTATGACTAAATGCTAGTGTCCAGCTAAGTGACTGTTAATGAGCTTAGCTACTGCTGATTCTCCTGCAGTTTTGATGCAGCGCTAATCAGACCCCCCTCATTCCTCCAGAAGGCTTGATTTACCAAATGTGTTGAATTAGGAGTTTATAAAGAAACAAATGTGAGATTCTACTATCACTTACTTTTCCCATATAATATGCTAGAGTAAGACCAAAGCACTGCAAACCAGTATAATTTTTTGCTAAATAAAGAAATAAATAATTTGGTTATACAAGATGTCAATAAACATATTGAGTTGAGTATTGGTTGATAAAATGAACCGTGTGTGTTTGTGAATTTGAGAGAGACTCACTGTAGATGACTTACCCATAGCAGGAAGCTGCATACCCTCTTGTCCCTCATTAATAGGTCCTTCTATAGACAGCTTAATGATATCTGTGAACACCAGCTCATTCTGCAATTAAAATAACTGGTATTATTTAAGCACATATATTAATTACAATCACAAACAGAAACAATGGTGAGATGTGGAGTAAGTCTAAAAAGTGCGCATCAGTACCTTCACAAGGGTCCACGATACCACACGGCCATCAGAGGAGACCGAGAAGAAATTATGATTGTTGTCTATGTCATCTTCCTGCCACTTCACCTGTGGGTAACATAAAACAAGTGTAATCATGTCAGAAAATGACAGAAAATTTTGCATTAGAATAAATGTTTGTTTAGGGCAAGCACCTGTGACACCCCCAAAATACACAGCCTTATTATAACATGATCAAACACTGTAGTCTGACTGCTACTGCTGCTGTCAAAGGCAATGCTGAAGGAAAAAACACTACCTTTATTATACCTAATCTCTATCCAGTGTCAGCAGCTCACAGGGGAGGGCAATATGACAATATGACACCATTATCACCATAATTTACATCACATTAAGCTTTTATGAGTATACAGTACCGTGTAAAAGTCAGAGACCACCCTTCATTTATTTAATTTCCAATCAAAACAGCCATTTTGTACGAGTTATTCATTTTTCAGCATCAGTAAAAAAGCACGAAAAATATTTAACGGAGGCCTCAACAACAAAATGTTATATTTTTTGCAGTATTTAGTGGGACCACCTTTTGGCTTTATAACAGTTTCTGTTCTTTTTGGGAGACCTGCTTCTAGTTTTTCAAAGAAGTTAACTGCACTGTCTGCTACTCATGATCCATAAGCTCATTCAGTGATGCTGAAATCTGGGCTCTGGGATGTAGTTTATTGCTCTGTGAACACCAGCAGCTTCTTTGTTTGAGTTGCAAATTGTCTTCTTTTTGTCTGTTTCTTTTTCTCAGTGAGGCGTCTTGATAGCTATACATCCTTTCAGACCCATAGCGCTGAGTTGTCTTTTCACAGTGGAATGTTGGACAGAAACACCTGTGGATTTTTCTCAGATCTAAAGCAAGAGTGGAGTTTGCTTTTCTCCTCTCTCTCAAAGATGAAGGCTTTAATTGCAGTTGATCTGATGATGACAGTCTAGGTTGTCAATCAGGTCTTGCGTAGTTGTTTCACTATACCTTTTAATCATTTTTTTAATAACTCCAATTTTGGAAAGTCATGTTTTTTCATTTATTTTCCTTTGACTTTCTTCTTTCTTATGCAAGTGATTATTTTATATGTATATTCTGCTCAGAAATATGTCTTGAAAAATGAATAATTAAATCGCCATTTTGACTGGAAATTAAACAAATGAAAGGTGGTCTCTGACTTTTGCAAAGTGCTGTATATTGTGGGCACTGTCAGTACTTACCAAACACTGACCAACTGCATATATAATTAAAAGAAATTTAGATGGGCTCCCCAGCCTGTCTAGTTGGCTAAGTTTTTGAACTGTAACTACATGTAGTGTTACTCCCTACGTGAAACACTGAATAACCAGAACGCCTTCTAAGCTTGCAGGAGTCTTAAAGATCTGCACACTTGAATGTTTTCTCTTCTTTAACATACTGACCTATGCAGTGTGTGTTCCCTACCTGCCACACAGGGTCCGTGTGCTTGCCTGTTTTAGCAGTGCTCTTATAGACCGGCTGCGGCCCGTCGTCCTTCAGGTTATAGACGGCCACACAGCCGTCATAGAAGCCCACTGCCACCAAGTAGGAGAGCTGCTTATGAATGTCCAGACACATAACCCCAGACAGAGTTGGGAAGATGAACTCTGGGCAGGTGGAGTTCTTCAAAGAATAGAACAGAAGCATGCCTCGACCCTGCTTAGTGAAGTCATCTAAAAGGGAGAGTAGAAAGGCTCAAAATTAAGAATAAATGTTGTAAGGAAGATTTCAGAACAAAACGTCATTTCAGCTCGTGTTTAAAAATCTAGAGATGACTTACATGACCCAAGTCCTACACCAAACAGATCTTTGTATTTTTGATTCCTGAAATAGAGAGCACATAAGTATTTTCATAAATGTTTTCTTTGTTGTTTTGCAATAACAATAGCATATTAGGTAGAAGGCACTTTAGATCTTGACCTTTTTTGGCTGCCTTGTATCATGCCACATTCAAAAAGTCTGGACTGAAACACTCCTTATAACTTTAGTGTGAATGGGCAGAGCTAAACTGCTATAAGCTAAATAGGTGGATATATGCAAATGAGTTGGTTTTCATGACATCACAAAAAAAACAAATCATTCAAAACGGGCTGTTTTTGCAGCTTAGTTTCCATATTTGGACTGTATGGAATAGAATGTGAGTGGTATGTTTTGAAACAGTGTTTACATACTACATCAAGTTTTATTTAAAATAATGACTTAGCGGACAAAGTGAAACATGTCCTCAAAGTGTTTTGATGAGCAGCGTACACTGAAGGCAAAAGAGTCTGGTCTGTATCTGGCCTATTTTGAATTTAAAGACTACTTAGTTTGCTGTAACATTCATACAGACCAGCACAGGGCTGTCACTGACAGACGCTTGGCTTTGTCGTACTGGAACCTCCACAGCGGGAGAAGTGTGCCCTCCTGTTCCTGAAACTCATCTGATGCGTCTTCAAAATACTTGAAATCTGGCATGACCAAGAAGGAGAGAAAGGTAGATGAAAACTCTCTTTTATGAGGCACACTCATATCATTGTTTCATTCAGTTCTAAAGAGGGATAATTACCCTGAGCAATGTCATCAAAGGTGTTCTGAGTCACCATGCGCTCAACGATCTTGGCCACCTTTGCCACTTTGGTTATGTCATCACTCTGATTCATAGGAATAGAAAATAATCATGAAATATAATAGCACTGCATAATTTGAGCACAGTCTTAGAGTTATAGGTTTTAGAATGTGGTTGAATGCTTACAGTAATATATATATATTTTATGAACTAAATTACATAATAGATGCACATTTTTATGTAAAGAAACAGGACAAAAAGGAGCAAAAGTATAGACAAAAGTCAGGCATCAAGATGGCTGCTACCACTGTTTTTAGCTGTTCAATGAACTTCTGTCTGGATGTATAGATTACAGTATGTCATATAGTGTCAGAAAGCATGAAAGCAAGTCTATTTGAGATTAACTTTAACTGTATGAGTGTTTTTGCAGGTGACCTGAAAAGACTCAAAGCTCTTACCGGATTCTCCACCATTGTTGTCTTCTTCTTGCCTTTGTCTTCCTCTTTCTTAGAAGGGAGAGCCTTCTGTTTCTCCTTATTCTTCTCCTGCTTCTGCAGCTCCTCCACATAGGCATCATAGATCTCCCACTACAAACACACACCTCATTTATTTCAGAGCAGAGGAAGCCAAGAAGAGGTACAGATAAAACAGTAGTGTCTACTGAATCATCACATTGTCTGTCATAATAGGGTAAAGTCATTGGAAAAGTTTGAGGACGTCACAGGTTGTAAGATGAGTTTGGCAACATGCATATTTTGGCTGATGTTTACAATTAAGGGTTTTGTGTAAAAATCTCCATTACCATTAATTTACTCAGAGACTCCTAACTTTCATTTTTGTCTTTGCAGGTGAATGTAGTTACTGTGACAGTGCAATATCTTGCTACAGCAACATAGATATTAAATATATTCAGAGAATAGATTTATTTTCACCTACCTGGTTAGCTGTAGCAGAAAACGTGGCACGAGGAGGAGGTTCAGTTTGACATCCTCTCTCCTGCAGAAAGATCAGAGTTTCAAAGAGCACATATCCTACACATTTTTCTCATACATTATTCCCCCCCTGAGGTGCATTTATGATGTATCTGTGGTGTCATGTACTAAAAACAATCATAATTCATTTCTACCATTTTCCAAAATACTTTAAACAAGCATTAAGAAAGCTTATAATAAGAGCAACGGCTTTTGTTTCATTTGTCATGAAATGAATGCACCCCCTATAGAAAACAGAGAGCTCCTAAATATCTCTGTAGTTTCTCCTAGACCTCAATGAGATCAGAAAGAAAGACAAAGAAGACTTGTGTATTTTTTCCCTAAGGTTCACTAATACTTTTTATGGTTTTAAATACCAAAAAGATAATTCATTTTTATATGCCCATTTTCCGATCTCCCTTTATCCTTAGAATTAAACTGGCTGTTTTTGTTAAGACTGATGTATGTAAATGAGCTTGGTTCTGATTGGCTACCCTGTATTGTGCCTGACTGAAAAAGCATTCTGGGCTGAAACACTCCTTGTAACTTCAACATGAATGGGTGGGGCTAAACTGTGATGGTTTTTGTGACATCACAGAAACAATTAATTCAAAAATGGCTATTTTGCAGATTAGTTTCCACATATAGATTTTACAGATTTGGGTTTGACTGATTTGTTTTTCAGCAATATTTCTATACTATATTAAGCTTTTATTTTCTGAAAAGTGTGAGAATTTCAGTTTTCCACAATATGGGCCTTTTAACCAGTTACTAAAAGCAAAACAACACATTATTCTTTTGACGAGCAGATCTTTTTTTGTGTGTTTTATTTTTACTGATGAAATGCTGTCTGTTCCATATCTAGCACAAATACACCCAGACATACAATGGAGATATTACAGTTACCAGACCGATTTAATGAAAATGGAACAGGACAATGAAAGAACAAATAATTAAATGTCTTTAGGCTAAAACAAGCCTTTTTTATTTCTCAGTCATGGGGATTAACAGCAATGCATTGTTTTCCCCGCTCCAATATGCCAGAGTCATTTAATGAAAACGAGACAGGACAATGAAAAAATAAATATTTCATTGTCTCAACCTCATCTTTTTCATTCCCACTCATTGAGATAAATAGCAGCCTAAAGGTCTGATAATAAGCCATTGTGTTGGAGTTGACCTGTGCAGTAGTTCTGGGCTAGGATAAAGTACAGCTCTTACTCTCAGAGGGTTGTTGAGTGTCTGAGAGGCTCTCTCACTGAAGTTGAACTGGTTGGTGAGCTTCTGTTCCTTTTTCCCCGACTTGACGTCCACACTGTCAGGCCTCTCGTCTCCAGCGCCCTCCTCTGCATCACCCGCATCCTCAGCCACATCTGCCTGCGCAACACAGGTCAACGCAGCTGTTGAACTCAGCATCTTCACTAAAGGATCTTCAGATCCAACCATTATTAACTCTTTAAAAACTAAAGCTCTGTATGTGGGTCTACACTTCAGTTCCTCACTCTCAAAACTGCATAATGTAAATATTAGTTTCAGAGTACTTACCAGTGGAATAACTTGTGCAATAAAATGAGTTCCCCATACAAAAATTACTTTCAATTAACAACCTCTTTGGACATAATAATATCGTATTTAGCTGTCTGATAAACCACTGGCCAAACAAGATAACATAGATTCCAGAGAACCCTTACTCTGTGACATACATATTTTGATCAAATACATATTTTGATATTTTATTTGAGGGACTGTTGATTCTTTAAGAGTTTAGACTTATTAATAATAAAGACTTTTGATGTTTTTTTTCCATTTAAGATTATAGAAATAACTAATATATCATTTCGCTCACAGAAAACAAAGCCACTTGTAGTTACTGAATAGTTCATAGTTGTTAGTGAGTTAAATAATAGTAGTTGCAGAAAGGTAAGCCTGCAGGTTAAGGGGCTAATTTCTATCCATCCTTTCCACAAAGGTATTCCTTTGTAGCAGCTGCTGGGAGCATGCACAAGCTTTACAGAGCATTTTACATTTTACAGACAAAAATCCAATTAAACCTGATTAGAAATTACAGTGCCAAAGACTGTTAAGGCAGGTCAGATGTGGTTTTTATTCCGATAAGGTTCAAAACATAGTTCAGCTCTGTAGCTAGGGCTGAACAATTTTGGGAAAATATCTAATTACAATTTTTCAGATTACATTGTGACTAAATGGTGATGATTTTTCTATAAATTAAGGTCAAAGCCTGTTTTGTGGCCAAGTGGACCAGCAAATCTTTTCTTCTGACTTGTTCAAGTGCTGAGTGCAGTGTGCAAGACTGCCAGTTGTGGTCGTGTTGTAATCATATGTGGTTGTGGTTGTTGATACGCATCATATGGGTGTTCATTTGCTTTTGACTGTAGATGTTCAACTCATCTACAGGCAGTTCACAGGCTCTGTGTTATTAGGTAAAATATTCCCCGCTTAAAACTTGTAGTCTGTAATCAAAATATTCCTCACTTAAAACTTGTAGGCTCTAATTAAAAATTAAAATTGCAGCTCTTTTCAGACTATTTCAGACAATTTCAATATAGAAAACAATTAATCTTCCAGCCCTATCTGCATAGCATTTTAAACTGGAAAATTAACATCCTTTAGCAACTCTGAACAAAGAATGCTACCATTTCTCATTAGGTTACATGAGATTTTCCAACCTGGCAACACTGTCTATGGAATAATCCATTTGTATGCGGAATACAGATGTTGAATATTATTTAGTCGTTTTATTACCGGAGTGTCTGGTTTGTCCTCAGTTTCTGCCACAGAGGCTTCAGCTGGTTTCTCTGAAACAATAAACATTTCAGAGCATTACTGAACTGTTCCCTTAAACTCTAGATCCATTGTTTTTCAGGCTTTCTTTATTTGTTCTTTACTTCGATAAACAACAAACCCCTACCTTCTTGCAGCCCTTGCTTAGCCCTCTGTCTCCGAGCCTCGTCTGAGTCCTTGTGCAAAAGATTACCCTCCAGCACAAAGTGAACAGCCAACTGGTCCACACTGCTGATTGGCTTATAGGAGCGTTCCTGAGTAAAGACATAGCACATTTAGAGACCTGCAGCACATGCAATTTTGTCAGTTCATTTAAGATGAAGTCACATCTACAAATTATAAAACTTCACTGTGTAACAAAGTAATGGTGGTGATGTAAGTCCGACTTTACTTTGAAGCTGTATCTGACAATGTTCTGTGGAGCATGTGGATTGTTTGCCGTCAGTATTCTAGTGAACTCCTCTTTCAGCTCCTAAGAAGCAAAGCAAAAGAGAAAAAGGAATTAATTAATGCTGAGATAGAGATCAGTTATGTCTAATAGACCCTAGTCTCAGCAATGTTTTTTTTTTAACTGTTTGAAGCCATCAAAGCTGAGTGGAAAAATACTGACCCTTCTTTCTTCTGTCTGCAAATTTACACACAAAACTTCAACTTTCAAAGGGAAAAGCTTTCCCATATTACATTACTTTATCTATTTGTTGAACTATTTGTTGTTAAGACCATTTTTCAGTTTTTGACATAATTTGAACACCCCTGTTGCCCTCTATATTGTGTCTAAATTTCATAATGAATGAACCAAAAGCACTGGCCCAAAATGTCTTGCCTTAGTCTGGTTCCATTATTAGAAATAAGTAATTTATACAGTATATAGATATTTACTTACAACCTATGTTGCAACAAAGTTAACTTTAACTTAATGCAATTAAGCAATTGTTAAATTCTGCTACACTTGAAACATATTTTAAATGTATACTCTTGGGTGTACTGATACATATTTGACTGCTAATTAGTTAGAGGTGTATTGCAACTAAAATGTATCTGAAATGTACTGAAGAATGCTTTAACAGTCATTTCTTCAAAACATACTTCTAAACAACAATTACAAATACTTTTGTTTAAGCAAGTAGCATCAGTACGGTTCATTTTTAAGTGTATTTTGCTCACAGCATACTAAAGTATCATTTTAAAATATGTTTTTTGGAAGAAAAAAAAGAAATTTTAGGTGAATTTCAATAAAATACATAAAAATACTTTTAGTCCTCTCTATATACTTGAAGTATGCTTGTGTTGCACTTAAGTATGCTTCTTTTTCACAAGGGTAATCAGCCATGTTCCCATAACAAATTAAATAACCACAGACACTGGAATGGAAATGTGTCTTTTCCTCTCACACTGGCTACGCTCAATTTCACTCAGTTCAGACATCATTGCACAACCCAAGACAACTGGGACTTGGCAAGACGAAACAAATCCATAAATAAACTAGTCATGGAGACACAGAGAAAACATCCTGAACCACTCCTGAACTGAGTGAAATGTTCCATGCCAACCAGATGTCAGCAAAATCAAGGAAAACAGGCACTTGTTTTAAAAACACATTTTTATGAGATAAGATAAGAAAGAAACATAAGAGAAGGAAGAAAGAGGGAAAAGGATGGATTGGACAGGAAAAGATGCTTTGGGAAGCACATTGCCATCATTTAGTGGCCAAACGATGGAATGAACAAGAAGGAGGAGATCAAGAAGTGTTTTACGGATTTCATTTTGGAACTGATGTGAAATTGAGCCTGAGCGACTGGACTAATAATGGGCCTGCCTGCTGTTTTTAGTACAAAAAATAATCTAACAGCTCACAGACTCAGTGGATGTGATTTTTTTGTGCAGTATTATTGGTCTCTTATATCAGAGAAAGTAATGATGCATGTGTGGTGCACTGCATTGTGGAGAGTTTATTCTTCGTCACTGAATTAATGCATATTGCGATCGAGTATTTCCACAAAGGCACACATGGACCCACCATGGACAACAGCATATCAAATAATAACTTGTGTGGTATGTATGCATTGTTCTGACTTGGTTGATTCCTTTAGAGTAAGAATTGAATTGAATTGAATTGAATTGAGTTGAACTGAATTCAGCCCTGTCACCATATGGTTAAGACTGCAGTATGTTAACCTTCAGTTAAACTGTCTGCTTAATCTGCATGAAATGATTCCTGTGACTGTCATTTACTCTTCTGTTCAATCTGAGATGATATTAGAAACAAAGTGTAGGGGACACTATGCCCTTCCTGTCCTCTGTCCACTATAAGTGATGTCATGGTCATGCCAATATAAGGTTTCTGTGTGCAAGCCCTTCATATGCAATTAAATACTTCAGGCTTTCTGACCACTGGACCACAACAACCCAAATGGTGCACCTCCTCGATCGCTAACATTTTAATATGATCCCACTTACTGTCTCAGACAGGTCCAACTGGTCTGGAGGCTTCAGCAGAGTCTTTCCCTGCGTCCACTCATCTCCTCCGTCGCCAAGCTCTGTCCCATCCTCATCATCCTACGCCATAAAAAAACACTTTCAGGTATCTCAGGTTCTTTTATAACATCAGCTAAGATAATAAATAATAGAGTAAAGATAATAGAGAAAAGATAACAGAGCTTGCAAACTACCTTCTTCTTACTGGAGACTTTGGAACTCTTTACAGCAGGTGCCCTGGACTGGGAATGAGCATTAGAGCCCTGTGTGAAGAGGACAAATAAAACTCCAGTAGTGGTGGACAGATGTCTCAGACAGTCTATCTAAAACCACTGTTTCTGAGAAAAATCCAGTGTGATCATATTTCCTAATACCGCCAGCCACAGCCAGTAAAATGCACATTAGCAGCTTAGTGTAATGTTAAAGCTATGCTTATAACTTCTACATTCATTTTCTGAGAAGTTTTTTTTTTTTTTCTGGTTCATCCATATTATTACATGATTCAGTCGTTGAGATGTAGACACAGTCATTAAGAGTGGTTTGATGTGAAGTAGTTCATTATAGAGAAACTTACTAACTCAGATTTCTTTACAGGGGTGGTGATAGGAACCAGGGGTTGAATTGTCTACAATGCAAACAGACATTTTATTAGCTATCCAAAACTACCACTAATCCTACGTGTGTCTTCTGTGTTTTTATAAGTAATATTGATAAAACAGTGTTACATCTGAAAAAATAAGTTTCCTTTGGGCTCTATTTTCCCTAACAATGACCTGTGTGTGTCTTTCCACCACAAATATAATTCAAAACTATATTCTAGGTTAAAACCTTATCTAAACAATTGTATCCTAAACCAATGTCTCAGCATCAGGCAGCATGTAGCTAATACATGCAAGTTATTGCCACTCTGTGAGGGAGCTTATAGAGGCAAGTTTCAGACATCTGGTTCCTTTCACCACCACTGTGAACAAATCAGACAGGGCAATTTTGCATCAAATCACTCTGAATGATTTTGTTTAATTATGCAGAAATTTTGAGCAATCTGAGGAATTCCTTTTTAAGGTAGTTTTATTAGTATTTTCAATTCCTCAAGCAAAAGGAACTCAAGAAGCTCTCTCATGGAATCATAACGGCTAGGGAAACAGGACAAACAGGGGACTCTGTTTTAGTGAAAACGGATTTATTACATAAAATAATCAAGGCTTTTTGAAACTTTAGACATTACGCCTGTTTTTTCAAAAGTAGAAGTATCAACATAGTCTCTAATTGGTTTACTGCTCAGTGTCTAACTGAATATTTCTAATAAGGTGTAGACAGTAGGTGCTACAAGTCGTTACCTGTTTGGATCGCCCGGTTCCAGCTTTTTGAGGGACTGGCATTGTTTCAGCTGCTTCAGTTGTATTTAATTGTTGTCCACGAAGGGTTAACCGTCAGAAATAAGGACACGTTTTGACTTACGTTAACTATAGCGAATTTTCTCGAATTTGTTTATGAATTAAGAATAAAATTAAAAGTTAAAGTGAGTCCCATGAGAGTAACTGTCTAGATGGATCGCTATGCAGTTGTCGGTGTACTGTTGCTATGGAAACGATGACGGCGCATGCGTGCTGCCGTTGTTTTTCCCTAAATAAAAGTCCTGCCTCACACCGTCTAAATGGATTTTATTTATGAAAGTGGTGGTATAGGAATTTTGGACTTAGTGTTTTTATATATAAAAAGTAGTTAGAATAATGAAAAAAATTGAAATAATTAAAATAATAGAGAAGAATATAAGTAATGTTCATAAGATTTACTGTCATCAATACCATCACCACCATCATTTGTAGGCAGGTGTATATGAACTCATTTTGCACTAAAGAAATTTAATTAATTTGTGGTTTTCTAAAACAAACAAATTGGATGTCCCCAACCTTTACTTAATGTTTTGGAATGTTCTGGTAGGATTGCCAGCTGTACTGGAATTCCTGGCTGTGGCTTTAACAGACCTATTTGTCCGTTCATTTAGTATTCAGCACAATGTTTATAACAGTAAAGGTGACATACCAGAGGGTGGCAACATGCAACTTAATGCAACTATTGGGGAAACACGCTCGTTTGACACACACGAAGAGGACTACGGCGCAGTGACCACATCCGAAAGGAAGTTTGATTCAGTTCACCGAACCGATTCTTTCGAACTATTCATTCCAAAGAATTGATTCACAAGTCAAATGAATTAGTGGTGGGCGAAGTAAATAGTCCGATGCAAATATTTTTGTTTCCTTGTGAACATAAAAAGGAAAAAAATATTTACAGTGGAAATCATGAAATGCAGATATTAAAAATATGTATTTGACAGTCTTTGCATTAGTATTGAATAAACTGGCAAAAAAGTGTCCTTAGTAAGATGAAATAACTCCATGATCTGCCATTATTCACTCCATATCTGTAAGTAAATCTGATATCCACAATGAACATCAGTTTTATTCTGTTGTCATAGACAGATTTCGATAGTCAGATTTATTCTCTATGTACGTAGGTTATATGTTTCAGTGGCGGAAACGGCGGAAACCGTAACTATCTGGTTCAATTCAGTTGTGAATCGACCACTTTATTGAAAAGAACCAGTTCAAATGAATCGATTCGTTCGCGACTCGGGCATTCGTCACTAGCGGACATCTTTACTAGCAGCTAGTAGCTAGTGGTGTTCAGCTATGTTGGGTTAGGTTTACTTTTTGTTTTTTGAGATTAATACCATCATGTCTGTGTTAGAGGGTGGCGCGCCGTGTGAAACAGATATCAGTGATTCAGTTAATCCAGACTCGGCATCTGTTTCAGACGCCGACACAGTACAAAACACTAACGCCCCTAGTTGTCATGTTGAAGGTGAGTTTGTCCATGGTCGCTCAGCGCTGGCCGAAAAACGGCTATCTGACGAAGCTCAGTTGTTTTTCCCTGTTCTTTACTCGACTAAAGCACATTTTAACGAGACCGTACCGGATTACCACTGCTAACCAGTTGTTCGTGATGGACTGGTGGCTGAGTTTAATCGGTTCATTAGCCAACGCTAGTTAGCTTGCTAAGCTGGCTAACGTTGGCTAGTTTACAGCTTTCACCCATCACAAACAATAGCTAAGTAGTGAAAAGGGTTCAGAGTTTGGTTCTTGTGTGAATGGCTGGTTATTCTGAGGTGGAAAAGGTGAAAATACTGCACAAATCCCACAACTGTAGAAATCATAATTTGCTTATGCCAGGGACTTTTTTTTTTTTAGAAAACAGTGAGACTGGTTGGGCTCAAGTCAGCAAATTTTCAATAGGATATAAATACTAGTGTCTACATACTTATCTAAATACTCTTCTGTTAGTGAAATAAGTTCTAGTTAGAGCTATTTTGGCATCTAACAATTGCTGTAAAAGATAATTGGCGTTAATCAATGCTGTTACAATTGGTACCTTAATGCCTGGATAAGTTACTTCAGGACACCGCAGGTCCAGTTGCAGACAGTCAGCAGGGAGTATTTGGACGGTTGTGTAACAGTTAAATATAGAAATCCAAGATTTATTATGGGTGGCACAATAATGCTTTTGATGATGTTACATTCAGCAGCAGATACATGTGGTACAAAACATGTATTGGAAAAATAAAGAGTTAAGATCAACTGTGAGTGAAATACAAGCATGGTGTGGCCATTTTCTTGGCCTAAGAGAAGCCTCAGTTTTGATTAAAAATATTTTCAAAGGCGACTCAGCACTAACAATGTTTATTCCTGGGTTTGTTTTAGACCCGGGCAATAAGACAATATTTGTCGTTATTGTGATGAAATTACATGACAAAATGTCACAGTATGCTTTTCTGAGTGCATTGTGGATATCAGTACTTACAAATGACAAATCACTTCCCATCTGCGTGTTCGATTACAAAGAGAACATAATTAGTTCAGTGTAATTGGATTTAGTGCTGTGCAGTGTATGAGATGTTGAATACAAGTAATTGGATTCAAAGTCTTTGGTAATATTTTTAAAACGTGGCACTACTTTGTTCTAACTTATTAGATGTCAGAAAAAAATAAATATCTTGACATATTGTGTGTTGTAAATATCGTAAAAAAAAACCTTCAGAATTATCCTGATATTACATTTTCACATATTGCCCACCTCTAGTTTGCTTTATCTTTGCCCAGGAATGAACTTTTTAAGCGTAAAACATACAAACAGATTGAATTGGAATTGGAAACTTCAGATATCGATGTATGAATGTGTCTGTCTGAATATCAAAGTTTGGTTTTAGCCCTTTTTCTCTTTCTTGATTTGTTTATATCCAGGGCTTTGGGCTCTTCTTAAACCTTCAGTATAGCTAAATCTGCACAGTAGGGCTGAACGATCTGGGGGAAATATGTAATTGTGAATTTTTGTGCAATTTTTTGTGTATTTTTTCTGGCCAGTATAGCAGTTTAAATGTGATTACTTTCTATATATGAGGCTCCAGACTTTTTTTTCTCAAGTAGACCAGCACATCTGATTTATTAGGCTTCAGGCGTAAAAACTGAAGATAGTGTGCTAGACTGCCAGTTTACAAGCTCAGTGTTAATGAAACAAGTTCAGTCTATGTTGAATAATATAGGATGCAATTGAAATTGCTCTCTTGCAAATTAAAATTTCAATTCATTGTTTCAGTGCAACAGTGCACCAGTTTTTTTTGTGTGCACTAGGGTATTTAAATAATATTGTTAGATGTCAGCTACTGCTGTCAACCACAAAGGGCTCGGTCACCTGGACAGGTATTTAGTCCTAAACTACACAGCATATTGAATGGAGACTCTCCTTTGAAAGGAAAAATGAAGTTCAGGACTAGGCTTAATTCCTGTCTAAGACACCAGTCCAAAGAGTCAGTTTCCTAGACACAGCCTCTTTAATCTAGTTTTAAAGTCAGTGAGGACATTCTCTTTTGAAAAGCAATGTGAGGTATATTTAATTTTGGGATTAAGTGCTTACTTAGGGGTGCACACACACTCACTCATATTTTGTCCTTGTAACACATTACCCACTTCATTCACATGCAGTTTCAGAGTGTCCCCCAGACATGCATGATATAATTTTATTCTTTTGTTTATTAAGCTTGTGATTATATTTGAGGCATCGTTTGTCTTTGGAAGTTTAGAACTACACAATTAACTCTTCAATGCATTTGTCAAAAAGCTTTTATCAGTATATAGTATGACTAGTTCTTAAATTCGTTATCAAAAGTTCCTCTGTTGTGTTTATTCACTAATATAGTTTTGGGAATAGTGTAGTGCGCTCTTATTAAGCCTGTCTTTGTGCTTGTTCATCATTCTAACATTTTCAACTATTTTTATTGTCTTAACAGACTCCCAGAACGACAGTGAACTTCTTAAAGGTCTGCTGACAGATACCTTCTGTCAGGTGTGTGAGGCAGTATTGCTGTTTGAGTCTCAGAGAGTCTCTCATTATGAGGTTTGTACAAATATTCACAATATTCATGGCATCGTTATGTCATCAATTATTTCATTTATTACTTAACTTTATAAATAAATAAATGAATGTTTACTAAACATTTATTTACTTAACTTTCTTTGTTTTGCCTTGTGAAAACACAGCTGACATTTTGTGAATGTTTTATGACTGATAGAAATGGCCTAAAATTATATATATTTCATGTTATGTTAAACATAATGTAACTAACTTATTTTAAAGTTAAGAATGTTTTTCCTTCTTCTGTAAGAAAGAAAAAAAAAACAAGGTTTTGTTACAATGGCGACGATATACGGATGAATAGAAAGATAAAATACACACATACTATTCATGAATGGTATCCAGGCATGTATCTATAAGTGAAGTCTTATTTCTCTACTCTCAAGGGAAAGAAACATGCTCAGCGAGTCAGAATCTACCTGCAGAGCAAGAAAGCAGAAAAGAGCAAACAAGGTCAAGAATGTGGCAGCTTTCCTGTAAGTCCCATAGAGTATAGACTCGGCAGTTTTAGCTTTAGTTTGTTGGCTTGTAGAGGTTCCGTCTTATTTTTTTTGTTTTCTTTAACAGAGCAGTAAGGTGGACCCAGAGAAGGTCTGTGAGCTGTGCAACATGGTATTCAGCTCCCCTGTGGTCGCCAGGTCACACTATGAGGGTAAAGTCCATGCCAAGAACATGAGGAAAAGCGACACTACTCTCTCTGCAGGCAAGCATTACCATATGGACGGCTGTGTATTACCTGTGGTATTCAGTTCTGTAGTGGTGTAAATCTCACAGTGATTCAGTGGCATTAAAGTAACATGAAATTTCATCAAATTTCATGATGATTCAATTTGAATTTGGTACTGTCTAGAATTATTTTTATTCTAAATATTCTAAATATACACATGTGACTGCAGGGACTGTGCAGGAAAGTGAAATTAGTTAACACATAGACATTTTAATGTTTTGTTTGCTGAATTTAACATATTGGGGGGGTGAAGAGAAACAAATGTGGCCAGTGAAAAAAATATGGCACATTTTGATATTTTCTGGGTTTTTTTTTCTTCAGTATTTTAATCTCAGAATTTGTGCATTAAAATTAGCAAGAAAATGCCATATTTAAGTTTTCTGTAGAGAAAGTCAAAGTCAAAATGTGTACGTTCAGTAGGGGTGTTCAAATATTTACATATGACTGTGTTATCAGTTACACAGACCAAAATTGGCAGCCATACAGATGTACTCTTGTGTGTTCAGCAGATATCAGGACCACGGCGGGCTCTGTGGCTGTCCCTGTGCCTGCTAGGGAAGGTACTGCAGGGGTTAAAGTGGATCAGGAGCAGAAGGAAAGCACCGCTTCTGCTGCACAGGAGGTCGATCTGAGTGACCCGGACAAGTATTGTAAGCTCTGTACAGCCTCTTTCAACAACCCCCTTATAGCCCAGCAACACTACAGTGGGCGCAAGCACCAGCGCAACCAGGCTCGACAGGAGATGCTCAGCAAACTCTCAGAGGAGTCTGAGCATGGTACGTATTACTGTGTTCACATATGGGTGCAAGCATATTGGGCCAAAAACATTGAATATGAGCTAGGAAAATTACATTAATCTATGTAAACTTTAGTTTACAAGGGGAAGATAAAGTACTAATCAGAGTCTGTAAACTGGACCTGATATTATTCTTATAGCCAAAACAACAAGAAACATGTTGAAGTTTGTGCTGCTTTGCATGTTGCATAGGCAAGAAAGAAAATAATAAATATAAGGGGTGGTCTGCGTCCGCTGAATCCTATGAGGTGTCTCTAGTCCAACCTATGCTTAGGTTATAGCTGCTATGGCGCCCTTTCCTGCAACACTCAGTATGGAGCTTGCTCTTGCAGTTCATTACTAGTTTTCAGGTGGCACATTGTTAAATGCGGCAACACATAAATCGATTTTCAGTCTCATAGTATTTGCTTTTGTATATTTGCGTAGTGTATGTTGCTGGGTTCTGGGTAAAACCCATTTTCAAAGCTCATTGTAAATGTTGCAGGGTTTTGTAGTATAAAATATGATCCAGAGCATTTTTATGAGTATTTTTTGATGTACAGTATCATGCAAAAGTCAGAGTCTGCCTTTCATTTATTTAATGTTCAGTCAAAAGGCCATTAAATGCAAGTTATACCTTTTCCTGTGTCGGTAAAAAATGGCTGAAAACATTCTTAACGGAAAATGATATTGTAGCTTCAGCAAATAAAATATATCACATTTTTAAATATTATGTCATGTATTTCATTTTTCATTTCTGTTTTATTCTTTTTTGTAAGACTTGCTTTCAGCTTTTCAATGAAATCTGCACATCCAGTGATACTGAGGTTTTTTTTTAGACCCATAGTGTTGAATTGTCTTCTCACAGTGTAAAGATGGCAGAAACACCTGTGGACTTTTTCAGATCTGAGCCTGATTTTCTCCTGTCTCTCAACCTGATGGTGACAGTTTTGGTGGTCTGCCCAGTCTTGAACGTGTCATATTTTCTTTTAATAATTTTTGGAATATCATCTTTTTTTACTTACGTTCCTTTGACTTTCCTTATGCAAGTGGGTTATCTTACATCTAATCTCTTCAGAAATATCTCGTAAAAATGAGTAACTTGTACTAAATGGCCATTTTGAATGAAAACTTAAATAAATGAAGGATGGCCTTTGATTTTTGCCCAGTACTGTATATTTGGTATGATTTGATTTTTCTTTTTCTTGTTGTTCTCTTCTCATTTTATCATTCTCTTTCTTTCTCTTGCTGTTTTCTTTAGCGAGCTCTCTAACATGTCCAGTGTGCTGTGTGACTCTCAGCTCCGTAGAGACATATCAGGCTCACATGCAGGGAAACAAACACTTCGTACAGTGAGTGGTTTTAATCTGATGTCTTCTCTCATCATCTCCCATCATGTATTTTAGTTATATTTTTTTCTGCATATTTTGTTCTCAAAAATTAATTCCTTGACTCTTATCTTCCCTGACAGAGAAAAGAAGATAGTTGGTTTATGCAAATCACAGAAGAAAGTGTACGACTCGTTCCAGGATGAGTTGGCCGACTACATCCAGGTCCAGAAAGCTCGGGGGTTGGAGCCCAAAAGAGGACAAGGCCCAGGACAGAGAAGTGCAGAGGAGGGAGTGAAAGAGGGCGAGCAGTTAGAGGAGGAGCCTCCTCCTGCTCCATCACATCTGCCTCGTCCTCCTCTTCCTCCTCCTCTTCCTCCTACCTTCCGTCCACCACACTGGCGCCCGCCGTTTCAACCTCGAGCTGGTCATTTTGGCTTCAGAGGCAGGTTCCCAGTGCAGCACCAGTGGGGTCAAGGCTACCCACCCCATCCTCCTCCACTCATCCCTGGCCTTGCAGGTAGACCACTGCGTAGGAGGCGGAGCCAAGACTCATTTAGCTCCTCTTCCTCTGACTCCTCGTCTTATACTAGCAGCAGCAGCAGCAGCAGCAGCAGTAGTAGCGATACCAGCAGTGACAGCAGCAGAGAGAGAAGAAGAAGACGAAGAACAAGAAAAGAAAGAATGAAGAGGAGGAGAGAGCAGGATGATGACTCTGAGAAAGAAGAGAGAAGGAGGACTAAGAGGAGGCGAAGGAGAGAAAGTGAGGAGGAAGGCCATGCAACGACAGCAAGGAGACAGAGGAGAATGAGTTTTGAAGAGGAGCAAGGACCAGACGAGGATAAAGAGAGGAGGAAGTGGAAGGAGAAAAGCCACAGAGAAGGAGATTCCAGCGAGGAGGATGAATACAGGAGTAAGAGAAGAGTCGGCAAGAAGAGCAAGAGACGAAAAGAAGGGCATCATAGAAAAAGACAGAAAGAGGAGGATGAAGGAGAGCAGAGCAAAGGGTCTGTTGAAGAAGGGATGGACAAAGGTGAGGGAGGAGTGCCAAGTGAGGGAGTGCAGGCCACAGTGGAAGAGCACACAGAGGAAGGAACTGAAGCTAAAGAGGAGAGACCAAAGCGCAAAAAAGAGAAGAAGAAAGCAAAGGAAAGGATGGATGGAGGGGACAGCAGGACAGAGGAGGAAAAGCTCTGGGATGAAACCATTTTGGGCATATTCTGATATTTTGATGACGGTGTGCTGGCTACTTGCCCTTTATTGGTCTCAACTCAGTGCACCCTGACTAGGCAGACTGTAAGGATTCAGGATGGCCTATATGCAGATGTGTCCTTGTTTGTGCATCAGTGTCTTTCGCCTGCCCAAAGTCTCGACTACAGGCTGACCTTTGTTTGTAACTTACAGGACCACAAAACAGCATTTTTTCTGATGTTCTTCAGATCTTTTGTTTTGCAGACAGACTTTTGTTGTATGATATAAATGCATGATCTGATACTACTGACCATAAATGTATTTGCACAGTCGACATGTGTAAACCAGCCATGTTGATATTAGGACTAAACGAATGTATCTTCTCAGATCCTACTCTCTCATATAAAATAAACACCGTTTACTATTAATTATGTTTTACCTTTTGTAAAGTCTTTGATGTATTGATTTAAGTTTTGCCTGGTTAAAGATGTAGGCAGCCCAAATATACTAATGTAGTTAATAGCTAATGGAATGTACAGTATATTGCAAATGTCAGAGACCACCCTTTCATTTATTTCAGTCAAAACAGCCATTAAGTAAATTTTTTTTTACTTTTTAGCAACAGGAAAAAAGCAACAAACATGTATTTAAATGTGAATTACACAAAAATCTCAAGAACACACTCAGATTTAGTGTGTGCCAGTATTTAGTGTGTCCACACTTTGCCTTTATTACTGCTTCCATTCCTTTTGAGAGACTTGCTTTCAACTTTTCAAAGAAATTTGCAGGGATATTTTTCCACACTGCCAAAGTTCAGTCTTAGGAGTTGGTTTTACTTCTTGTTTTTCGTGATTGAAGGAATTCTAATTACTAATTTAGACTGATCAGTCCAGCGTCAGTCTTCAGGGTCAAATTTACTTCTTTTTTGTCTTTTTTCTTTTCTCAGTAACTGATTTTGACCTCTACATATCCTTTCAGACCCATAGCATTAATTTGTCTTATCACAGTGTAAGGATGAACAGAAACACCTGTGGATTTTTTCAGATGTGAAGCAAGAGTGGAGCTTGATTTTCTCCTCTCTCTCAAAGATGAAAGTACTGTTTATCTGATGGTAACAGTTGTATTATGCTTAGGGTTGCAGGCGTTTCTGTAATGTTCTATTAAATAGGTTTTCTGAGTAAGAGTAATCTCTGACTTTTGCAGAGTACTGTACAATCCATTGATTGGCATGATTTGCATTAGGGCTTGCATTCAATACCATATTGCATTTATATTCAGCAACATGCCTTCTAAATGTTACATTGATGTTACTGCCCTAATTTGCACAGTGCTTGCTGTTAGCTGCTCCTGCTTTTTTGACTGAACTGTTCCTTCAGTGTTGTTTTTGCTGTCATTCCACACTCTGACTCAGGGGGGGCGCTGTTCATCTGCACTTGTTTCTCCTCTCCTCTGTGGTGGGGAAAAGCAAAGACGGCAGGTGTTGCAAAGTGTTGTGTTACAAATTCACCCACAATTTTGAGCTTTTATGTCATGATGTGATGCAGACAATGTTTTTTTCCAAGACCACCACCTCCGTGTCTTATCAGTGCTCTGAGGATTTCCCTATTATAATGTATATGGTCTAAGCTTGTTAATATGACAAAGGTTCTTAAGAATGTTTGCATTTCTGCTGTGTGTTTATGCGTTTATATATATTTTTGTAATGTACGACAGGTGCATTTGGTGCAAATGAGGACACTTGACTCCCACCTGGTCGATCTCTTTCTCGGAGTAGACCTCATTTGCCCCCGTGAAATATACTACTTAGCAGAATCAAAACAGGCCACACAGACATGGAGGTTTTGTATCTTCGACCTTTGATATGGTTCAGGAAAAGAGAACTCTTTTTATTTTTATTTTTACTTTTGTGTTGTATGTCAATATGCATGTCAATGCTGTCATTACGAACCCTCGTTCTCCTTTTTTTTTAGTTTTTATTTTTTTCAGCAACATTCAGAAATGTTAACTGCCTTTTACTTTGTGCAAACATTACATGATGAATGGACAAAGAGAAATGGTTTAAAATGGCCTGGAATTAAATCTTGCTATTTCTTTGTTTTTTGAAAAATTCTCAACACTAATGGTAAAGATATAAACAAAATCATTCAGAGTGGTTTGATGGAAAATGCTGTGTTCTAGAGAAACGTACCGAGTCAGAATTGCTCACAGTGATGGTGATAGAAGTAGATTAGAACTAGACATCTGAAGAGTTTAATGCCTCTAAAGGCTCCCTCAATGAAAGTTATTACCTAAGATGGTTATGAATATGCTGCCTGATACGATTGCAGTCGTTTTGAGGTTTTGGTCTAAAACTTTTTTGTAACACGCTCATGGCAGGGGAAACTTATTTTTTCAGATTTATCACCTATTTGTTTACTGATGGTTTTGGATAAAAATTAAATGGCTATGTTTGTGTTGTAGACACAACCGCAGGTTCCTATCAGTACCACTGTAAAGACACTGGAGCTGTCACTTGTTTTTCTTTTTTTTTTAAACAATGAACCACTCTGAATGGCTTTGCATCTTAATGATTGAATTATGGAGAAATTAAGCTTACAATAAAGTGAACCTTTTTTCCTTCTCCTGTAAAGTTACCACAATTATGGAGTTATAAGTTTGAGAAACATGTAGATACTTCACTTAGTGTCATATAACAGTTGATATTACTGCTTCTCGGAATTTTCACAGTCTTGTTTTCCGGACGTTTGAGCTCTTTTTGTAGTCTTAAAGTTGAAAGCCCCTACATAGACACGAACATGCTGGCACCTTCAGCAGTCTCTGAAGCCCCCCGAGATCTCCTGTTTTCAAAGAATTATGTGGTTTTGTTCCCAGTGTCTGTGTTGAACCCTCGACCCCCGAGGCGTGTACTTCACCCACATCCTCCCCCCGTACGACCCTCATGTAGGCTCAGGAGCCTTTGTAAGCCTTCATAGGCCTTCAGATGAGGCTGGGGGCGATGAGCCTTAAACCCTGCAGCCAAAACTCCCACATGAAGCCTTGAGCACCTCAGAGTGTGGCAGCTGAGGCTTCAGCAGGGTCTGCAGGATATGGAGAGGATATGAAGCTCCTCTAGTTTAACAGTGTTATCAGTGCAACATGCACAAATTAAGCAAGTATATATGAAACATTTGTCAAAACAAAACTTCATATCTCCAAAATGATTTTTGGGGACATGAAGTTTTGTTATGACAAATGGTTCTTGACTGGTTCTTGACTTTAATGTAATTCATTATAACAAGTATTTTTGGCCATCTCTGTTGGTCCATTCATCATAAAATATTCACATAAAACTTGGTGCCAGCTTAGTATGATTTGTGACTCTTTTTGCTATTAAATGAACATTGCTCCTTACAAGATGAATGATAGATTATTCTTTAATAGATAACTTTCCTCCTAGGTTGGTCGGTCATAAGATAAAGATTATGAAGAGCAGATTCATGACTGTGTATACTGCCAAGTGCCTATAGTTTCCAGACACTTTGTTGTTTTAATGATGGATTTGTTATTGAGTACAAGGATGTTTAAAGTGGTGCTGAAAGTAACTTGTGCCATCATTGGCCAGAATTGCTATTGGTGTAAAATGATTTGAATGAAACACAAATGAATCATTAGTGTTTTGCTCCCCTGTCAGTGCTGGAAGATGAAATTTGGGTCAGTTTTACAAATTTTTTGACATTTTTCTATTTCTGTCGTTTTTTTTTCTAAACTAATGGACCTCTGGAATGTTTTTAGCTACTTACAATAAGGGCTGAACAATGAATCACTTTTATATTAAAAATGTGATTTTTAATGAGTGCAGTTTAACCTAAGAATGGAGAGCTTGTGAACTAGGAGTCTAGCATTCAGTCCTCAAAATGGATATATTGGTTTGGAGCTTAATAAATCACAGTCACTTTATTAGTCACTTTTTTTTTCAAATTGTTCAGCCCTACTTACTACTAATCCTTTTTTATTCTAAAGGGCCCACATCATGGAAAACTGCATTTTCCTCAGTTTTTAAGAAGTTGATTTAGTTTATAAACAATGTAAATATTGTTATGGTTTCAAAAACATACCACTCACTCTCTTGTCAATACAGTCCATATATGAAGACTTAGCTGCAAAAACACCCTGTTTTGATTTCACTGTTTTCATGATGTCATGAAAACCAGCTCCTTGCAGGGGAATTCCACCAATTTTTCTAAATGTCTGCATAAATCAGTAGTTGAAATGTAAACAATGTCATTCAGAGTGGTTTGATGCGAAATGGTTCATTTGTAGAGAAACTTACCAACTCTGATTTCTTTGCAGTGGTGATGATAGGAACCAGGGGGCCTGGTGTCTACAACACGAATATAGCTATTTTATTTAATATCCCAAACCACCAACATACACAAGTCTTCTGAGGTTTTTATATGCAACGTTGATGATGGTGAAATAGTAGTAAATCTGTAAAAAGTTTTCTTTTGGGGACTATTTTGCCTTAGAACATCCTTAATGTATCCCTCCACCATGAACAGATTAGAATAAATTGAAAAACATATCTCAAAACTACTGTAAAACAAGGTCTCAGACATCAGGCTGAGTATTCATAACCAGACGTCTGGTTCCTATCACTACAGCTGTGAAAAATTCTGACTTGCTAAGTTGCTCTAGAATTAAGCATTTTGCACCAGACTACTCTGAATAACTTTGTATATATCTTAACCATTTAATTATGTAGAATTTTTGAAAAATCAGTGGAGTTCCCCTTTAACATATATCCACTTATTCATAATGAAGTTATAAGGAGTGTTTCAGAACAGTAATCAGAACAGAGCTCATTTACATATTTAAATCTTAAAGGCAAAGTGACAAAAACAGCCTGTTTAATTCCAAGGGATAAAGAGAGGTTGGAAAATGGTTATGTAAAAATGAATTATGACTGTTTTTGTTACTTAAAACCACATAAATGTGATAAATGGATATCAGGGCAAAAGAGGAAATACAATAAAATGTAGTTTATGGGCCCTTTAAAGGTACATTGTGCTGTCTTTTGTATATGCTGCACCCTTCCATTCACTCAGATGATAATCATTTGTTTTTATTATAAATGAATGTAATGAGACTGCCCCCCTTAGCTGAATGGACCATGTGTGTGAAATGGTGACTCTAATTTCACTCTAAATTTATAATTACATTGTGTGATATAAAAAGGGTTATGTCATAAAGAGTCTTATCAAAATCTAGTAGGAGTGAATATGTGATTAAGGCCATGTTTGTGTGGTTTGCTATAACTCCAGTATTGCTGAGTTGCAGGCTGCTGGCGGCATGCTGCAGGTGTTGCTGTAGGTCACACACCTGGATCCGGGTAAGCGTTAGGAACGGCGCTCAGGGCTTGAGGTGAGAGAAGAGAGAAATTAATTCATTTAATGTTGTTTTACAAGAAATGCAAGAACATGCTAGAAAAGGCTCTTGTTCCCAGTGGAAAAACCTCATTTTATTTCAGTGCAGAATTTTCTTAAAGAGCTGTTTTACAGTTAGAGGTTACTTATTTGTGTAATTCTTGTTTTTGTGTTCATGGATTTATTTTTATTTATGTTGATGCATTTGCAAATTCCACATTCCACAATTCCCATTCCAAATCCTCGGCATTAGAACAGGTTGGGCAACAGTTTGTGATCACTGGATCTGTTAGACATTGTGCTCCCTTTTGGGGTAAATTGTTTTGAATTGTAATTGTTTTGATCCACATTTCCCTTTGTAGCAGAGTGAAATGTTGGGCCAAAAAAGAACAGAAATAGCTAAATATCCCAGTTTGTTGCAGGTATATTGCACAAGCTAAATAGAAAAGACTACTTTGTAATATATATTCAGTACATTAATTTTGGAGTGGTCACTTAAGAGACTTTTGAGACCTTTGAATCTAACGTGAGCTTATTTGCATTCACTGGGCCTCATTCACAAACATCTTCTTAAGTTTTTTCTTAAATTTGTTCTTGCGAAAGGTCCTAATAAAAAGTCTACGTCAGATTCATGACGTGGTTTTAAACCGCAGAGTTGAGCACCTTTGTGCTCTTAAATATGCACAGATTCTGTTGTTACCTAAGAACAAATCCCAAATAAAACTTTGGTGAATGTCATAATCTTTGTGAAAACTGCATAAGTTGGTTTTAAGAAGAAATTTAATCTTAAGCACAGTTGGTGAATGAGGCCTGTTCTTGTACATTGTGGATGTGTATGTGCATGCGCATGTGTGCGTGTGCTTTGACTCTCTCTCTGATAGGCTCAGTGAATGGCAGGGCCTGACAGCCTCCAGTTCCTCCCTGTTATATGACAGAAGATGAGGAAGGACAGGCACAAACAGTAAAGCGCTCATACACACGCAGAGTTGTGTCAACAAAAGCAAACAGCCGAACATGACTCTCAGTCGTGTCTGGACATTCCTGTGCCTTTTAGCAGCAGGTAAGTAATCTCGATTCCAGATTAAAACCAGTCAAAGACCTGTCAGACTGAAATATGTAGAGAGCTCAGGACCAGGCCTCGGTCAGCAGACGCCCTTTACACTGTCAACAAGTGCTATAAAGTGGGTGAACTGTTAATTACTTGATAATATCTGTTTCAGCAGATTACTGTTTATGTATGGAATGGAGAAAAAAGTACTCAGTATTTTTTTATGAAAAAATAATGGTTGTGGATGTATATACTAGGCCCAGTAGTGTCTGTTGCTATGTTGTAGTTAAGCATTTACATAAGCTTCGAACTACGATATTATCTGCATAACTTTACTGTTGCGAACATTTATATGCAATTTCAGAAATGAAGCTTCTTTTACAGTTTGTCTGTGGTTAATAAATGCAGTGGTTTTGTTATATCGTTAGGAAAAATTCTGTGTCAGCTCAACGGATGTTGTTGAAGATGAGTGGAATATATTGTTGCTGTCCAAAACAAAATATGTATCTCCAAAATAGTAACTTTACAGAAGAAGGCAAGCATGTTCTTAAATTTGAATTCACGTTATTGTAAAGAGAATGTATTTCAGGTCGTTTTGGAGCATTTCTATTGGTCCATTCATCATGAAACTTTCACACAATGTAAATGACAGCCACTCTGTTCAAAGAATGTAAAAAATTAAAAGAGAAAAAAATTATGAAAACGATATATATATATATATATATATATATATATATATATATATATATATGCTAAGCATAAGTTACTAAACGCAAGGATTATTCGCTTCAGTATTTAGAAAGTTCATAAATATATCTTATGTGTCAGATACATTGACACGCAGATGTTTATATGATGAATACAAGAACAGTGTGAGCATATTTCCGGCTATTTTCCAGCTTTTAAAAGTATTAATATTTTGTTCTTATTTAAATTCCATCCAAACTGTCTTACTGAGTATGGGCTCATTTCTGTTTAAATTTTATTCATTCAAAATATTTCAATTCAGATGATGTCCGCACCATTTCCTCACTGGAAAAAACACCTATATGAGTTTATCGCTGCATATTTCTCAATGAGTGTCTAGCATTTTGCCTCAGACAGGCTAGAAGGAAAAAGGAAAAACATTTTGCAATAAGATGCTGTGAAATGAGCATTACTTTTTTTCAAAAACAGCCCTTCGAACACTCTGGCATTTGCTGTTTCTGTTCAGAACAACATTCTTCTTTGTTCTTTTCTCCTCCACTTTCTTTCCAGTCTGATGCTTTGTCCTGTTACATAATTGTTCCAGCAAAGACAGACTGTAAGCTTTCTCTGTGCTGCAGTGTTATAATTGTATATCGTATAATTCTATGTATAATCAGATTTAGTTTACATGGTCTGCTCCATGGTCTGATGTACAAGGCTCTGCTCACTATGTCGCCCTGGTTCATCCCGCAGCGTCTGCAGCGACCGTTCTCTATCCCAGCCTTGGCGGCTCAGAGACCCTGACTTGTGAATGCCCGGACCACCAGTGTCAGAAGGTGTACTGGTACCGTTTCCTCCAGGACACTGGAGAGTTCCAGTTCCTTATGTTCGGTAACAGTGCGAACGCTGTGAAGCATGCAGAGGGCATCACCGCAACCCGCTTCAAGTTGTCTGCAAACGAGGGGGCCAAGATCACGTATTCACTGCGCATCACCGGCCTAGAGAAGAATGATGCGGGCATCTATTCCTGCATGTTTAACAGTCCAAAGCATGATCAGAAGAGCCAGATGCCAGCTGGATACTACATCAGGCCTGGAGGTGCTGAAAGCACTTTCTCTCCTCCTCTGTCTCTCCCTCTCTCGCTCACAATCTCCCTCAGTTATCATCATTAGCTCATACTGAGGACTATAAATTGGACCAAATCTCCTGAAGCGAAATCTTTGCGTGCACAATGAAACTGAAGCGCTTGAGCGTTTTTCTCTAGTCTCAGGATTTTTTCTCTAGTTAGTTTGTTGTTTTTCTCTTTTACCATCTTGTAAAACTGGTTGACCACAGTGCTGACCTCTCCCATCATTTATTATCATCATCCCTTATTAAGGACCGTGTTAAGGCTGCCTGAATGGCAATAAAGCTGACGCGCTTCAGCATTTCACTTTCATCTAGTCTCAGGAGACTTTGTTTTAGTTTAGCCTTCTCTTTTACCGTCTTGGAGAATTGCTTGACCAGAGCGCTGACCAGAGACCATTGCCTTTCTCATATCGTTATCGTCCCATGTTAAAGAACCTATTCAGGCTGCCTGAACGGCAACAAAGCTGATACACTTAAGAATTTCACCCTAATGTAGTCACTGGAATTTTTTTGTTTTAATTTGGTTTGTTATTTCACTCTTTTACCCTTTCTGCTTGACCAGTTGGCTGACAACTCTCTCTCTAGCTCAGTTTCTAAGTATCATCATCATCCCGTATTAAGACCATATAGAGTTTGCTTGGTGACAGCAGAACCTGAAGCACATTAGCCTTTGACTCAAATGTAGTTCTAGAAATTTTTGTTTTGGTATTTTTCCTTTTTTTTTAACAACCTTTGCAATTGATTGTGCTGATCTGAACAGTTTAGTTAGTAATGGTTATTGGAATTTGCTTTAGTGGCGATAACAGCACAATTACGTTCACCAGTGTTAGTATTCATCAGTTTTATGTTTACTTCAGGGCAAAGATGATACCTGGAGAAATTCATATGCTGCCTTGACTTTTTTCTGATTCATTTTTAAAACATTCACTCCTGCACTCCAGAATATCATATAAAATGTCATACCCTGATTTCACCTGACAATTTTTATAAAGTTTTTATAAATTGGTTTCAATTAACATCTTCAACAAAAATACAGTATATAACTATTGCTTATCTAGCCGGATCTGAATAAGGGCCGACTGCTCTCCTCTTATGCCAAATAGATGGAAATGTATTAAAAGCTGTTATTTTTTTTTCACCTATTCAGTGACACACAAACTCAATGGGAAAAAGGAGGCAATGTAAGATCAAACACTTCTACAGGACCAATGCTTTACGCTACATATACTTTAATACACTGTATGATCACCAACAGTATCAGACTCTGGAAGTCCATTTGATGCTTCTATTTAATGAAAATCTCCTTTAAGGTCTTTTTTTGATATTTCCGCTCTAGTTTTTACAGGGTAATTCCAAAAATAATAAATAAATCTACATAATTGAATTCTCTAGATGATGAGATTGTTTGATGTGAAATGATTCATTATAGAGAAACTTACTGACTTGGAACCAGGGGTCACTGTGCCTATAGCCGTAATGCAAACATAGCCATTTTATTTACTATGCAAAATGTCCAAAGTTTTTTTGTATGTAATGTTCATAATATTAAAATCATGATAAATCTGATTTTTAAAATAATTTTGCTCTACAACATCCTGCATGTACCTCTACTCTATAAACAGATTTTAAAAATGTTTTAACTGAAAGCCAGCTCTGAAAACTATGGTAAAACAATGTCTTTGGCATCAAGGAGCGTATTGTAACCCTTTAAACTCGAACACCTGGTTCCTACCTGACTCTGCTTTCCTAATTCTGACTAGAGGTTTTTCTAGAAGGAAGCATTTCCATTAAACCACCTTTAATGACGCTATTTTTACCTTTCAATTATGAAGGACATTTGAAAAGCTGGTGGGATTCCCCATTTAGGGATTAGAATTCATATAAAACATGTATGTTGTTTGTCTTCATTCCCTCCTAAGTCTCTGTAACAATATTTGCTATGTTTTTAAATGGGACCAACTCAGTCTGTAATGCATCATAAACCAGGTATGTGTTTATGTTATGTATGTTTTGTTTTTTATTGTTTTATTTTTTATTTTCCTAGAACACGCACCCACTTCACCACCTCCAACAGTAAAGATTCCAAAGAAAAAAAAACCTCAGGTCTGCCCACCTAACAATCAGCCAGTGAAAGGTATGGTATTGTGTGAAAACTGTAGAAGTTACTGTAGAAGTTTTCTGAGCATTCAGATGTTCTGGAACTTTAACAGTAGCAGATGCTCTTTTTTAGTTGTGGTCTATGCAGAAGGTTTGGAAGAGAACATGCTGGGAACTTTCTGAATGTTGCAAATAAACATTACTATATGTTTTTACATGTGTTACAGCAATCAGCAGGCACACTTTATCCATCTGTTTTTACAGAAAATAAGACAGCGTTATTCATCAGATACTGAAGTGTATAAAACATTTACTATGTAGGTTGAAGATGTTCTAAAACAGGATTTGAACTAAAGGGTGGGGAAAACACTTTAAGAATTGAAAAAATCCCCATTTAAGGCTAGTAAATGATGTCCTAGAAAATGTGTACTGTAATATCATGGGGATGTTCTTGGAATGAGAGGGCATTAGAAGCGATGTCCTTTACACCGCCTGTGGGACCTTACAAAATAATGTCTGTACAGCTTTTAAAGCAATTCTGAGAACGTCTTAACATTATTTTGTTAGCTGAGTGTTGTGTATTGTGAAAATGCCTTCAAGTATTGCAATGTTGTATATCTGCCGTTTTGCCTACCATTAGTATCATGTTTGCTGTGGCTGGTTCTGTTACAGGCTGTAAACCTCTGGTGCTTTGGCCGAGTGTGGGTGTTCTTCTGGTCCTGGCAGTGGTTCTGATCTCAACACTGTATTACTTCAGCAGTAAGTACACACACTCACACACACACACTCACAGATAGAGGTAGTGGTGCTCACAGGGCTGTTTCTTGTTATAAGCAGTTTAAGCAATATCAGGAGTGTAAGTAACTTAGGGCCTCCAAGCCACTACGGGCCCACTGCGATTGATTTATTAAATGATTGACAGATTGATTGATTGATTGATTTGTGTCATTGTTCCTAATATTGGCAGAAAATAGGAACACACCATGACTTCACTTCCAAACAGTCATGAATACTGTCGTATTACACAAGCAGCTTAAACACATATTTATTGTACTTACTTTATATTTTGTATTATTCATGTATTCTATTGCTCCTGCATACAGATTACATGCTGTTTTATTGTCTTGACCTTGGAATGTATTACATATAAACCATTTTAATAGTTTCTATTTTTGCATACAAAGAAATATAATTGACGGGGTGCGGTTCCTGAGTGACACCCTGCTCGGGGTCCCCCACCCACCCTATATTATGGATATTATTTGGATGCAAGAATGAAAAAGAAACCGTTAGAAATGGCCCTGGGTGATCAATCCCAGTGGTGACTTTTTCTCTGCACATCTTTGTGTTTCCACTCTGTAAAAACCTTATTTAACTCAAGCCTCAAGGCCTTCATGAAGTGAGAGCTACTGGCTTAAGACAAAGGCAGAGGAACTTACTTGCCAGATTATCAGAAAAAATACAAAAAAAAGAGCAAAGCGTTCTTTTTTTAAACTGATGCACCTAATCAACACATTTATTTGGCACTTTTACTTTCTCAGTACTTTTTGTAAGACTAACAATGGCATGTGTGTGTTTTTCGTTCCAGTGGATACAGCTTGTCATACAGTTGTATGCAAAAGTTTGGGCACTCTTGGTCAAAGTACGGGTGTTGATTTTCTAAGCAAAAATAAGAAAACACTTAAATATGGCATGTTTAGTGCAAAACCTCTATTTATTTGTTTAGTTTAACATATAGCAAAAAAAACATAAAATATAAAATGTGCCGTCATTTTTGCAAAGGCCAATGTCGTAAATTCAACAATAAAGTAATTGTGCATTAAAATGTGCAGAAGTGTGTTCTCTGTACACTGTTACACTGAAATAAAGGTTCTGTGCAAGTACATTTTCGTTCATGAAGGTACAAATAATGTAAATGTACCCTCAAAGGTACAGCAGTGGTTTTAAGGTCCAATTGTGTACCTTAAGTAAGTTTTTTCCTAGGTGAAAAGTATATATTTTTATCGTTTCATAAGCTAATGTTTTAAAACAGAACAATAAAATAAAAGGCCTGGAGACGAGACGGGGTGTGTGGAGGCAGTACAACTTAGTGGATACAACTTTCAGTGGATTATGGTACAATTATGTTCACTGACTAAAGGTACTGAGATGCACCCTTGAGGGGGCCACCCCATCGACAAGAGGATTACTGCCCCAGTGACAGTTTCATACCTTTATTTCTGAAAAAACAAGAAAATCAACAAAACGTAATTTCACCAATCGCGGCCGAACTTTTGCTCATGACTCTATCTGTAGTATTTAAATAATGATGTAACATATAACAGCTGTGTTTTTTTAGTCTTTACATCAAAATTCATTGCAGTGTTCCTCAGCAGCTCTAAAGCCTGATCTATTGCTATTATTTATACAAAGGTGTAGCATAGATCACTCAGTGCATATCACAGGAAAAGTTTCCCATATCAGTTTTCTCATTATTAACTTCACTGTGTTTGTGTCTGTTGGGAAACAGGACTACCAAAGAAGTGCCGACATCAGTACACCAAGTGAGTTATGATTTATATAACAAAGATGTTCGTTACCTAAGATTTATAGTGATGTTGTTTGGTGTTGGATTAATGTGCTGTTAGTATATTCCATTCACACTCATCGCTCAGTCAGTCTTCGGTGTTTTTAAAGTGCTTTTGTGGAAAATAGAAAATAGAAACAGCTTATAAAATCCATTTGGTCTGCTGAAGTAGGATCCCTCAGCAGTTGATGTGCCATGTAATTCATGATTTCAGTTTAAATAACTGTAGTTAATTATTACTGTTATTTCTGTTTCCTACAGATTCCATTAATAATGTGATAAAATGTACCTGTTTTTGTCTCAGTACTGAGAAACTGTCCTCTGTTTTGTCTGAAACAGAAAGATGCAGCTGTAATGAGATGACTCTTATGTTCCGTCGGCCATGAAGCACCATTAGTGACCGTCTCCACGATCACTCTCCGCTAATCAAGTTTGTAGACATAGTTCTGAACATAGATGTTTAACATTGACAGTTTGTAATTCATCTATAAAACCAATACACAGCCTTGCCATGTTTGCAGTTGATGATCCCCTTATGCTCTACAATAATGGTCAATAAGTTAGGCTTAAGTCAGGAAAACAGCTACTGCCTTTGCACAGATCTAAACTACTTCACTTTCAGTGCTAAAACATCAGTACTGAACATTTCGTTTTGTCTTCCTAATGTTTACTGTACTCCTTAACATCATGTAAAACTTAACATATATATTTCAAAGAAAGACAAAGTTTTCTTTAATGATTGATTGCAAAACATTAAATGAGCTTCCACAGACAAACATGCTTGAAATCAAAGTTATCAGAAAACTTTGATCAAAAGAGGTGAAGTTTAAAACTCATTTCTTGCTTCCCTCTATATTTCTATTTAGCTTTCGGGCACCTTTTAGTCTTGACTCTTGAAATTCCTTTTTTTGTTCGACTTTGTGTAGATGTGCTTAATAAATTTGAGAAATGGCAGTTTTTAATGTGGAACATATCTGCATCAGGAATTTTCCTTTAAGAAGCAGCTCATGTAAATGAATGTATAGATTCTGTCTTATGATACGTCACAATTAAATGCATATCCTGATCTTATATTTGTATTTCATTGTTAAATAAATGATGTTACTGTGCTTGAAAGTACATGACTTGCATTTTCCTTGTATGTATTTATATCCACATATGTTTTGAGGGTGAATATATGTAATCTGATGGTATTAGTTTCACTCTGTGTTTCTCTGTTACAAATATGAGGGTGTGTTGGTTTGAATGTTTGACTGTTAGCAGGAGTTTCCCTCTATGAGGGTGTCTGTTTTCCCTTGTGTGAAGGTGTGTGCGTTACTACTGAGTGATATTGCTCTGTTTCTAATACATGTATAAAAAAACTTAGTTATGTGTGTAGTGTAAGAATGTATGTATTTGTAGTGCAATACTATTGTAGCAATGGCATAATTCTGTAGACATTAGCCCTGAACTACCATACTAGGCATGACTTGTAAAGTAAAGTGTAAAGCATAATATCACTCTAACAGTAGCATTGCTTCTGAGAATTTGGCCCCCAATTTCTATTCTATGCCTGATTTTATTGTTAAGTTATATAGAACAATACACTATCAGAAAGAAGGGTACTATACTGACAGATTTACAAACAATGTAAATGTACCCTCAAAAGTAAAACACAGGCCTTTAAGCCCAATTGCGTACCCTATATGAGTTTTAAACATAAACTTCATTCACCTTCCCGGTGTATTTATATGTTTTCATAAATGAACTTTTTCAAATACTTAAAGCCTGGAGTTAGGACAGGATATATAGTTGATGGACAGGATAGTTGAAATGGAAAATAATAAATATATATACATAATTGCAATTGAATATGGTACAATTACGTTCCCTAACCTAAGGTACTGAAGATGTACCCTAGAGGGTATCACCTATGTGACTTTGTACCTCAACAATAGCATGATTTCTGAGAATTTGGCCTTCAGTTACATTTCTAGGCATGTTTTTTTTTGTAAAATACTGTTTTATATACAATAATATTATAACAAAAGCATAATTTCAGAGATTTGGACCCAAATGACAACTCTAGACATAGTAGTAAAGTAAACTTTTATTCCATAGTACAATAGAATTGTAACAATAGCATATTTAACTCTCTATACAATATTGTATAGTAAAAATACATAGTTTTGTACAACACTACTAAAACAGGAGCATCAATTCAGAGAATTTGAACAAACACCATTGTGCACCCACTATATGTAATACACAGCTGTTCACTGCAATACTTTTTGTCATGAACAAACCCTTTCCTGTGCAGAGAGAGAGCAGAGAGAACGCTATCTCTCTCTCATCGCTCGCTGAGCTTTGAGCTCTCCATCTCTGAGCTGAAACAAAAAGACCACAGAGAGACCACAGAGTCGGCCGCAGCTACAGCGTCACAGGCACAGCGCTGTCACACTTCCATTACACTCAGTACCGTCACTGCTGTAATGCTTACACTATACAGGCTAAAGATCAGGAGCCAGTCAACATTACTGGAAACTATGTGTTAGTAGAAAGAGGGGTGGGCAAAAACACAGTGTCATCGAACTTGAAGATATTTTCATGATAATATGTATCACAATACTTTTTTCTGAGGTTTGATGAGTTGGAACAGACAAAATGCACACGTACAAAAAAGATGGTTCTTCAAGGGTTCTTTAGTAAAGGCAGTGGTTCTATTTAGAACAATGAATTCTATATAGAACAATGTCAAATCTCAAATGGTTCTTTGCATGGTGAAATGGTTCTTCAGATTGACTGCTATATATGGTTCTGTTTATTTTGAAAATGGTTCTATATGACACCAAAAAGCGTTCTTCTATTGTTAGGATGTCAAGTCAAGTCAAGTCAGGCTTTGTCATTTCAGCCATATACAAATACATAGTGAAATGAAACAACATTTCTCCAGGACCCTGGTGCAACACAGGAACACAAGTGCGGGACAATACAATAAACACAGTGCAGACAATACAGTGCAATAAATTATACGAAAGACAATAAATACAAAACAGAACATAGGCAGTACACGGTACGGAGAGTTTGAGCAACGAGAGCAGCAATATACAGTATACGGTATTCGATTGATACAGTAATTCTAGCAGCTAACATTGTTAAAGTGAAGTAAAATGTGCAACAATGCAAGATATTGTTGTGGAAATAATATATCAGATCTACAGTCATATCAAGTGAAATGTTTCAGTGAAATGCGGTAACTATATTTAAGTACAGTGTTCCATCATTTGGAACTGCAAGAAGGGAGTAAGTTAGTCCCATATTGTTATGTATATGTGTGTGTGGGTCTGTTGGAGTTGAGGAATCGGATGGCTTGCACATTCTGGTCAAGCTTTGTGGTGCTACATAGAACCAACTCCAAAGTCCAGGCTTTCAGTCAGTTATTGTCCAGCTTCATCAACAATATGATACACATGAAATATTGAGGATTTTGACTGTCATTGCATTCAGCAGTTAAATGGGAAGCATAAGAAGAAGAAGAAGCAACACCACCATAACATATACTGCTGTGCAAAACTTTCCAGTCAAAATAGCCAAAGTACAAGTTATACATTTTTCAAAAAAGCAGGAAACATAATTCACAGACAATTACACTGAAGCCCCAACACTAAGTATATCAAATCTATCAGCGTTTAATTTGTCCACTCTCTACTTTTGTGCACCTACTGTCACTTCAACTCCATCCTTCCAATCTTAAAAACAACCTTCCACTGTAAGAAGACAACTCAGCGCTATGAGTCTGAAAGGATGTGTAGCTGTCAAAAAGCCCTTACTTGGAAAAAGAAATTTGCATTACAGCACTGAAACCGGACATGTGAAATGGAAGAAATGGACAGATGAGTCCAAATGAGTCTAAAGCTTACTTCTATTGTGAGAAGCAGAAAACGCAACCAACTTCTAAGACTGAACTTTGGAGGAGTTTTTGGAGACCTGCTTTGAGTTTTTATATAAATCTGCAGGGATATTTTTGCCTGCAGATTTATATAAAAACTCAAAGCAAGTCTCCTGAAAAGAACAGAAACAGTAATAAAGGCAATGTTTGGACACACTAAGTACTGAAAAAAACTGATATTATATTCAGTTGTTGAATCTTCTGTGTAATTTTCTATTAAATATATGTTTTCTATTTTTATAACACTGGTTTGTGAATAATTTAATAATCATAACAATCGTTATAACTGTAAATGAGTTGGTCTCTGACATTTGCACATTACAGCTTAATATGAAAAACAAGCAAAAAAATATTTAGTGCAATTTTATTTATAGCATTATGACAGCATTTTCCTATATCAACTTTCCAGAAATGCCATTCCAAATCTCTAATGAGGAAGCTGTAAGTGAAGGTGTTGGAAAAAACTCCTAAAGAAGCACTAAAAGAATAAATACTGAGAGGAACCAAGACTGTAATCTCCCAAAAGAGCATAAAAATACCCAAACCATAGGAATGAACCATCTGCTTCTGGGCTGCCCTGAAGAGAAGTTATGATAAAAGTGGGACAAGTTTACAAGACACACTACGATCACATAAGGGGCAATATTCAGTGTTCATGTCCTCCCCAAAGTCATTATATTGGACATTTTTATTCAATGCTGACATTTTCTATAGTGTGTAAATGAGAAGGGGAAGGAGAATTTACTCTTCTGCTAACCCTGAAGATGCCATGTGACGTCCATCAAGCATGACAGTTGTTTAAAACTACTTTGAACCACCTTTACTTGGTTAGATGACTGTAAATTATTAAAGGAGAGCTTTGAAAAAAAGCTTAAACAAAAAACAGACATAACCACAATGGATTGTTTATTTGCTAATTTGTGTTTATTATATATGTGTTTTTTAACAAATAATCATTTATTGCCACAAATAATAGCTTTATATATCATTACTATCCAAAACACAAAAAATCTCCAAAATCATCCCTTTAGAGGAGAAGGTGAAAGCTTTTAATTTTTTTAATGTAAGTCAATGTAAAAAGATTTTGTTCCAAGCAATTTTGAAGCATTTCTATTGGTCTATTCATCATGACATTTTCACATATTATAAAAGAGAGCTGCTGTGTTCAAATGATGTAGAAAAAGCAAAAGCAACAATATACAACATATATATTTTCTATTTGTATTAGTGTATAATAATAATAATAATAATAATAATAGCATGTTTATTATTGTTAATAAAGAGCTCTCAAACTGGATCTCTCACAATTAAAAAAGATAAAAATAAGCACTACTGCTATTGTCATTTAGAGTATGTAATATTGACATGTCTGTGATGATTATCTCATAATTATCTCATAAAGGAGTTTATCTGTAGCAAGATATGATATTTTATACAAAGAATATATTGGTCACATATAAAATATCAAAAAAGTATGTGGAGTTCTGTTCAGCTTTTAGCTGAAATGAAACAGACTAAGAAACACTAAGAGATGTGTAATATTACAAAATAGAAAGTATATTGAAAGGTTTGTCCTTCCTTTGAAGTTGAATAATTGACTTGAACATTTGTGTACTTTATCAGTCAGCCAGCTTTAAGGCGTTTATCCAGCGCCCACACAGTCTGTGATCATAATTACTTATTCATGTATATTTGACATTGATTGTATGTGAACTATGTGTCTTGAACTATATTCTCATGTGAT